TGTTCACTGTGCACAGTCTGAACAGGAGCTCAGGGATGTTCCTCCAGTGAGGTGTTCACTGCATGCTCAGCTGCAGGTGTAGTGTGTGAGTTTCTCCCTGCCAAACTCCTGGAAGTGTTGCCTGTAGGGCTCTGTGTGCAAGTGCCAACTTGTGCCTGGTTGTGATAAATGGAGACATTTTAGGGTTTTTTTACTCTTGGAGAAATAAAGCTTAAATTCAGTTTTGTGACTAACTTGTCTTTCTCTGAAAACTTGATTTGCACTCAATGTGATAGGCTTTGTATTGATTTTATAAACTGAAAGCTTAGAAAGCTTACAGAGCTAGTTATTTCTGTTACAGAAGAGTAAATTTTTTTTGTTTCATATCCTTTCCTCCCTCAGTTTGCATCAGAATTACATTTTAGTACAGAAAATTGCTTATAATCAACAAAGCACTGGGTAGCCTTAGTTCCATGATACAGAAAATTGCTTGGTCTTGTATCATTAGCCTTCAACTTCAAACTCCTCTGCTCCTGCCAGACTTGGCTGTGTTGCACTGACAGGTACAATGGCTATTACAAGTACTGTGTTGTACTAAAGACCACTTCATGCATTAATAACAACAAACTAAGAAAAAATTAGAACTGGTTCTATTGTTATATATATGTCTGATCAGTCAGTATATATTTTGCCACGGGTAGCCTTAGGATAGGGAATATGAAAACTATGAAAGATCTCACATGTACTTAGTAGCCTGTAGAAGCTGTTCTTTGGTGTTAGGAATGAAGTATATGAGAGTAACTTGTGATAGTGGTTCCTGAGTGAACACTGCTGCCTGGACACTGCTTAATATTCTTTTTATATGCCTGCCATGTGAGAAAGTGAAAGCCCATAAGAGATCTTCCCCTCTGACCTGTGACAATCAGGGTTTTATGTAACCAGTCTTCTGAGAGTTTCATGTGCATGCCCAATACATAAGATCAAAACCAGTGCAGCAGAATTTGAGGATTATGAATGTTATGTATGTTTAAAAAAGCCATACAAACACAAAAATTAAGCATAAACTGTTCTGGTGATTAGTGGCTCTGGGCTTCTCAGTGCCAGAAAACAATTTTCAACATTCCCGTGACAAATGCTTCTGCTGCACAGATTTGTCCACATTTATAGCATACTTTGAAGATATTCCAAAATAGCTTATGGTTGATGGTTGCTTGGGCATGTTGAAAGTGATATTTTCATGACAGGCTCAGAGATCTTTTTCAGGGACGGGGTGTAAATATTGGTAGGATTTCTCTGTTGATACTGTTTGCAGGAAGTGTTCAATTTGCTACCAGTTTAAAATATTCAGTGCTTGTAGGTTGCAACAAGTTGGATTGCTAAGGTCTCTTAGGACTTATTTTTGTGGTTCAGAAACCAAAATCAAATACATTTACAATTAGAAACAGCACAATGAGCAGTATTAGCAGTTCCTGTGATTGTTGTTACCCATACTTTAATATTTAGCAGTTCTTTTAAATGCCTGTGTTCTGGAATCAGCGGAATAAAGCAATAAAATAAAGGGGTTTGTGAACACTGTATTTATACCCCTTGAAATAATAACAATAAAAAAATCTTTAAAATGGACTCCTTAATTTGGAAAATTACAGAAATAAAAAAACCCTGGATGTTATATATATATCTTAGCAATTTTTTTAAGGACAGATTTGACTAGTAAAACTTTGTTTATATTTAAAGGTCAGTCAAGATGTATATGCCCATCTTGGGCTGCTGTAGATATCCAGGCTGTGGTGTACAAGAACCTTTGTAGACCAAGAAGAGTTTGCATCTTGATTTTGTGTGTGGTTCCAAGTAATTTTCCTGAGCTATTCTTTTGAAGACTCTGGTGTTGTACTATTGATGCAAACTGCATACAAAGTCTGATATCCAGAAGCATCTGGATTATGTTGCTGCGATACCTAAGAGTGGAAAATGTTTCTGAAAGAGACCTAAAGATGCTGTCTTTGCTCATTTTGGCTTTGATTTCATCTACCTGTAACAGACTAGAGGCAATATCTCTGCAAGGTCTGGTGGAAATGAGAGATAAAAAATAGAGGATTATTGGGAGGAAGAGTGTTGTTGAGGTCTTGAATTTTGTTCTTTCACTGGCTGAGATTGCATTTCTAATTGCAAACAGAAATTCACACAGAAAAATAAATAAATACAAATTGTTTGCACTTTAACACTAATGTCTGCACTTATTGACCATGTTTTGTAACTGGACAATCTGTGGTTTTGTAGGATGCTGAGAAAAGAACCCCTCTTCACGTTGCATCATTCCTGGGGGATGCAGACATCATTGAGCTTCTTATTTTGTCAGGTAAGGTACAGTCCCTCACTGCTGTTAACTGGTAAATCAGTTAAAACTATAAGGAATACCCAGAAAAGCATATATAAGGAAGTTTTGGGCTTTTTTTATTTCTGAGTTTCACGGAGCTGGTTGCACTTCTTGCAAGCTTAGAAAATTTATTAAAATTTGGTGATACAATCATAAAATGTACCCTGTGACTAAGAAGAATTAATAAACAAAGTAACTAGCTTTTAACAACTTATAAAGCCTTCAAACTGACAGTATTTATAATTCAGAGACTTGCTGGAGTACATATTTGAAATGTGGCTTCATATCTTGGAGTACAATCCAAGAATTCCTGTTAAGCAAAAATTATGGAATAATAGCAAAAAAATTATTAATCAGCTTAAGTGAATTGTAAGTGCTGTTTACATTAGAAGCATGTTTCTAAGAATCAGGAAGTTTATTTGGATATTAGAAACTGTGTAGTAGGAAATATCTAAACAAAATAAATGAAAAAAAGTTTCCTAACTGTTGTAGTGACAGAAAACGCAATCAAAATATGTCAGAACAAAGCATAAAGCAGTCATCTCTCAAGAAGAGCATAATTCATGGCAAACTCCTGGATGCGCTTGCAGATTTCAAAGGCAGTGTTTTTCTAAGCTGGAGAACTGTAAGTGTAAAGCTTATGGGGATTTAAGAATGTGAGACTGAAAGGAACCTTATGGTAAAAACTTCTAACCCCTTGCAAGCCACCTTATTATGCAGTTGGTTTCACGAGTTTTTAGATGGCTTCTTCAAATGAATTCCATATATTTTTTTTAAGTTACTTCAGAATTCTCAGCCCTTTGATTACAAGGCACCTTCTAATTTCCAGCCTTGAATCCTAGAATAATTCAGGCTGGAAGGTATTTCTAGAGATGACTTGATCCAACCTCCTGCTTAAAGCACTGAATTTCAAAGTCAGATCAGGCTGTTGATGTGGCTGTGCATGCAGACCACTCGATCATATTTCTTTGGCTCGCCAGTCTAGCCAGACCTGGAGAAGGCAGAAAATGAGAACTCAATTTGCTGTAGCTGTGTGTTTCCTCTGTTCATTTTGGGGGAATTCTGGGTTGCATAATTGCTTAATGAGGGTAACTAGCTGTATACATCATACATCAGCTTTTTGTGCTCTACTCCTCATGGCAGCAGAATGGTTGAGAAGAGCAGTGCTGTGCTGACAGGTTATGCGTGGGCGGGTTATCAATGTGCTAAATGCAAGCATGATTTTCTTCCTTGGGAGGAAGGAGTTAATAAATTTCATCTGTGCATGTGTTCTTGCAGTGTGTGTTGTTTGTCACATACTGCTGTTCCATTGTGGTGTGAGGGGATTGCAGGGGCAATGAACTTTTTAAAGTTTTGCAAGTATCAGCACAGGCAATATTCTCATAAAGAGAAAGGTGAAACAGTTTCGCCCATTTTTCCTAAACAGCATCCAGAAATGTCCCAGTGAACATTCCTGATGAGGGAAGGAGGCTTTCTAGAGTTCTTCTGGGACACTTAGTTCTAGCACCTCACTGCCAAAATGTCCATGGGTTATAGGGCTTGTCTGACCAACAGCATAAAACATAGGTGATGCATCTTGGAGAGTTTTTATATATCCAAGTGAGTGTGAAAAATTTACAATGTGGGCTTTTAAAAATTGAACTGTGTGTCAGTGGGCCTGTGCTTGGGCTCAGTCTGCAGGAACTGTGTGATCTTTCCCCACTAGCTCAGCATGAGTCAAAATTAATTTTGTGTTGTCTATTCTACTTATTCATTGTTCTTTAATATCTGAAGCATCATTACTCATTATGAGCATGAGTACCTGTATCCAAGAGCAGGTTTGGAGGTTTCTGAGGCTTGGAGGAGCAGGTTTATGACTTGTTATAAACACCTCTTTGTGACTGTGATCTCTCCATGAACTAGGCTGCAAGGACAAGTGCAGCATCTTCCTTTGCTTCACTCTTCAGTCAGCAAATGGTATCATAAAATATTAATGTGAATGTAACATTTAATTACATAAGCAGAAAAACTTTGTTGTCTGACTTAGAATGAAATGATGTTTTCACAGAGAGAAAGCACACAAACACTTGCTGTAGGTGCCAAGCAATATTCTCAGCATGAGTAGAAGCTAGGAGGAGTATTCAACACATTTAATTTTCTACACTGTTCAGGAGAGAATTAAATTAAATATGCACCTTCTGAGATTTGTGGTCTATAAACTGATGGCAGTGCAAATAAATGTAGTATCTAATGAATGAAATTTCTGCCCAGGTTGGTTGGAGACAGACCAGGAATGGCTTTCTAGGTAGCCACTGAAATAGAGGCTGTTTGGAACTGATAAAGAAGAGAGTGTGCCAGGTCCCTCAGCTGGTGTGAGTCACCCTGGCCCACTAAATGTCAGAGCCAGATAGGTTTACACCAGCTCCAAGGTCTGATCTGTAATCATATGGTTCAAACTGAGGAAGGGTGCTGAGTGGTTTTGTTGTTCCAGGCTATGAAAGCAGGAAGCTTTGAGTACTTCACCTCCTTCTGTCAGAAAGGAGAAGGAGCAAGGTAACCATCTCACAGAAACAATCTCTGTATGGTGCCACCAGTCGTGGATGTGCAAGAACAATTGTCTGGGCAAATACAAGCTGCATTCCCATTTGGGCTGGTGCCTGAAGGCATCATGTTTGAGCTCAGTCCCTTACCCCTTGTTCCCCACCAAGGCACTTGCCATCTTGGCAATATTACCTTGCTTTACTATTTCAGAAGGCTCTGGGCTTCTTGCCAAGAAGCTGTCCTTACCTTTTGGTGGGCCTGTTGCTGTGTGTTACAGGAGAAGTTGGAAAGGTGCAAGTAAATAATGACATTAATAGGTTAAAGAGTACAGTTTTCTTCCTCCATTGATTATCCCTAATATTGGAGATTTAGACTGTGGAATCTAGAGATGTGGATTTGGCAGATGTGCTGGATGGAAAACTGTATTTGGTTATGATAAAGAGATGTTAGCTTTATTCCTGAAAGTCAGCATCAAGTTGTTTATTTCAGACCTCAAAGGCAGCTTCAGATTTATTTCCTCTTCTGTCAGAAAAAATTGAGAGTGAAAAATGACAAAGATTGCAAAACAGCCATATTAAAGAAAAGTAGAATACAAAAAGTTTCCTCTCTGTTGATTTTATCTGTAACGTTATATGTTATGTTGTCTACTTCAGCCTCTCAAAGCAAACCCCTACAGTTAAATCTTTCTGTCAGGCTCAGGTAGAGAAGGTGAGGCTGAGAAAAGACGCTGAAGAGCTTCTTTTTTAAAGTGGGTATTTTATAGAATGGACGCATGTTGTGACTATCTGAAAGGCTTGTAAGTGAAATCTTTAAAGCAACTTCTATTTTCAAGGAAGATTTTGCCATAAATTACACAATTTACAACAATTTGAGTGGTTTTCAGCCCTCTTTGTCCTTATAGACACACAGATTAATTAATAGAGCATTGTAGGAAGTGCACTGAAGTGTGGTTAAGGCACTTGGTCCAGAGTGAAGAGATGGATACTGAATTTCTGGCTGACTTGGAGGATGTTGTTGTGGGATGGTCTTGAGGATTTAAGCTTCTGGGGTTTGTTCACAGCCCATTTTAGATGTAGTAGCATGTTCTAGAGCACTTAGTCTTTAAAATTGGATTTCTGTGTTACTCTGCTTTCAAAGGACTGTCCTCAGGCCTGTCACAGAATGGGCCCCCAAGTTCCTGGAGTGCGAAGAACACCCTTGAAAACATGACTGTTGTTTTCCCAGTGCCTCTGCTTGATCATCCTTAAAATGACAGATATTTTCTGTCCCCAAACGAGTGCATCAGTGCTGATGAAGTTTTTTCACTGTCGTTAACCATTGCCTGCGAAGAACTGCTGGGACCCTAGAAGCTGAATTTTGGTGGAAGTGGCAGTGCAAGAGGAAATATTTTGAAATATCTCTTCAAAAGATGTGCATCTCAGTAAATGCACAAGAGCAGGTTCTGTAACAGGCAACAGGTGAATTGTGTAGCTCCTGAAAAACAGAAATCCCAAACATTCAACTGATGCATTGCATTAGACACCTAAGAGCAATTTCACTGTTTCACACAAAGAGGCACAAAGAGGTCAAGGGATGTGGAAAACAGCTGAGAAGGAAAAGGCTGATAGTGTGCTGTGTATTATTTTATTTATACTGGTCTTGCTTCCCTTTTACTATTTTCTTCAGTTGTTTTTTTTTAGTAACTGTTTCAGTTTCTCAAAGGGTAAGTGGACCAGTGAAGGGCATGAATAGCTACTGATGGAGACGCTTCTCTAGGTGTTCTCATCATCTTCATATTCACCAGTACTGCTGGAGTTGTTAAATACTGAGGAATAATGTTGGTCATGCTTTGCTACTCTACATATTAGCCTTTCTTATTTGTAGCCCTCTGCTTGTAGGAGTTAGTGAATGGGTAAAACAAAAGAAACCTTAGTTAAGAACATAAGGGAAAAAACCCCAAGGCAAATACAAAAACAATTTCTAAACCCAGCAAGAGGTACTTGAATCACTAGGAATTAACGTAAAAAGTTTCCATCTCCAAGACCCCTACCAGGCCAAACAAGGATAATGGAAAGTGCCTTCAAGTCCTGCCAGCTCCCTGATGAAGGAAGTTACTGCTTCATTGGTCTCTAGAGCTTCACACAGTGCAGGCAAAGGGCAGGATGCTAAAGTGTCAACTGTAATGGCCTTCTCATGAAGGAAAAAGAAGGCAAAAGCCTCCTTGCTTAGACAGATTAATTAGAAAACTCTTTGAAACTGTGTCTTTTCTAAAGGGTGTTTTTCCAGAGGGCAGGTTGTACCCCCAGGTACCAGGTTCTGAGGTGAGTTTGGAGGATTGCTTCTAATTGTTGCAGTGGCCTTCTTATGAAAGTGGCCTTGTTTTTCTTGCAGCCAAAAAAACTGCACCCTGACTTGTGGAAATATGCAAGAACTTGTTTCTTCTCTGATTATCTAGCACAATTCCCAATAACCACCGTGATTCACAGGCAAGCATCTTCATATTCCTGAGAATCAGCTCTCAAAAAGTACTGGTGATTCAGAGAGTGGGATTTATTAATTACAGTCTTTTGAAGGCACTAAAGTTATGGTGCAAAATGAAGCTTAAGCATCCCTTTGTTCATGAAGTTCAGAGGCTCACCCAGGCTATGCTTCTCTACATTTTTTTTCTGCATGTGCTACCCTTCTCAGACTAATACTGCTACTGCAGAGGTACAATATTTTCAGGTTAAGCCCTTTTAAAAATTAGTTTATCTAGTCCTTATCACTAGATTTCCTTCCTGAGGTATCACATTGGTGATACCTGTAGTATTTCTTGCAAAGAAATATTTTTGATCACACAAATGTATAGGATACCTTTTAAAAAAAAAAAAAATTGGGGTTTGCAGTCAGGCAGAACCACTGTGGTTGTCAAATAGTCTTCCTTTATCCTTTTTTCTGGCAAGCCAACCCAAATCCATCCTCTTGCCCTGCTGCCTTTGTCAGAGTACCTGTTAGCACTGAAATGCACAGGAGGCAGATGAGTTGTGTTCTTCATCCCTGCTCTTCTGTTGTTTCACCCACAGTGAACAGTAACACCCACAGAACCTGATGTAGTAAGTGCCCAGTCTTGTCTCCAACCTGAGTATTTTCTGGACCTGTTTTCTTGATCCCAGCAGGATTTGTGAAGCAGGGAAGTGGTTATTTTTTGGTGGTCTGCCTGATAGAGCTGAAAACAAGAGGTGGTTCCTCAGGCTAGTTCCTTTCATGTCTGCAGACAGGAAAGTGCTTTGAGCAAAGGGTGCTTTTCTGTCCCAAAGCTTTATCAGTTGTATAATCTAAAAAAATGCATCTACATAGACACACACGAACATGCATACATATGTAATTCCTTCCAACAAATCTTGCTTCTTTTACGTCCTGTAAGCAAAGCAATTCCTAATAATAGTCCTGTCTCTCTGGTTCCTTTCTTTCTGAATCCTACTTTATCTATCTGACTCTGGAAATGCATTTTCAAGGTGAGTATGGTGCCAGGAGAGTCCTGGGGAGCACGGAGAGTACCATGTACTCAGCTCTGGCTACTGGGAAACAGCTGGGCAGGGCAGTGTCACACCCGTGCATGTAACCTCTGCTGTTTATTTGCAGGTGCTCGTGTCAATGCCAAGGACAATATGTGGCTGACTCCTCTCCATCGAGCAGTTGCTTCAAGGAGTGAAGTGAGTAAGATTTCATTACCCTACACATAACCAATGTGCTGGGGGAAGAGCAAACCCTAGAGAGCTGTGGTAGGTGGCATGGGCATGCAAAGAGGGAAGGCATTTCCTGCGTGCAGGGTATTGCAGCTGGAGGCCAGCATTTACATGTCACCTGTAGGCTCTTGAGCCTTCACATGCTTGATTTCCACCTTGCTTTAACATTACCATAGCAAGTCACAAGGAGTAGTGAGCAGGACTCATATGGGATAGAGTCCACAGTGGTCTACAGTGCCCACACTATCTTCAGGTGGTGAAAAACGAGAAATAAATCACTGTGGGTGTGTGCATGCTGTGTGTGTGCCAGAAGGGAGTGGATGTGGATGTGGATGTGATCCAACATGCATTACCACATAATTTGCTTTGCTTAATTACATTTCAAGGCATCCGTTAGGTTTTCTGTTAATGTGTTTGATTCATGCAGAAGGGAGGGTTTGCCCATGTTTCTTCTACTTGACAAACAGAAATATTCTGGCATCATGTTGTACCTCTTCCATTGCTATCTTAAAAAGGAGCAGCAATAACTACTGGGAATGCAGCTCTGGCATTACTCTGTTTCCAACTGCACCATTATTCTTGGCTTTCCTTTGTGGACCTCCCTGTCTACTTTCACCCTCCCAATGCTTCGTTAACAGTGAGCCCAACTGCAGAATGAATTGGCTGCTGGGGATGAGGGGAGGGGCTGTGAAAGAGACAGAGGGTGGCTGTCTTCCAGAGCCTGATGGACTCGAATCACCTCTGTAACAATCCAGCATTGCCAAGCCTGGAGGCAGGAATCCTGGGCTCGCTTCTGAACTCAGGCATTGTTTGACTGCTGGCTGAGCTTCCCAGCTGCTGGCATTCCCTGAAACCCTCTGAAAGAAATATCTGATAGACTGTGAATGCTGTAATGAGGCAAAATACAAAAAGCCATGTTGGAAAACAAAGATCAGACTTAAACCTTGAAAATAGCCACAGTCTTTCTGATGCGGGAATTGCAGTGTGCTTGGTTTCTGGTTTTGGATGTGTCAGAGTACATGACTTTTATAGTCAGCAACAGTCCCAGCAGAAAATGTATGTCTTTCTGTGGCTTTGTGTCTCATCTTTAACTCTTTGTTAAAGCTGATGTGTCAGCTGAAGCACAATGAGAAAGTGTGCTGGCAGTTCTGGTACCTCTCAGTGGGTACCCAGGGGCATTGGTGAGGCAGCAGGGGAAGGCATCAGCCTTCGATCCCTTTTCATGGTATGTTTCATAAACACATTCAGCTTTCTTCTCCTGGCATTTTTCTTCATTATTTATACTATAAATGCTACTTTTGGTAACAATTTGGAAACAGGATTTATTTTTGAGGTTCTTTCAGTGCTGCTTTTTACCTGCTTGCACAAGTGAACAAATGTGATGGTGGTAACATAAATAGCAGTTGGTGAACTCAGAGTTCCCACTGATAGGAGATGAGTTAGTGGCCCAGAAGTTGACCAGCAGGACTCGGTGTAGTTTTGGAAGTTCTTGTGAGCACAGTTATTTTTAGAATGATCACCAACAAATTTTAAGTTTTATTACCAATCTTTTACTATGAAGATGTCAGAGGATTCAGAAATTATCTCCTTGAATCCTTTTATATGTTGATTAAAAGAATGGACACTTCTTTACTTATGTCTTAATGATTCTTCAGGGGTTTAGGGTTTTATATTTATTTACAAATTAGCAATCCTTACAGTGTCTGTGTAGGATTGTTAATGGATATATCAGCTTCTGGCTCTAAACAGATTGAAAAAGTTAAGATATTTCACTGTGATAACTTGGAATAGCTAGAGATACTGACTGCTGAGGCTTACACCATAGCTGGGCACTGCATGCATGTGGAAAAACTATAATAAAAGGGTAAAGCTCATGCTCTAAAACAATAGAATTAAAATTTTTCCATAAGGATTTTAGCTTTTGATCCCAAATCTGAAAGAGCAGCAGACTGCAGATGTAAACAAAAATCTGTAAATATTTTTATTTTAAAATCTAAGTATTTTTAGCTTCAGATATTCAGTCCTTATTATTTACTCCTAAAAATTCTCCTTTAACTTTTTCTTTCTTTCACTAAGAGTGCATGAAGTTTCCTGCTGACTTCATGTCCCAGCTGGGTAGGTCTCCAGTGAATTACATTGAAATGACTCTTAAAATAGTAGGCCTGTAATTTAAAAAACAAAATCCTATTGAGACATCAACAGTCATATATCATTATTGGTGCTGTAAGAGATGCAGTGTCACTCACTGAACAAACCTGTTAGAGGACAGTTTGTGAGATGGCTGTAGAAAATGAAACTGCTGAGATCAGTTGAGGACTAAGACATAAAACTCCCAGTATGTATGTAGTCTTGATACAGACTGCAGGCACTCTCCTGGGCCATTCTAGATATAAAAGTACTGTGTAAATGTACTGCATGCATTTATTATTTATTAATAAAATTTTGGCTGGGCTTAGCAGAAAACTTCACAGTTTATGGAAAAAGGTACTATGTAGGACTAGGGCTCTCCCACATACCAGGTGTGAGTTGTATTTATCAGACCAGGCTGTTTGAATGCTACTGTGTCCCAGTAGTTCCTCTGTATTTTGTTTGTTTGTGGAAGGAAAGAGGAAGAAGAAAGGAAATGCAATTTTGAAAAAAAAATTTGTTTTTTTATCTGACTTGCTTAATGGCAGATGCATGAGTTGAAGCAGAAACAAACTGATGTGAATTCTCTAGAAAGAGGGGCTCTCAAGAGAGAACAGTACATTTTCTTACTGGGAAATATTTACTTTTAACCAACAAAATTAACCTTAAAAGATGTTGTTTGGTCTCAGGCTGACAGATTGGATATTGCAGTTGAGACCCTTGGCCTATGCTTAGGCCTTGGGGAGGAAAGGAATGCTCATGCTAAGCTGAGGACAACAGCATTCTCATGTTTTTGCAAAGCTAAAATTTTGCTTTCACCGATTCTTTATTTTCTTTTTTCTCCTGTTTATAAATAAAATATCCAGCACTCTGCTGTTATTTTGACATGCTTTTTATTTTGTAAATTATTCCTGTAGCAGCTGTATTGGGTTTGTGTGGCAAGGGTCTGGTAGTGGGGGTGTCTTCTGTGAGAAGCTGCTGGCAGCTTCTTCATGTCCAACAGAGCCAGTGCCAGGCAGCTGCAGGAGTGTCCTGCTGCTGGCCAAGGCTGGGCCCATCAGTGATGGCAGTAATGGCCATCACTGGCCAGTTCATTTCTTCACTGGAAGCATGGCTATGAGGAACTGATGGTTAATCAAACAGGATGGGCTCTCTGCATAGGCAGCTTAGGACATCCTCAAATCCGCTGGCAAGCTTTGACTATGAGGCTTTTTGCCTGCTCTCTGCTGCAGCGGAGGTGATGTGTGCTGGGACACACATCATGGTCCATTTGAATGGACACCACTGTTCTGGAAGCCTGGGAGGTGCTTTGGATGGGTGCTGTTCTCTGTGCCTCCTGCTGGCCCTGTGCTGTGTGTGACACACCGGAGCTGCCAGGGGCAGCGCCCTGCGTTTGCTGGAGCTGCTGGGTGAGGATGCGGCCGTGCTGCCGTTGCAGGAAGCCGTGCAGGTGCTCATCAAGCACTCGGCCGACGTCAATGCCCGGGACAAGAACTGGCAGACCCCGCTGCACGTGGCAGCCGCCAACAAGGCGGTGAAGTGTGCGGAGATCCTCATCCCCCTGCTGAGCAGCGTCAACGTGTCGGACCGCGGCGGGCGCACGGCGCTGCACCACGCCGCCCTCAACGGCCACATCGAGGTGAGCGCCGCCAGTCTGGTGCAAGTCCAGACTCTAGTCTAGTACTAGTTAGACTCAACTCTAGTACTCAGTCTAGACCCGCTGTGGCTGGATCTAGACTGAGCCCCCTGTCCCCTGACCCCCAGGGTTGCTGTCACTTGGCTGCATCCCAAACTGTGGGACGGGTTTCCTACCTGCAGGAACACAGCGGTGGCTGGAAGGTATCTGAGTAGAGCCAGGGTATGAGTGAGGTGTGCATGCACTCCTGGAGAGATGGCTGTGCCACTGCTTCCAGCAGCTCTGGGGTCTCCTTGCTCCTTCGGAGCTGGACTGCCTGTGAAAATAAGAGTGGCAGAAAGGAAAGAAGGGAAGACTGGTTGATTCATTTCATACACAGAGATCCAGTCACTTTGCTTTTCCAATTGGCCTTCTAGAAAATGTGCTTCTGTTTTCCCCTACTTATACAAGCAAACCTTTCTAGTATTATTGTTTAACTATATGAAAAAGCTTACATAAATAAAACCCCTAGGTTTTTGTCTCCTAGGTTTTGCTAGTCCTTAGATCTGGTTTTAAGGATCCTCATTTTCTTATTCCACACCTGAAGATCTAGATATTGAAGAAAAACTCTTAGACTGGAACAGTAAGCTTCTGTCAGTGGAAGTTGATGAGTTGTACTGTAATTAAAAGAAGAAAGAGGAATGGTAGTTCCTGTAAAATGGTGATGGTGTTTGGCCTTTAAAATGCTGGATTATAAGAAAGAGACAGTAATGCCTGTCTGTCATAATCAAAATATTTTGGATAGGGAGCATCAGAAATAATCATTCAAATGCAGCATTTTGTGATCCCACCTTTATTGCAAGACTGATTTGTTATAAACCTTTAAGTATATTATCTGGAGGGTTGGTTTATCTGCTGTTGTTACTTCTAGATGGTGAACTTGCTCTTAGCCAAGGGGGCAAACATCAATGCTTTTGACAAAAAGGACAGAAGAGCTCTTCACTGGGCAGCATACATGGGTAAGGCTTGGGCTGCTGCTCCTTCTTTTTAATTTCCTACTCACAAACTGATAGCATGTCTTAAAATGGACAAGAACAGACCTGGCCATGGAAAGAGAGTGTTGTAATTACCCTGAAGAGTAAAGGGTTCAGCTAATCTAAATGTCCATTTATGGGTTTGCAGCTAGGGAGATCTTGGCTGTGATTTCCTTTTTAAGACAGTTAATAGTGGGCTTTTTGTGTTGCTTTTTCATTTTGGTCTTCTTATCCTGATTCTAAGTCAAGCCTGAACTATATTTATGCTAGAAAAAAATCCAGGTTATATTTGTTTCAGTTTTTCCTAAAAAGTATCTTCAGTGAAATTCAGGTAACTGTGATCAAAAATTTTGTTGTTTATTGCAGCTTATAAGCAGTTAGGTTATGATGTTCTTAGGAAATACACAATAGGCACTTTTTTCCTGTTAGGAGAATATTGTCACTTTTTATTCCAGAATGGACAAGAGCAATGGAATATTTGCTCAAAAAAAAGTGGTGTTACCAAATACTGCTTAATTCAAACAGTTTGCCTTATCATTCCTTTCAAGTTAAAGGCAAATTCCTTACAGTGGGACCATTATAATTTAAAAATACAAGACTTCCTGTGATAGTAGTCATGCTTGTTCAAGAGCTTTTGTTGGCCAAGCTGTATATTTCAGGTTGCAATTTGTGGGGAGCTGTGTGCGCTCAGCCAGGAACTCTTTCATTTGACATGTCAGAAATCTTCATTTTAATCCTGGCACTTTTAGAAATGACATAATAGGAGATTTCCAACTGTGAGAAAAGCATATTGTGTGGTTTTTTGATATACACAGACACAGATGGAAAGGCTCTTGCCAACAACTGTGATGTGGCTTTTGAGCTAAGGAGCTTTGAACTTCACTCTGGATTTGAAAGGGTCTTACATTGTGCTTTGCAGTTCCACGCCTCTTTTCATTTACATGTTTTACATTTACATTTAAATGTTTTCAGAAATTCATGAGGTACTTTTAAAAGTATTTAGATAACATCTAGGGCCTAAATTAGCAATGGATTCTGTAGTGCATTTTATACAGAACTTAGGTAATGAGATGAGAGCTGTAAACCCTCACAGAGTTTCTGGAATATTTAATTATTTTTGAACACTAATTATCTATAGACTTTGTACATATGGTTTCCTAGGTCCTGCACATGACCAGAGCTGCCCCTGTCATGGAAGTGATGTGCAACTCAGATGGAGAACAACTTTGTATGATGTTTGACATAATAAATATTTAATTCAAAGACAGATCTGTCTCAGCATGAAGCAATAAGACTATCCCTCTTAATTTTATAATTTATTAAGGTTACTTTTTATCTCTAACAAAACCCAAGCAGTGTTAGCAGTTGTGTTTGCAGGTGACATCAATAGAATGCTGTTTTGGGAGACTTGCACTCTATCACTATCCTCTGTAAGAGGGAGAAGAAAACACTCTGTTAGTTTGAGAGAAATAAATGGAAAAGAGGTGTGGTTTTGTTCTTTTGGCAGATGGAAAATCAATTCAGTAAAGAGAAATTTGACACATTTGGAGAAGGTGAATGCATGGATTTCTTCATAAGGCCTGGAGCTAGGATTAAAAACATTTATGAAAATGCTTTTTCTTCCTTTGTAAAACTGTGGGAGCACTTTGAAACAGCAGTGAAAGGGCAGTGTGTTAGCAAGAAAACAGTAATCTGGGAGAAGTGATGCTGTGGGATGGTCTACCCATTGATTACTATCTTTCATCTTTTGAAGGTCACCTGGAAGTTGTTGCCTTGCTGATTAATCATGGTGCAGAAGTGACTTGTAAAGACAAGAAAGGTTACACCCCACTTCATGCAGCTGCATCCAATGGGCAGATTAACATTGTGAAACAACTCCTTAACCTGGGGGTGGAGGTATGTGGTAATGTGCACTTTATTTTTATTTAGAGATAGTCTTTTCTTCTATCTTATGGATGCTGCTAAAGACAGTGACTTCTAAAGAAAAGGCGTCCCATTTCCAGACCACCTCATGCTTCATGTAGTTTATTGGTTCAAGAGGCAGGAGACATTCTGTATTAAAGAAAGTCTGATATGGACAGTAAATTCCAGGCCACCTTGCTGAAGGAATCCAGAGATATATCCTGTTCCTGCAGAAGCAGATGGAGTAATGAAATTTTCCTTGGGTCAGCATTTCCTTCGATATGATGAGTGGTTGTTCTCAACATATACACTGAATATTTTACTAAGCAGCAGATCAGGCAGTTTCAGTTTACAGACCTGAATTTCCTTTGTAGTTGATACATTGTTTTCACTCTGGAAAAAAACTCTTTTTCAGGGCACAGACTTCTTGTTGTTGCCCATTCCTCAAAGCAGCAGTGGTGAGATGACCAGAGGAGCCTAATCAGTTAATCAGAGGTGTCACATAAAGCCACTGCTTTTGCCATGGCATTTTCACCTGACTTGACCTGCCAGAAAATTGTCAGAAGTTCATGTTCACAGGCTGTTGGCTGTGAAGGGGAATAACTGTTTCCTGTTATTAACAGAGCTGTGCTAATAAGTCCATTTAAGTTCCACATTCTCCACCACTGGGGATATGATCTTTGAAGACGCCTGTACTTCATGGAAGGCTGTTCATGTCATTCCCAAGTCTTTTGTGCAATTTTTCTTGTCCTGTTTTACAGAACAGCAGTTGAATACTAAGTTGGTAATCAAGAAGTACCATAATCTTAATTATGTCTTTATAATACTGAGTTACTGAAAGTGGTTTCTTATTGATGTGTAAATGTCTGTGCACTTTCACACTGCTTTCACTCAGATACCCTCACTCCCTACCCCAAAACAAAACTATGTAAACAGCTCTTATGCCTGGTTCTGTTCACAAAAACTCAATATTCACTGTTGTAATCTTTTTAAATATAAAGATTGTGAGCTTTTTATTCATCCTGCTTTTCCACTTACATGGAAAAGCTTTCCAGCTTGTTAGGAATTTTGTTATCATTACATAGTCCTGCTATCAGCTTTAAGCTTCATACTGGTTTTAGAAATTGTCAGTAGGATAAAAAGTTAATAATAGGAAAAGTGAAGCATTCCAAGGGAAGCTGTCTGGCAGTATAATTTGTCAATGAAATGTGCTGGTGAGAGCTGTGCCCTATGACAGTTCAGGCCTCCAGCTATTTCCATTTGCAGTGTGTGATGCATTACGTAAAACGCTAAGCTGATGTCTGTAATTTTAACTATGTCTCCTTGTCTCATTTTAGATTGATGAGATGAACATCTATGGAAACACTGCACTTCACATTGCCTGTTACAATGGTCAGGATTCTGTTGTTAATGAGCTGATTGACTATGGTGCTAATGTAAATCAGCCTAATAACAATGGATTCACCCCCCTGCATTTTGCTGCTGCCTCCACTCATGGAGCACTGTGTCTTGAACTACTAGTGAATAATGGGGCCGATGTTAATATTCAGGTAAAACTCGAATACCAGCTTTACAGTTTTGCTTTAGCCTGTTTTGCATATCTCAGGAGGAAACTGTGTAACAAAAGTACAACATGGCTTTAAATCCTTGATGGAAATGGAGTGATGCTGAGAATGTTGATCATGAAACTGTGGGTGAGATTGCATCCCAGCAGAGGAGCCCTCAGTGCCTTGATAAATACAATGAGAACTCTAAACTCTAGGGCAACGGCTTTCATGAAGGCACAAAAAAGTACTAAAATATAGTCCCAGGAGCTCTGTCAAAATGTTATCTCAGGGAATGGTGCTAAGTCAAAGAACTATTCCTTTTTAGTGTTTTTCTTCCCCATATTATATGGATATAATTAAACCTGATTCCAAGAAGTTCCCTTTCCAGGGTTGCTTGTTACCTATTTAGAGCCCCAGCTTACAAAGTCTGGTCCTCCTTAGGATATCTGAACATTCTTGAAGGCACAACTTACACATCTCGATGAAGCTGAAAAGAACTTGCTCTTATCCAAGTGAGGGTACTGGTATAAGTATCAGAAAACTTGAGATGTTCTGAGTTCATACAAGATTTTGACTACTGTAGTTAAAACTCTCTGTGTTTCAGTTTCCTATCTGTGAAACTGGCATTTTAAGTTCCAGCATTTAACAACTCTGGCAAGTCCCTTAAGATCAGTGAATAGTCAGTGCACTGTTTAAACTCAGAATTATTAAGAAGTTAGAGGTTGTGCTTGCCAATGAAGGTGAAACCCCATGCCAATAAACATGAAGTGGTGTGAGTGGAGGCTGGTACCATTCCTATGCTATTTTCTCATTGCTCAGCTTTCCTGGTCTTGGTTTCTTTCTCTAAAACCCAAAACCCAAAAATGCTTTGTACTCATTGCACCTTTGCTTTCATGAGGCTTCACATGCTCAACCACTGCTCTGTTTCATTCCTGTCAGAGTAAGGATGGGAAGAGCCCCTTGCACATGACAGCTGTCCATGGGAGGTTCACACGGTCGCAGACCCTCATCCAGAACGGTGAGTTTCTGTGCCTCTGGAGTGGCTCTCCAAGACATCAGGCATATCCACTGTTGAATTTTTAGTTGTTCTGCCCCAGAGGGCAGCTCCATCAACTTCTGGCTTTGAGCTGAACTGACAGCTCTCATTCCATTGTGTCATCGCTACCTGGGATTTTGGTTGTTAATAAAATTCTGTAATCTTCCAGCTGACAGTGGTCCAGATGATCTATTCAGATTCTTAACCTGAAAGCAAGAGTTCAGAGGTGTATTTAGGTCTTTTTTCTGCTGAGACAGATGCACAATTTTCTAGTTGTTCTCCTTTGGGAGCCCTGATGCTCTTAGAGCTCAAACCATTTTTTCTACTCTGCACTCAGCAGCTGTCCTTTTCTCACCTCTCTTAGCTCATCCCTTGCCACTGTCTTCATGAAGTGTTGAATATGTACTCAGGAGGGAGGAGCAGTACTACCTTGTTTGTTCTGGCATGGCCAGAATTCCTGATTATCAGTCATTTCTCAGGCATCTTTTTTGTCCAAGAATACTATAGAATATAGCAATTATTCTTATTATTCTTGTTGGAGATCTGGCAGAGGCCTGTTTCTGAATGACAGAGGTTGCTATTACTGAATCTTCCCTTAAGCTTCCCAGTCTGGGCCACTACCTGAGACAGGATGGTCTGGGCTTTGTTCTTTGGTTGGGTTTTTTTTTGTTTTTTTTTTGTTTTTTTTTTTGTTTTTTGTTTTTGTTTTCCAAAATCCCAACTTAGAATTGAAGTGTGAAATATTGGAAATGGTTGAACAATTAATTGTGCTTTAAATGTAATGACACATTTAAATGAGATTTCTTAAAATAGAGGTCTCCAGTAGACCATGGTTCTTTCAGGTCATCATGCAAATTGTTGTTATCTCTCTTCTGGGATAAATAAAACAGTAGTAACAAAAGGGAGTTGGGGCAAAATGCAAGAAACTGCTTTACTGCAGTTTTTAGTTGTTTAGTCTAATAGGCTCAGGCTTAGAGCCATTGTTTGCTTGCTGTTGGATTTGTGTGTGAAAGGACTGGCAGTTCTTCATATGTCCTTCACACCTCTCTACTTTTCTTCCACTTCCTTGGGTTTCACTTGTTTCTTTCTTCGTTTTCTGCCCCTCTAATTTTAGTGTTGTACACAGATCTCGTTGCAAGTGACTTTGTACCTCATTGCCATGGGATCTTGGGGAAGAGAGAAATGTCAATGATTTAAAGCAATAGAGTTTCATTCTGCAGTACTTAATGAGTTGGCTAATGGTGTCTCAATTTCTGGTTGCTATCTCTTGCAGCTTGTAGAGGAAGAATGTATTACCTTAAAATTGGAAAACTGCAAGTGTGATACCTTTCTTTAAAAATGAGGAAGAGGAAATGCTGGCGAGCATAGGTCAGCCAAAGTGGGTGGTATCTTGCATAGATTTCTCAATAGTAAAAGAAGCTGGAACATCACAATTTTATTCTACAGCAGTTTAATAGGTTTTGTGAACACAGCACACACAGTCCTCTGACTTTTACATGAGAATTTCTGTTTGTGGAGACCTCCACTGGTGGATGCTCTACTCCAGGGAACCTCTTGAAGCATTTCACTGACCTTTGTTTACCATTAAAAAATTAGAAATTAGAAAGGTTGGAAGGAACCTTAAATATCTAGTTATAGCCTATCTGCCATGAGGAGGGCATGCCTTGCACTAGATCAGGTTTCTCAGAGCCTCATCCAGCCTGTCCTTGAACACTTCCAGGAATGGGGAATCCACAGCTTCTCACAGCATGTTGTCAAGTGCTTTACTAGAACTCTTCCTGTTGCAATTAAGCCCTGTTATCACCTGTGAATAGTGAACTTGCAGTAACTATTACCATATCCTGATGTTAGCAAGACTTTTTACATGCTTTCGGGAAGCATTCTCACAGCAAACCAGCAGAATATTAAAATACTACAGCTCTAGTGCATAACTGGTTGTAAAACTAGACTCAGAGATTAGTAATAAATTAATTGTTGAAATGGGAGGTTCAGTGTTTCAGTTTCCCTTCTGGGTCTGGAACTATCCAGTATTTTCATTAAAAGCTTGGATAGTGGAATAGAAAATGTGCTTTAAACATTTGGATAAAAAAATTGTATTTGGGAGAGACAGTTTGGCAGAAGGTGGAGTCAGAATGAAAAATGATCCTGTAGAACTGGAGACAGAAGTTATAATGCAAGTGAAGCAAAAGAAAACTCATCCACAGAGACAGGAGTATCAGCTGGACAAGAGAATGGTGGGTGGCAGTACCTCAAGAAGGGATCTGGGGCTTGTAGAGGATCAGAAGGTTGTTGACCACAAGTCAGCAGCATTGTGGTGCTTAAAGAAATGGATAATGGATGTCCGTGGTGCTGTGCAATGTCCAGGAGTGAGCAGATAGGAGTGCAGCCAGCAGGCATGAAGTAATCCTGTTTGCTCAGATCAGCACTGGGAGATGTTAGCTGTAGTACTGGTTTTGGCTTTTGCCTCCACAAGGATGCAGGCCAGCTGGAGAGGACTAGGGGAAGGAGAGAATAGTTGGAGTGCAGTAAACCTGACTGGCAAGGAGAGACTGAAAAAGTTACAGTTCTTGGTCCAAAAAGAAAACTGGGACTTGTCTGTAATCTATCTAAAGAAATAATCCATTTTTCCTGCTAATGTGAATAAAACACAAGATGCCAGGTTTAAATTGCAAAAGGAAAAGTTCTACATAAGCACTGTTTGGTTGTTCTTTGGTAAGACATGCAAAAAGCACACAACACATTTGTTTGCAGTGTGTTCCTGATGGCCTCTGGAGTGAACTCTAATTTACATTGTTGTACAGATAAGGCTGAGTGGTGCAGTTTCAGCAGATTCTTTTGTAGTTTATTTCAGTGAACCCATTTGTACCTTTAGATAGGCAGCAAATCCAAATCATATACTTGACCCTTGTACGTCATCCCATTCCCACTACTCATCCCCACCACTGCAGGTGGAGAGGGAGGTACAAGTGCTGCTGCCAGAGCATGGCTGACAGCTGAGAGCTTGCTGTGTGCTGGTCCTTACTCTGGGAAATTCAGTGCCTCTGTGGCTAAGAGAGCAGCTCGGGGCTCCTCAGGGTGCTGTCACTAGAGACAAATAACACTTGTGGTCCCTGGTTCATGCTGAATTTTTCAGTGTTAAACTGTATGAAAATCTCTTCTGCAGGAGGGGAAATCGACTGTGTAGATAAGGATGGTAACACCCCCCTGCACGTGGCTGCAAGATACGGACACGAGCTTTTGATCAACACCCTCATAACCAGCGGAGCCGATACTGCCAAGTAGGTGCCTCAAGTTGAGCTGTTTATAAGGATCAAGTGTCATGTCCAATGCCTGGAAACACAGCTGCTCCTCACCTTCTGAAGTGGGAAGGTTCAAACTTGACAAGCATGATTGTACTGTACTTCAGTGGGTGACATGACACTAAAATATGAACAACTGGGAAGTGTGGAGGGGAAGCAAACTCTGCTAAGCTCCTGTTGTGCCCACTTGCATGATTACAAGTTGTACAAGTACTGCTTTTTTCCCTGAAGCATTGATGTGGAACAGTGGTGTTAATGTACATGTAGTAGGGGTGGTGTTGGTATATATATGTACATACATATATATATATATGTTCTTGAGTATTGTTTATTGAGTATTGTTTAGTTATGGTCAGGTTCATAGGGTCTGTCAAAAGGAAATAGCAAACCTGGACATAAAACACAGGGGTATGAGATCAGGGTAATGCAGTGCCATGAGGGATATCTGTACCAGGTGTTTCAGAGCAGCATTTGATTTAATGAACATAACGTTTTGGAAATTACCTCCACATGTCTCCAAAATATAATTTTTCTTTTACATAGAACCTGCCATAGAAATCAGGGACATCTCTTGACTTACCTAGTTAGGAAACCCTGCTGTCAAATGCAAATGACTGGTTTGAATTTGGGAGAGAATTGCAGCTCTCAGTATTTTGTTTATCTGCTTGATGGTGTTTATGCAAATGACACATTTGCCCCTTCTCCTTTGCTGAGTACAACTGACACCCTAAAAACTCAGAAGGTGGAACAGATCTCCAATTGGCATGGATAATGCAAGTCCACAGGCTTTGGCTAGTGTCACTGAATTTTATTAATACAGCCAGCATGAAGATCTTGGCATCTTAATAGAAGTGTAGGTTTTTTCCTTGCTCTTTCTCCAGTACAGTCAGTCACTGTTATCTTGAGGTTTTAAGGGAAAATGAGATGCACTGGGATAGCCCACTGCACTCTTGGAATCAGGGTTATGCAGTTAGAAATTTCTATTTCACACTTGGGTAACTGGAACATTGATCAAATAAAATACTTTTTCCAGCAGCAGAAATAAGTGAAATAAGAATTTGGCTCAGAGATACCAGGCAGATGGAAATGATGCCACTGCCTGTGCTAAATGTGCTTTCAATATGTGCTGCATGTAAATAACTCTGGGTGAGCTCCCCAGATAGGTTTAGGAAAGAAAACTGCAGCACTGTTCACAATAAGTGCAGACAGCTTGGCCAGGCTTTGAGGCAATGCACTGGAAGGGAAAGTGTGCAAGTGATGGGAGGAACCAGTGTGAGCAGCACTGTAGAAGTGGGACACTGGCTACCAAATGTGCAGATAGTGGATTTCAGTGGAAACCAACCAAAACATCTGCTGGGTGGAAATCTAGACCAAAAAGATGAATAATATTGTGTAAAATAACTAGGAGGTGGAGGAGTAGACAGAGGGAAATGGATCTAGGGAGAAACAGCAATATGGAATGTCCAGTGTTCCCTTAAATAAATGAATCCATGGCTAGAAAATGCAACCTGTTTGTACAGATGCAAGCTCAGTGGAACTTGCAATGTTTTCTCCAAAGAACAGGCTGTCAGATGATCTCTTAATAGATTTACTCTAAGACATAGATGTAATAGCATTAATTTTTCTATTCTGCTAATAGCAAAATTAAACTACAGCAGCACAAGTCACTCAGTGTAGTGGAGCAGCCAGGAGGACACGTTTAATGTGAAGACAGAGAAAGAATGGGTCTTGTGGTTCTAGAAAAAAAATAATTTTTTTGAAAACAAACACAAATTAGTTAAATACATTTATCTGTAAAATCTTGGAGAGAGCAAGATATATTTATAAACATCCACATTAATTATCGTCTTAAGCTTCCTAAGTAGTTATGATTGATGATGTCTAGAAAGACAAGATCCTTTGTCTTTGGGTCTGCATCTGAAATCCTCTTCCATGAGATGATCATACTCTCCCATCCACCAATTGTCTCACAGAAATGAAAGACTGATATGAATCCATCTGCTATTGTTCTGGAGTTTGTAATTAAAAAAAAAAAAATCTGCTGGAACAGGCAGTAGATGATAATCTTGTCAAGCTAGCTGTTTTCAGAGGCTCCATGTTTATGTTCATTTGGAGAACTGCCAGTAGGATAATATTTCTAGAATAACAAGATGATTTACACAAAACAATGCTGAATGAAAGACACCAAGATGTCCAGACCCAAAAGTATTCTAAGGCAGTAAGCAGTGGCATGCCTAGGGACTGAACTAGCATGATTTCCTGATACTAATTAAAGTTGCTGAGTGCTCAGCTTGTTTAAAAACTACATGTCCTGATACGGATTTAGACTAATGATAAATAGGCTCAATCTAAAGGCGCCTGTTCTTTTCTTACCCATCATGTCTGCTCTGAAAGTTTATTGTGTGATTGAAAAGAGGGTCATGTGTTAAAGGGAGGAAAAAGTGAAAGGGGAGGTGAGGAGAGTAGCTGGAGCAAATAGGAAAATTATATTATTAGTTCTTAGGCTGTGAAAGAAAACTGTAACATGGCAGCCTAAAGGAAAGTGTGAAGAGTCATCTGGAAAAAAAAAAAAGGATCAGAAATAATATAGAGAAGATTTTGGCATTTACATTTTCCTCAGAATGGCAATTGCTGTATGTGTAGCTAGTGCAGAAATTTGTGGCTCACTGGGCAATTGACTCCAAGCAGTATCTGCTCTCTTGCTTCCTCCCTTACCTTGGCTTTGCCTGGAATTTGTGCAAACCATCTTGCCACATTCTGTTCAAAGGATAATGCCAAGATTTTGCTGCATCAGAATATTTTTAACTCTCAAGAAGGCTGTTAAGGAAATACAGATAAAAATAATGGCAGACACCAAGAAAGAATCTTCCTAGAAAAGCATGAGAAAACGCTGCCTTTCTGGAAGGAGCTTTTGATGTGCTGTGTGTGTATGTAACCTGCATTTTCTCACAAGGCTCTTCTCTCTTTCAGGTGTGGGATCCACAACATGTTCCCTTTACACTTAGCAGCACTGAATGCCCACTCAGACTGCTGCAGGAAATTGTTGTCATCGGGTGAGTAAATCCCCCAATGTCCCTGGAACTCGAGTAGTGCTTGTCTCTGCTGCTTGCAGCCCCTTTCTATGCTTTGTTGTGAATTATTCTCATGAAAGGTTTCCTGTGCTGCTGTGTTGGGCGGTGTGGGGCAGTGCACCAGAGCATGCAAGGCTTTCTCAAAGCCATGCTGGTACTTCCTGTGTTGTTCATGCCCAAAGCTCTTTTCTCCCAGCAGGTTCAGGGAGTTTAGACTAATTTACAGGGGGAGGGAAAAAATTTAGAACCCCTTTCCAAACTGTAGGAATGCGAGATCCTGTTTTGTTTTGGGGATTTACCCTCTTCCCACCAAAGGAGTATTCTTGAAATTACCTCCTTGAGGTCTGCACTGGTACAGGTATTTACATCTCACTGATGATGATGATGTATTTTGCATGCAGCTAGTGTGTTTCTGAATCTGTAGTTAAGGACTTAGGCTGGGCAAAGCTTTGGGGGCATGAGAAGGAAAATGAGTGGAAGTGTAGTGTCAAGGCAACAGGCTTGGGATCCTCACCAGAGCCCAAAGCAGAAGCAGACAGAGCTTGCTTATGCAACTGTTTCAAAAGAGTCACTAATCAGTGGCCAAATCCCAAATTCTGCTTTTTCCAGGCAAGAAGTTCCTATGAGTTAAAAAATCCTCAGTTAAAAAAAAAAAAATCATATGAGTTTTCTAGAAAACTCCTTCATTACTTAACATGTAAAATGTTCTACTTTCCCCCCTAGCTTAAGTCCTGAAGGGTATACAAGAAACATGAAAAATGGTAATTACATACACTATTATATATTAAGACTTGGTGTGCTCTGGCCTTGACCATTAGATAGGAAATGAAAACACTCTGGATGACCCGAGTTAGCACTTTCAGGCTGCAACCTTTGGCCTTGTGCATCTTGATGAATATCCCCACATGCTGCTGGAAGCCTCTTCCCAATCTGAGCAGCACATACCGTGAAAACAGCCCCAGTTCATGTTTAGGCTGACTCTGTGGTTCTTCCTCATGTCTCCATGTTCTCTGTCTTCCTGTCCTGCTGTCTCAGCCCTCTTGCTAAGTCTCAGCCTCCTAAACGCCTGTCACAGGCTGCAAACAGGGATGTGGAGGAGCTGGATGCAGAAATAGACGCTCGTCACCTTCGCAGCTCTTCTCATAGCGCTGCCAGCGCGGAGCAGCTGCTCGCCGTCCCCGTGACAACCTCTCTGACTGTGCCTCGCCTCCTGGTTTCTTCCCGACTAACTGATTTTTCTGTCTCTGCGATGTTTCTTGTGGTTTAACTAGGACAAAAGTATAGCATAGTGTCCTTGTTTAGTAATGAGCACGTGCTGTCTGCAGGCTTTGACATAGACACCCCCGACAGCTTCGGAAGAACGTGCCTGCACGCGGCCGCTGCCGGAGGGTGAGTACCTGTGCTGGAGCTGCATCTGGCATTTGGGGCCAGCCACTTTGGCTGTGCTATCCACAGAGGAATTTAATGCTGTGCAAGGCAGTCTGATGCCATCATTTGGGTCACTTTAGGCTCTTTTTTACCGCTGCCCTGTGTAGGGTGAGCTGGGTTGATTTGCTGTGCATGGGTTTCAGGCAGAGGAGAAAACTCTCCCTTTTCATGGACCTGAGAAGGCTGTTTCAGCTTTCAGAGGGGTGCTGCACTTGCCCAGGCCTCCCTGACGGCCACAACAGTCACCAAGGGCCAGCAGTCTCCAGGAAAGCATCAGTCCCTAGGGAAAACCCAGTGAGGAGCAGGAGCTGGAGCTCCTGGCATGCTGCTGGCAGGGAGCTATTCCTGGCCTCCATCTCTGGACCGTGTCCTTGTCCAAAAATGCAGCTGTGCAGCAGTGCCCATCAGGATGCAGCCTTGGAGTCCAAATGAAGTTCATCTCCCTCTCTCCCATTTTTCAGGTGCAATTTTAAGTTTCTAAAAGACAAACCAACAAACCAAAGCAACAACAAAAAAATAACCAAAACCAAACCCACATCCTCCAAATTAGAAAGTAAGAAGGCTGCCTCTCTCTCAGGGTGATGCATTCCTGAAAAGTGGTGGGAGGGCAGAAAAGTGAAATTAAAGTGAAAATTTAAATGCTTCAATTTAATATGTAAATGTAGCATCCAATTATTTTAAATATTTCCAGATAATTGTCAGTGAAGTGTTGAGAGGTTAATCTAGCAAAAAGACACAATGTTTGGCAGGCATTGAGTTTTGACTCTTCTGTTTCAGTACTTTATGGCTCAGAAAACAGCTGAAATGGAGCCTAGGCCACAGCCCTTGGATTCTCTGTGGTTATAACAAGCAGAAATGCTCATCCACAGAAAATACTTGGGACTCATTCTGGAAGTTGCTTTTTCTTCTCACTGGACCAAAATCTGTATCACAAAGTTTTTTTTGGGGAAAAAAAACCCCAAACCCTAATAAAATTGATCCAAATATTGGTTTTATTATTGTTTTGGTATTATTCATCTTGATACTTCTTTCGCTTTAGTGTAAGAGGTATGATAGTTGCTTGGATGGAGATTATTTTAATATAGTTCAGATGCTACCTCTTTGATAAGGGTGCACCCCAGAAGGATAATAAAATCATCCTGGAAGTCCTAAAGAGAAGGAGAGGCTTCAATAAGAAGCAAAAGTCACTCATGAAAATAAACCATATTTTCCCAGTGGTTTATTATGATGGTCATCACTAGCAAGTGTTCTTGTGTTTTTATTTTTAGTGCATTGTGGTGAATGTTCTGTAGTTATTTTATGCAACAGCAATTTAGAGTTGGGGTTGACATACACCAAAATATTGCATTATTGCACCCAGTCCCTCTTTTTTTCTGTAGCTGGAGATCTACAGAAGCCATTAGTGTATTTCCTGACACAGGCCTGCCTGTTACTGCCATTACATTAATGGGAGTTTCATGGGTGCTAGGAAAAGAATTTCAAAGGTCTGCTCCTCTGATTGTTAGCACAAGTGATGCCCCTGTGAAAGACAAGTAGTCTTAGAAAGTGCTGCACTTCTTTGTCATTTTCTGGCTTGGAGTCCTGCTTTTGTTTGCTTGAATTACAAAAGATGTCAGAATGCAGCTGGTTTGTTTTCTATTAAAAGTTACCTGGCTTTAAACAAGATGAAGAAACAGCCAGGCTGTGGTAAATTCTCTTCCACTTTTTTAAATGCAATGTTGATGTGACAATCACTATAATAGCCACACCCCTTTTTAACAAAGCAATTGGAGATAGGCTTAAATCTATCAATAGTCAACAAATCATAGCAGATTATACCTACAAGTGACTCTTGTGGTTATATTTCATTAAATAAACAGGATTTGAGCAAAATGCTTACTGTTGAATGCTTTGCTGAGTGGGGGTGGATTTCATTAAATGTCACCTCTTCGTTATTAGACTGGCATTTTATAAGCTAGCAACAACTTTCTTTTAAAATTCCTTTATAAAATACCAGGTCAGAATGGGAAGTACTACAGTACAGCTGCCATTGAAAATCTCCAAACACACTGATCACATTTACTGTGCTCTCTTTGGAAAATTAATTTTTTTCTTCTGCAGAAGAGAAGATTGAGGTTTTCTAGTGAAAAAAAAAGGAAAATAATTTACTTTTAGAGCTTCACTTTCTTTTTGATTGAATTTCATGTTATAGGTGACTGTACCCTGGTTTTGCACAGCAAATAATACAAAAATAACTAGAGTAACTTCTTCCTTTTGGGGGACAGGGGGCAGTGCAGATGTAAGCTTCTGTTTTGTTCATGTTTTGTTTTCTTTACTTCTCTTTTCAGTAATGTAGAATGTATAAAACTCTTGCAAAGCAGTGGAGCAGATTTTAATAAGAAGGACAAATGTGGAAGGTAGGTAAATTACAAAGCTCTTCTAAAAAAGAAAGAATCTATCATGCAAGGAAAAAAGGACACCTCAGACTGAAAATCATATGTTCTATGAAAAATAGCAGCAAAATCAGGTAGTTTGGCCTTTCTGCAGAACCCTTGCTGCTGCATTACATGCCAGCTAGACAGGTGCAGGCTTCATTAAATCCATTGAAGCTATCCCACCTTCTTGAGATTTTATTTTTAAAAATATCACAGCTTTTCTTTTTTTCCTCACTGCCTAAATTCTTGTGCTGGTGTGCCTAAGACACCACCTGAGTTATGATGGCAGGATAGCTGCTATTGGATGTGCTTCCCAGAGGATCTTCCCCCCGAGAAAGCGTTGCTATGGGTGTTGCTATGCCAGCTAAACAAGATGCTGTGATGGACACGGTGCTTTGCTCTGCCTCCCAGCTGGGAGAAGTAGCCACAGCAGAGACTCACATAGGCATTAGGTTGTTTGCAAGGCACAGATTGATGCTCTGTATCCTATTAGGCTTCATAGCAGCACCAGAACTTCCTATTAACACAATATTTTGTTAAATTTCCATAAATCAAAGTGCTGATATTGACTGCTGGAAATCCATAGGAGCGCACCAATCAAGATTTATGTTTATCCTCCTCAGTACATGTTGGAATATGAGGTAACAAATTGCCACTTATGTTCCAGGACACCTTTGCACTATGCAGCTGCAAATTGTCATTTCCACTGCATTGAGACTCTGGTGACAACAGGAGCCAATATTAATGAAACAGATGACTGGGGGCGCACCCCTTTGCACTATGCTGCTGCTTCTGACATGGACCGAAAGTAAGTGAGCTCTGAGGCATTCCTGCTTCCTGAGTGTTTTACTAAATCACTGTCATTTTAGTCTCTTCATGGTGCTGTGCTGTTTGAGCCAAAAAAATGATCCCACTAGCACAGGAATTTCTCTCAGATGTATGCATAGCTCCACAGTGAGTTGCTCTGACTGGAAGCCAAACCCCCAGATGATGTGGCATTTCAGCTCCACGGTTTACCTCTGAAGGAATGCACAGTTCTGCAGCCACCCTGCCCTACAGAATTATTTTCACAGTGTTATGTCCTCTGTTTTCCTCTGTGTGGTTTCCTCACAAGATTAAGCTCAGAGAATTTTCTGCATTTGCTTTGCAAGTCCATCTGAAGTGATAGAGCAAGAGACAGCACTAGGAGAGGTTTTCTGAGGTGGACTGCAGTGACAGACAGACATTTGAGCATTTTGACAGATTTGTGGGAAGGGTGGGATAGATGTAAGCATCAGTCTCATTCCACTGTCAGAGTAGATAAAAATGCCCACTCTGGTCAAATGGGTTGCCTTTCTAAAGCAATGTCTGAGAATAGCCTTTGTCAGAATGCAGTGGTGTTATTGTGAAAAAAGGGGAAAACAGCTGAAAAACTTAGAAATGCTGTGATTACTGACTGCAATTTTAATTCCAAATAGTTGAACATTCTGCTAATCTCTTCCATATAACACACTGTATAAACCAGACTCAATTATCCCGTTAGTTCTCTCTTAAAACTGTTAGCACTCTGTATTTATTTTAGGTCATCCTGTGATTTTCTGTCTCACAGTGTCTCTAGACACTAAGGATCTAATTTTTGCTTTCCTGTATAGTGAGGTCTGGTAAAAGTATAGCTGCATCTCTCCCAGCAGAACACCACCTCAATGCCTTGGCAGGGGAAGTTTGGTTTACCTTGATGGCAGAGTTCTGAATGCCACATCAGAGCCTTGAGAGCTTCTTCATCATTTGCAGTGATAGTACTGACATAAAAAGTGTCTTCCCCATCACCCTCAAACCCAAACAGTGCTTGGGAGAAGGAGGCAAGGTGCTTGGCATGAAAACCAGCATAAGCTTGTAGGAGGGTTTTCACCACTGCCTGTTTCTAATTCTGTCTTACCAGGGTGAGGTGTTACTTGGGGAGGTTGAGAATGATGATTCAGTGTGTGTTTTTCAGCTTTTGGTTCTTGGTAGGTGAGGTTCCTGCATTTAAACAAGCTCTTGGTTAACTTCAGGATGTTTCTAATTTTATCCTTCATTAAAAAAAAAAAAACAACTACAAAAAAAAACAACTTCCCTGAACTTTGGAAGAAGTATATGGCTTTTATTTGTCCTCACAATCACAATCCAAACCTAAATTGATTCTGATGTGGTGATACTGACTTCTCATTAAATTTTTCAGTTTTTGAGATGTTCTGGAAGAAGCCTTATTACATAGATCAAATGCTATTTGCAGACCATGATTTTATAGGTCAGCAGATCTTTTTTTTTTTCCTGCTGAATGTCAAAAAACTTGCAAGGTCAGGCAATCTCATTCCAAAGAATATTCATCATTAACTCTGGATATGGATACTTAATGAGCAGGGAGAAGAACTTGACTGAGAGATCACACAGTGTTGCCAAGATATTTGACAGAAAGTGAGGCGAGTCACCTACTGCAAACTCGAGATAGAGTGATTTAGTATCAGTGATTAAAGTTGCTCTAAATCCTAAATGCTAGAGAAGAACTAGGAGCTTACAGAATGCTAGAGAAGAACTTAGCAGCAAGAGGAAGCAAGGTGTAGTAATCCTGAGTTACTCTCTGGAAACAAAAAAAAGTGCACAACATTGCTGTGGTTGAACCAGAAGGATTCTAGAAAGTGTTGGTCTGATAGAAACAAGAATTTAATTTTTTTTTCTTCTGACGTTGACTTGTGGGACAATAAACTACCACAATATAGTTGTCTCCATAGCTTTGAAAACTTACTACCTGCAGACCCATGCAGTGCACTCAGTTTACTTGTATAATCCTCATTGTTGTCTGGAGGAAGTCAGCTCCTCAAAGAGGAGACTGGGGGTGGGTAGCAGACTGCATCAAAATTATCAGTGTGGTATTTGAGAATAAGTTGCATTTTTCTGTCCTCTGTGCTAAGAAGAAAGAATATTTTAGGTAACTCCCATGAAAATGCTGAAGAACTTGAAAGAGCCACTGAGATGAAGGAAAAAGAAGCTGCATTGTAAGTTTGGTGTCACAAAAGCAGTTAGACTTCATTCCTGGAGAATGCCACAGCTTTGGCTTGCAGCCTTACACTCTGCTCTTGCTTGTTCTTTGCTCTGCTAAAAACAATGCTTGGCTTCAATGAGGGCTAACCTAAAGGAAAAAGCTCCACGTTTTTCTCTGTGCACATATTCCCTGATATTTCTGTTTCTGTGCTTGTTGCTGTTTCTTAATGGAAGATGTACAGCTCCAGTAATTTTATAATTCTTTAATATCATGCGCTTTAGTGTCACGCAGTGTCTAGTGTCATGCACAGCATAGTCTGTACCTTGCAGAAAGAAGTAGCCAATGGCTTTCTCAATGCATTCACTTGGATTAACGTTTTTCACGTATCTGATTAATGATTTTTTTTTTAAATCCCCTTTATCATATATGGCCTTACATTCACTCCAGATTACAGGCTAGGCAAGGAAGTACTAGTAACAAAATGATGGTATCTTGATGGTATAAGAGGAAGTGGCAAGAGCTAGAAAGAGGAAAAGGGATATTTTGAAAAAAAAAGCCAATGAAGAGAACATATAACTCAGTTAAATCTTTTTTCTCCAGCCTGCCCTAGTGCATGTTTGGAGGCCGATGGTTTGATATCTGAGTTTTCACGTGAGGAGTAGCAGTTCTAGGCTGTTTATGTCATGTGCACAGAATTTTTCAGATTTTGTAACAGAAAATCAATTTTCTAATCTAGAGTAGCCACAAGAATTAGGTTGAAGATCTTTTTTATGAAGTTGATCTTCAAAGACAAGTGGGGATTTTCTGTTTAAGAACATGGTGAATGTGAGGAGCTATTGGTGAAAAGTGATTTGCAGTGCTGCTCGAAGTACAGGATTCATTCTGCCAGTTTTCAGTGCCACTTCCAGCTGCAGCAAGGGATGAGCCTGTTAAATATTGTGAGCCCACATTTACCCCAGTGAATTGTCCACAGGTGTCTCGAGTTCCTTCTCCAGAACGATGCCAACCCATCCATCCAGGACAAGGAGGGGTACAACACTGTGCATTACGCTGCTGCCTATGGGCACCGGCAGTGCTTGGAACTGGTGAGTGCTTGCTTTTGGACATCTGTCTCCTGATACAGAATGTGCATGTGCCAGAATGATGAACTCCCCTCATGGCTACTATTGGAGCTCTTTGGATAATAAGAAATCTGTGGAAAACTGCAACATGGGGCAGTAAACTCAAATATTTGCACCCAAATTATCTTAAAAATATGTTTATCTTGTTAATCAAGTCCTTATTCAACAATCTGGTGCTTAAGGATTGTCTTCAAGTGGAGTTTATGTATGCACAAATTAATTTTAAGCACGATCAAAATATTCCCAGTTATGCCTCAGTGCCAGGAGTAAGTGACAGTTCCTGGTAAATGGCAGTGAATGTGCCTGATCCACCTGGCACTTAATCTGACCTGCATACTGAGGGAGTAAATAACTTTTGCTTCATACCTGCAGTTTCTTTTTTGTCTCTGGTGAAAAAATAGCAACACTGATAAAGTTACCATAATTAAGATCAATCTTATATGCCAAGCAGCTGAGAATTTTGGTGGGTTTTTTTTGGTTATTCCTTTTTTAATATTCTGGGTCTAAGTCATTAGTAATTGCATCTTCTAAGTGCCAAAAATTTTTAGCCCAACATTGGATTTAGGAGATGTATAGAATGGATTTATAGACGTATATGACTTGTTAAAGTATCATAAAGGTGAGAGTTAACTGCTTGATATACAGGGTGATCCAAAATTTTATACATAATATATAATTACTATATACATTATATGTACACTATATAATAGATGGTATACATTACATATAAATTGACTTTAATTGCTTCCAAAAAATAAGCTCCAATTGGAATATTGTATAGATACTCATGCTTTAGTGAGAACATTGTGTACTGTTTAGTGTTACGTGTTGTTTGGTTCTTTCTTTCTGTGTTGAAGAGTCAAGTATTTAGTTATTGAGAAGGAGCTCTGCACAGTACATGCTGCTTTCACACCACATGTGCCACACCAGGAAAGTTGCAGCTGGCCTGCAGCTGGTTTCAGCAGCTTGGAAACCTGGGGCAGTAACTCTGCCAGGGCAGGCCTGGGGCAGAATTACAGGTGGGGTATTAGGCCTTTTTAGCTCCCACCTACAAGCATGAATATTTAGGACACTTAAAATAGCACTGCTCCTTTGTTGCTTGTGGCAGTGAGTTTGGCTTTGCCTTCTCCTAGGGCTGACCTTTGGTGACTCCACCCATGGGGGTTGAGGAGGAGCATCCTCACTGAGGATTCTCTTTCAGCCTCTGTGTTGTAGTCCCTGTGTGCTGTGAGGCACGGATTGGGCACGGAGCAAGGTCCCCTCTCTTCTCTTGTACTTGTGGCTGGGCACATTTTCTGCACGTATCAGTTGCAGGCAATGACCTGCTGTCAAATCCTGGCATTGCTTAGGCTGGGCAGACAAAAGGAGGAGCTGGGAATGCAGAGCATGTCAGAGGTGTTGGATTTTCTTTTAATCTGGAGGGGTGAAATGCCAACTGTGGGCCAGAGACAGCTGTGCAGCAAGTGTTCTATATTCAGGCAGAAAAACTCCATGCTCTTCCCTGTCAGTCTTCCTCTATTTGTGGCTGTAGCTGCAGTATGGAAACCCAAGGTCAAGCATCATTTACAGAGTTAGAGTCACACAGCTGTTCTGTGTACAGTGGTGAAAAACAACTGCCATGAATTTTAGTCCTCTGCATGCACAGGACCACTGCTGTGTGCTGGGGTGCCAGCCTGAAACTTTTTTGGGGACCAGGATTTTTCCATTGGTGTTTGGAGGGTAACAGGCATGTCATTTTCTCTCTGGAATACAAAGTGTACATGTGTCAGAAAGCATTTGTGCTTGTCCAACAGTAAGACCAGGATCTGTCATCTTTGCACCCACTGTCAGAAGTTGTCTCAGTTTTTTTTGTCATGAGTTACCAAGTCCCGAGTTGAACAACTTTACATTTGATAACTCTAACTAGCTGATACAGGCACCACCATTACACTGATTTCTTTGCAATGCTGGGATTCAGGATGGCAAAAGGGCTGAAAGCAAAGTCAGGTGGGATTATATAAATAAACCATTATTTTTCAGTGCCATATTAACTGTTATTTTACTATTTTATCCCCTAGGTAAATATTTTTGTTTATTATTGATAGCTGATAAATGAAAATATCTAGGAATTATCTTGCCCAGAACAAGACAGTTCTTTCTAAAACTTGTCAGAGGAAAGAGTTAATATGAAACATGGAGCTTTATTCTGGTCAAAACTAAGTCAAGATGGATGCAACAATAATATTGTTTTTCTATGAATAATGCTTACTAGTATTTCTCTAATACACAATACCAAATCTCAGCAAAATGTTAGGGAATTATTTTGGTGTTCCAGAATATGTCAAGTTTATAAAAGTCCTTTTAAGGTTATTTTTTATTTGCCTTCTCCCCCAACCCCCCATTTTTTTTAGCAGCTATCTAAAAGAATTTATTTCTAAATAAATGTTCACTTAAAAAAGTCCAAATAAAAAGATGTGGTATCCAGTGGGGTTTCCTTCGCTGGGCAATTTGGTCTTTGCTTTAAGCACCACAGTTTCTCAGCATTTAAAATATTTACACATTTGAATGCAGTTTAGGGAAGGGCTGGTTTATCTATGGAAACATATTTTCATTCTTTGACTTCTGTGTTTACCATGAGTCCAGTACCCTGGCTGGAACTTAGCTACATTTCTTTGTGGGGAGGCATTAGGAGAAATAAGGATTAAGACCGAAAAGGTCGTGTCTTTGACCCAAACCAAATTTATGTTTTGTGTGTTCAACCACAGAGCTCAGCAAGAGAAGCTTTTTCCTGGAGGACCTTTAGGTTGTCTGGAATATTAGCAGGGTAGTTGCTCTGCAATGAATGATATGATGTTGCTAAAAAGAGAAGAGTGGAAGCTGATTCCTCAGCTGTTTCTCCATCTGTAGGGAGCCATTCATAAAGGCTGAATGGTGGGCATGTGTGTTTGCAAGTCACTGAAACTCCCACCTGCCTTCCTGCTTCTAGAAATAACCTCAGGTTTGTTTAGGCTGGGGCTGACTTTGCTGTTGGTAGTCAGTGACACCAGTCACCCCTGCTACCTGGTGTTTTAGAGCTGATCACGTCACCAAACTCCTTTGGAGAAAAGAAAAATGTGGATTTTTTTACATTGAAATGATCTCTTATCACAAGACCTTTACTGGTGTGAAAAGAGTGGAATTTAAATTGTAATTTCACATTACAATTCTACACGGAGAGACAGTCAAGCACTTTGGTGCTGATAAAAACAGGTTTTTGTGCAATGCTTGGCCAAACAGAATTAAATGCCTGTCTCCTCTAGTGAAATCTCTTCTCTAATTGTAAGAAAGGATAGATAAATTTTCTTTTAATCTGCTCTTCTCTTTACTCCATCAGCAAATGTAATTCCCTCTTTGACTAACAGAAATGGAACCATTAGAGGGGCTAAGTCATTTAAGGATGGGAGAAGAGCATGGTTTAACCAAAAGCCGTGCCCAGAAGAAAAGGCAAATCCCTTTGTGTGTGCTGGGGAGCAGGGGCTGAGGGAGGTGTGTGGCCAGCACGAGGCCACACTGGGAAACTGGGAATGGAGAGGCTGGGGAGCACCTTTGATCAGAGCAGCTGTGCACTGCGAGGCACATAAGCCATGCTTCAAACACTGGGTTCCTCAACCTGTGGAGAAGTTGAAATCACTGACTCCATAAATCTCCAATGTGGCTGCTGCTAATTACCTGTCTCCTATCAACACAAATGTGTTCATTCATCCATCTGAGAGCAGGACACTGGTAATTACTGATGAGTGATTCACAGCAGGGGCTGGGATGGGTGTTAAAAAGCTTTTTTCCATGGGGATCTGGCTCCGATGCTTGTCCAGCGGCAGCCCCTGGGCCTCCTTCTGACCCAGATCTTTTTATTTGGGGGACACAGCCTGCGTTTTCTCCTTCATAATTCCTTGTCTCCACAACTAACACCCCCCTTGTTAAGGGGAGCATGTTGTCTGAAGCCAGGGGCAGCAGTGTTTTGTGTGAGTAATTACTTTGTACCTGTGTCTGTGAGAGCTTTTCCCAAGTGGAGCAGAGAAGCACAGTCATTAACTTAAGTGGTTCTAAAAAGAAGAATTTAGGAACTTAATGCTCAAAAATAACTTTAATACAGCTAATTTGTCTGTCAGTTATAGAATCCCCCAAATCACGGTAGACTGATTTAATTGGTTGAGTTTTGATTTCAGCATTTGTGCAAAATGTACCCACTCTTTAAATAATCAATAGAAGCCCATATATGCTAGATACAGTGATATAAGTTAGTTTATAGAAGTACAATTTGTCTTAGCTTTTATGTTTTGGAAGCCAGATAATTTGTTTTCTAAAAATGTTTTCTAAAAAGTTAATACTGCTTAGGAAATCAACAAGGGCAGGAATTTACTGTTTGCCCTGGCACCCTGCTGGCAGTTTGCCTTGTAGGATAGAGTATTGCTTAGCATCTCTGGGGGTTATTTTCTGTCTCTCTGACACATCTTGTCTTTTTTAGTCTGTATGTTTATTTTTCTGGGGTGGAGCATCAAGACACTTTAATCTGCCTTGTTCTGACAGAGAACAAGGCCACTGCAGAACTTCAGGAGACATTTTTCATTCAGTTAGGGAAGAGATCACAGACTTCTGCTGTTGCCTTAAATACCTTTCTGTGTATCTGTGTGTGTGATGTTGAAATGTTGTGTGTGAAGAATATCTGGCTCATCAAATCTATTGATTCCAATAGATTCATGGCATATTGCATTGCATTAAAGTATTAGGCTCTCAAGAAGAGCTGTGGTCACTGGAATTCTAGGGGTGCAGTCAGGTTTATTTATCCAAGACAACATGTTGGCCTGCATGAGCAAGCTTTCAGACAGAAACTGCCACTGGTTTATTGGTATTTGTAGGTTTACAAAGCAATCTCACTTCATTAAGCAGACTCCCACAGAGTGTGTGTGTGTGTGTGTGTATTATGTATCTGTTGATCTGTGTTTTGTCAATTGAGGAGATTGATCTTAAACATTGTCATTAGTCTCCTCTCTTCCTTCCTCCTTTATGAAGGAATGCAACCAATATCTATCCACAGTGGCTGTGGTGTAGGAGTATTTCTGCTGGGTGTGGTCAGTGTAGGCATGGGGCACACAGGATCAGGTCCATGGTTCTGTTCATGCACTGCTTGCAATGCAGTTATTGTACAGGAAAAATAAACCAAGAAATATTTTCAGATTACTATTACACTTGAGTGTTGCTGTCTTTAATTATTCTAATTCTAACTGACATTTTTAATTAGATTGGAAGCAAAACCCCATTGGATATAGTGAGTAAATGAAAAGTGATTGCATGTTGTGTATTTTTATTTAAACGTAGTATTTTGCAAATCCTTGTATTCACTCTGGTGAAGCCTGAGGAAGAATCACAACTCTTAACCAGCATGCCATGTACTTGAAGCAATTGCATGTGTGCTGCTTCTGCTTACATTGGAATTCCTTCTTCCTGCTGCTTGCAGGCTCCAGCTTTGCTCAAGGCTGTTGCTTCTCCTCAGTCAGTCTTAGGAGCTGTGAGTCCAGTGCACGTACCTGGCTGGCATGACACTTCCCTGGATGTTAAAGTAACTTTGCATTTGGTAATGTGAAATGGAACCACACTTGGCTGTTTTCTGGAAGTTTGTGGCCAATTTTAAAGTGTTTCAGAGAAGAAATGTAAATTACGTGGCTTCAAGTGAGCTTGAATTTTAAAAGTACTTGTATGTGTTTCAGAGTAGAGGCTCAAATGAGAGGAGAGTAGCAAAAATAACACTAAAATGCACATTTTAAAAATTGACTGCCACTATATTTCACCAGTCCTCAAGTTTTCTATCTAAAAAGGAAACTTCCAATAATTTCTCTAAATGTAAGCCTTCCTATACCTTTTGCACACCTGTATGATTTACAAAAGTTTCTTTGGCTAAGAGAGTCTTTAAAGCAAAGCATGAGGTTTTACAGAACCTCTGAGGTAGAATTTCTGGCCAGAAAGAAGTATGTTAAATGTAATTTAAGTGTGAAAGTCCCAGGTTCAAATCTCTGCTCTGACAAAGGAACTGGACTTCTACATCCCAAGGAGTAACCAACATATTATGCAGGCTGGTACTGGGGGTGATCTCTCACTCTCATTTGGAGCTGTTCTGCATTATTTAAATACTTACTGGGTGACAATCACCTGACCCTATGACCCACTGAGTATGGCACTCCTATGGCTTAACGTGAAATGATTTTGTATGGAGTGGAAGAGCTCCAAGAGAAGATCAGTGCCCCAGCTGAGAACAGCCCAGGGCCTGGAGCCTGCTCGAGTTTCAGATTTAGATATGTTTAAAGACCTGAACATTGTTCTCTTACATGCCAGGTAAGTGTCCTGTTTGCGTTCTGGTGGGTATTGGATACTTAAATTTTGTACCAGAGGAGTTGCATGGAGCTACTAACACATCTCTTCAGGCTCAGTCAGCCTAAGGTCTTGTGAAAATACTTCTTGCTTAAGTTAATTTAACTTCACCCATATCTGTGCATGTGAATGAAATTGATGTCAGTACTGATGAATTGGATTTTTAAAGCCTGATCTTAGGAAAACATTAGCATTAGGTTAAGAGGAGTATTGGTTTTAACCTGATCAAATTAAAGTAATTTGTTCATGTGTATTTACAAATATGGAGAGAGCTTACAGGATTGCTTGTTCCCCTGAGGATATATTTGTGCCACTTCACCTTTGAATTTTTCATCAATTAGGAATAATTCCGAGATTTTAAATGTACTGAGATAAAGTAGTACAGAGGTTCATTTTACTGCTCTTTTCTGTATCATCAGAAACAACTGATGAGGGTTTTCAGTCTTGTCCTGGCTACATGCTGAAAAGCCTTCATTTAAAAGAAGCTGCTGGTAGCATGTTTTCCCACAGCAGAGTCAATTATCTGTTGCAATTTATCAGGAAATATGAGATGCAAAGTGACACCTAGCTCATATATTTGTATTCAGTTCTGAAAGTGACATTAAAAATAATGACTAATTGCCAGCTCTGAATGACCTTGTAAATGATCAGCAGCATCGTTGCAGAATTGTTGCAGAAGAGCAGTGTCCCAACTATTCCTTCTGTCTTTATTGCCTTTTGATCAGCTTTTCACATGTGTGGATATTTCTGAACACTGTTAGATTAATAACTTTTCAGAGTAAAGGCTATTTTTAGAATATACACAGCCAATCTAATGCTTTGCCATTTTACAATTCGCATGAAGGGCACCAAACTGCAGGGGTTCAGCAGCAGTACTGCCAGTGTGTGTGCTGGAATGTCAGAGCTGCCTTAATAAAACAGTAACACTCCCAAAGAAAATTCTCTTTACCTTCAGTGCCAGTGAGCACCAGCCTGGGCCATAACTATTGGGAGTGCACGGAAGTGGCTGTGCCTGGAGGTGCCTGTGCATGATGGCTTGGACAGGATCACACGTTCTGTGCTCTTTGAGGGTTTGAGAGAGTGCCCATCGTTTCATTGTCTAGGGCTTGGAGTTTCTTTTGACTCCTGCTTCAAAAAGTGTAGCTTAAACCTTTTATGCATGATGAAAGTATTATCTCTTTTTCTGCTTAATGGTAATTTTGAATTACTGACATGCTCCATGAAGCTGCTATTTTTTGTTTTTTCTTTTCTTTTTTTATTTTAATACCAGAGCTGAATTTTAGCATATATTATGAGGACAATCACAGGAAGTATCCTGACTCATTAACTAGCATATCTGAATGCTCCAAAAATGAAGGGGGGAACCCACACTGTATCCTGCAATAGAGTCATTTATTATAACCACAAAATAAAATCAAGCAGCAAATCCTCTTGTGCCTGTAAATACCCTTACTGCACAAATGAAATGGTGCAAACTGTAAAAGTTATTAATCTTCATGCTGAGCTAGGGAAGAGAAGAGAGTTTATAACAGCAACCTTTTAGTGCTGTTAGTTTGTAAGACTAGAACTGAATAATTGCTATTTAGTCTTAGTCTGCATCTCACAAAGCATTTATGTTCCTGAGTCTGAAGACTTCACAAAATTACTTACAGAATTAAATGGTGCTGTCACAGGAAGTGAAAGGGTCATGGTGGGAATTCCCAAGAGGCAGAAAGAGAAGAAGGGTACCCTTGCCTTTAGAAAGGTTCTGATCTGCCCACAGGGTAGACTCCTGCAGAGTCTTTGCACAATTCTGACATCCACCTAAAATCTGTGGCAGTCGATACAGAGAAATGCAATCTCCTACAAGGCAGACTTTTAAAGTCCCAAAAAATAAGAAATGCAGTATGCTGAGACATTGTCCAGTCAGCCACCAGTAACAATGGTAATTGATAAACTGTTGGTAATTCATGCTTATTTGTCTGTCTTTGGTGAAATGCATCTCCACAGGCAGGGATGGATTGCAGCACAGCAGACATGCTGGGACTGCTCTGTGAGCTGTGTGGGATTTAAGCTTCCATGGCTGCCAGGACAAATGATTCTGAATGATAAATTTACCCTTTTAAAAACAGATGCAACTATGGATAGCTTCTTCAAGTATAATGGAACTAGAGTCCCCCAAGGACACACTATTCTATGTGTTATTATAGAAAATATATGTAATTTAGTATAAAAAGAAACATAGAAACACTGGTAAAATGGGAGAATTTCTTGGTGACTTGGACTTGGTATTTTTTATCTCTTTGTACATTATGTTTGCCATTCAAGTGACTTAATTGTTACAAAACAATGCTTGACAAGGAATGCCAAAAAAGAAAAAATATTAGTGATGTGTCTTTTATCTTCCTCTTCTTGTTCTCCTTTCTAATTGCTCCTCTTGCAGTGTATGGCTCTGTTTCTGAGAGCTTCCAGGTTTGCCATCAAATTCGTGTTTGCACTTGACTTTATGATGGAGATATTCAGCCTTATGACTAATAAGCTCATTAAGCCTGGTCTGCACCAGCCTAAGCTGCTTTGACTAAGCCATGGAGATGCCTTTTGTGAGGGGCTTTCCAATCCCACTGTTTGTGCCTTTAGAGCCTTAATTTTGTCAATTTTCTGTGCGGTTTTCTTCATCTATTCGAAAGGCAATTATCTGCCTTGTTCCTGGAGACTTTTGGAACCTTCTGACAGGTGAAGGGAAGTATTTACTTGCTATGATTTTGATCCTGGAATTTCAACATGGTGATGAGAAATGTAATTAAAGATTAGTAAATTAGTCTGCTGTGCTGGCCTCATGGACACAGACTAAAGGCCAGTATCAGGTAGGCAGGGGAACAGGCTTAGTGCCTGGGTTTGTTTGGTGGGATTTTTTAGCTTGTTTACTCACTAGAGAATATCAGATGCATTTGTGTATTCATAGCTGGTTACAGCTTCATCCTGTTCACAGCTCTCTTATATAAGAGAAGAACAGTATTTTAACTGGAGGTGGTTCTACATGGCAGCACCAAATGCATTTCTTAACTCTGCCCCAAACCTACCAAGAAACTGGTGGGAGGCTTGATTTTTTTTTTCCCCTGGTAGCTGCAGGGAAGTGTTAAAATTTGCATTACCTGTTAATACGCACACCTACTTGCTTATGATTTTTATGAACACATAGTCTTGACATATTGCTAGGCACAAAATATACAAGTAAACTAGATTACTGCCTCATTTTCTAGCTTTTCCATAGGATTCAGGTTATTTGCCTTGCTGAATAAGAGATTTGTAACACCTTATGCATTATTAAGGCTAATTTATATTGCAGACTTAGTTGTTACACCAATAGTTCAGGTCTACATCAGTGTTTAGGAATATGCCATCACCTTGCAGCACAGACAAGCCCTTTGTAGCCTTTCATGGTCTCTTTTGAGAACTTTCCATGTTGTTATAGCCTAAAATTGTCCAGACTGTCACAAAAACTTACATTCTTATTTTTCTGTCTTTTGATTAATTCCTTAGTCTCTTAAAAAAAACCCAGAAACCAAACCAGCCAACCAACCAAATGAAAAACCTTGAAAAAGACTGAAAAATGTACTCGTAGCCTTAGAAACATTGCAAGTCAGTTTTAGCTGACTGTCATGCTTTTCTTCTTTTTATGCAGTCTCCCATTGGTGATTTTCTGTCAAATGCTAATTTCTAGTCCCAAAGGCTTGTGGAGACCAACTCTGACTAATTATTAAGCAAAAGGCCATGCACATGAGCAGTGCCACTCAACAAATGTTGAATTTTCAATTGCATTCTCGACACTGTGTGATTTTCCTTGCAGCCTCAGCTGGATAAGTTGTCAGGGTTCATGTCCTGTTGTGGAGTGGTGCTTTTCCATAGCTCTTCCTTCTAGATGGATGGAAATGTCCTTGGTTTTAAGCTGTAAAATGAAGAGGATTATACAAATTTGTTACTAGATATTACTGGATGCTTGTAAGAGTTCTGGGATGTGTTGCATTTTGGAAGACTGTCTTTGCAGGAGCAGATTGTTCTTTCAGTCAATTTTATAATTTATCAGTGATTCACAGCTCAGTTATAATTATTCCCAGTGCTAATTATGTGTCAGAATTAACCAAAACACTGTATCAGACATGGCTTGCACATGCTGTATAATCATGAAACTGAGCTTTCTCCAGTGTAAATTTACTGAGGGCTCTATCCTACAAAGCCTGCTCCTTTCTCACCCAAGCAGGCCCCAGCATTTCATGAAAACTAATTAATCAGGTTAAGGATGTTCATGACAAGCTTTTAAACTGGTTTTATAGCTTTACCCTGTGCAGAAAAGCTTGAAAATACTTTGCAATCCTTCAGTAATTACTGTGGCCAAAATACATCTTTGTTGATTTATAGATTTATAGTCCATGAAAATTTATCCTGTCTCATGTAAAAATTTTTTAAGACTTTATTTTTTTCTTCCCAGCTTCTGGAAAAAACAAACAATATGTTTGAGGAATCTGATTCTGCATCTACAAAAAGTCCTTTGCATTTAGCTGTGAGTATGAGATGTGTAAAGCATTTGATCAATGTCTCCTAGAATAGTTCTTTAATCTCTGTCTTTGAAGCAAGTTTAATGTGGGCTTGTTTTGAAAAGGGTAGGAAGAGATGTAACAAAGCCAGGTTCTGGGCTGGAATCATTAATTAAGTTTTAGGCAGTTGAAGCTCTTGGCTCTTCCTGACTCTAACACTTGGGCAAGAAGATGACACAGACACTGAAGTGAAGTTAAATGGAAATTCACACTTGTATTTAGAACTACTTTAAAAATATGTGGCCAAAGCTTGACTGTAGACTTTGCTCATGGAATGAGATTCTCTGATGTTCTGGAGGAGAGGTGCAGTGCAAAAACCCTTTGGTATGCAGCAGGGTGTGGGACAGTGTTCAAAGCCCAGCAGTGCCCTGAGAATGCCATGGAGACTGGCATATCACAACAGGATCCAGCAGAGATGGCCTCAGAGATAACAACTGCTCCCCTGTCCCAAGAACTCAAGATTCATAATTCCTCTTCCCAGTTTTCTTGTGCAGAACCACAGAATAGCTGGGGTTGACATGGACCTCTGGAGATCGAGTCCCAGGTCTATGGTAAAAGTAGAATCAGCTAGAGCAGATTTTTTCAGGGCTGTGCCCCATCACATTTTGAATGTCTTTAGGCATGGAGAGAGAATTCACAACTTCAACTCTGAAAATACTAATAATACAACTGTATGTAAATAAAAAGGATGCTCTGACAGTGAAAAGAGGAGGGCAGGCCCTACAAAGCTGAACAAAACATTTCCAATTTCTGGCACTGTCCACTGGGTTTTTGCAATGCCACCTGTGTTTGTGCTGTTGGCCCCAGTGTGGCTGTAGGTCTGGAAGTGCATCTGCTTGTCCACTGTAGTTGTTCTACCAAATGGTCCAGCTGGCAGGAATTCTCCATGAAGCATCAGCTGTAAACAGCTGGTCAAGTTTGTGTTTTTATTTGTACAAAAATCAGGTTTGAGAGTCACTTATTTAGTTGGAGACCAGCAAATGTATTGAATTCAGCACCAGTCAGGTGATAATCTATGGATCTCTCTAGTGAATCTAGTTTTTGAAGCTAACATTTCCCTGTCAGATACTGTAGCATGTGGAAAATGAATTGCTGATTGACCTGTGCTGGCTTGGCAAAGTATTGCCTGAAATTTCCTCACTTTGAGTTGTACTAGAAGGTTAGAGCAAATCAAGATTTGTAAATTCTTTTCCTAAACTCTAGGAATATTTTAATTAAATAATTTAAATAAAGTAATTTGGAAAAATCCTTTCTGGTAATAGAGAGTCATAAGGAATCAATAAACTGATTTCTATTGTGTTTAGGAGACATTGAAAGGGATGGATTTTATTCACAATTTATAGGAAAGGTCTTTGAAAGACAGGAGTTGTGTTCTTTACATGACCCATTTCATAATTCTAGGCCTATAATGGTCATCATCAAGCTCTGGAGGTACTTCTCCAGTCTCTGGTAGATCTGGATATCAAGGATGACAAGGGACGCACTGCTCTGGACTTGGCTGCATTTAGAGGACATGCAGAGTGTGTGGAAGCTCTCATCAGCCAGGGTGCTTCTGTCACCGTCAAGGACAATGTCACCAAAAGGACCCCCCTCCATGCCTCAGGTGAGTGTGATCTTATGCTACCCTTGTGGTGTGAACCCTCCCACACCACAGCAGGTACATTTACTTACCTGCAGTTGCTATGCTCATTTCTTCTAAAGGGAGGAACATTCTCACAGGTCCTGAGGAGCAATACTTGTTTGCTGATATTGTATATTTAAACCCTTTTTCTTCTGTTTCATTCCTCTTTTTTCCTCTATCCCTGTGTTTCAGTGCTCCCTCATAGAGAATCCTTTATTTTTGCATACCACTACTGCCCTTACCTGCTTGCTTCTCTCTGTTACCACCTGCTCTTTGGGAGGTGTGATGTTTCCCTCATGACACCTTCTCTTGCTGCTTCTTCAGCCAAATAATCAGGGGAGGAGGGAGCACTTGCCTCGCTGCTTCTCTTTCAGAAGAAAGGTAGAAAAATAGATATGGGCTCTGATTGGCAATGAAATTATTCTGGTGTTCAAAACTGTGGCAGCACTACAGAAATTCACCCCCCTCTTTCAGGCTCCTCCTCCTGCTGAGCCAGCCTGTGAGCTTGCACTTGCTGGCAGCCTGCTCCTTTCCTCATGCGTGGGGTGTTAATTATTGGAACATGCAAAATCAGCTGGGAAATGTAGACTTTGACATTTATTTGAAGGTTATTATTTGACAGGTACCTGTCAGGTAAATATGCAGAGATGCCAAAGGGAATGTGTCTCCTCTGCTGTTCCAGGACGGGCTCCGTACAGGGTAGCAGTGGCCTCTAGTGGGAAGGAAAATTAATACCACGTGGATAATTAATTCAGGACCAGACTTAATTGTCTTCCTGCTTATCTTTTAATCTTACTGAAATGCATATATATTCTGTAGTATCAGTTTATTTTCTGTGTGCTATCATGTAAGTGCAACCTAGAAACCTGAGGTTAAATAGACTTACCAATTTTGTCTGCAGTGCTAAAGGAAATGCTCATAACAAACCACACTGCATACTAAAAATGCTTCCTGTCTGCTTAAACTTTGCATCAGAACTCAGGACATTTCTCCCCATGATAAATACTGATGGTTTAATTAATTTAAATCAATATTAATGCTATCACAAAAATAAGCTATGGTGGTGAAGAGCTTTCCCTGTAGTTACTTCAAATATATCTTGGGATCTGATGTGAACAACACGTGACTGTGTCTGATACATCATTACCATAGCAAAAATTTGCATTTATTTAAAAAAGTGGCTATAGTGACATGAGTTTTCAGTTGTCACAACTGAACTGTAAAGGTTCTTCAGTACTGAGAAAAGTCAATGGTAACACAGCCATATTTTTCTTAACAGCTCTGACTTAAAATACTAATCTGTTGAATAAATCTGTTGAGTAAATTGAGTAAATTTGTTCAATAGAAGATGTTATTTTAATACACACCTTTCTTACCTTCACATAAATTCACATTGTGTTCCCCCCACCCCTTTTAATTTTTTTTTTATCACCTCCCTCACTTTAGTATTGAGTGCCTTCTATGTGAAACCAGTAGGAAGATTCATTGCAAACTTTTCTGATTCATTATGCTTTTTGTTTCTCAGACTAAAAAGCATTCCCAGGAGTGCAACTAAATTGTTCTTTAAATTTACAGTGAAGCAAATATGTCTTAAAAACAATCAAGCAAACACATATACAAAAAACCCAACCAAGAAAAAAGGCAAAAAAATCTTACCCAGGAATGAGACACAAAAGGGAACATGCACCTTGAGCAGAATGGAAAGTAATGCACAGATGGGTTGAGTATTTGAACTCCTTAGTAAAGGAAATTCACCACTGTCATGGATTTGAAAGCTTTCAATGTGAGTTAAGTGCACTTTGGGTAAATATTCTTTAAGACAACGTTTAGAACCTTCCATTCAGAAGCTCTGTAGTGTTCTGTGGAAATGATCTCTGGAGCAAAGCTCCTTCCAGCACCTGCTCTAGACGTGCCCGTGCCCATTTCCACGCGGCCGTTCCTAAGGAAGCGCCTTGGTCAGGAGTGTCTGAGTGGGGCCGGTGCCGCGGGCTGGGAGCTCGGCTACGGCTGCTGCTGTTCAGCCTCTCTGTGCTGCCAGTGTGGTGCCTGCTGAGAAAGCAAACAGAATTCTTGCTGAATTATTCCCTTGAGTGCCAGTGTGCATTTGCACGCACCAAAGTGAGCACTTGCACGTGCAGCACTGTGCACGGGGAAAAACAAGAAGGCAAGATGTCCCCATCCCCTTAAGCTTGTGTGCCCTCATTCCTTCTGGTGACACCGGCACAGCTGCTGAACACTGAGCTCAGGAGGCCTCAAGTGGTGGATTGGATGACAGAATTCTTCACGTTTGTGTCAGTAAGGGGATTTGTGACTTGAGAACTCACCTAATGAAGTGTTCCTTTTTCTGTCTCTCCCCATGAAGTAATAGACTTCCTCTGGCCTCATAACATGGTGAATTTCCTTCACCTAAATGATATGTTCCCTGGGTAATTTTATTACTGGCAGCCTCTCCTCTGGCTAGCCTGGAGAATCCATTGCAAATGTTGTCCTAGTGTTGTTGTGGGTCTGTTGGCAAAACTAACGTTCCCTGCAGGGTCCGTAATGCTTAACAATCACTGGGTCAGCTCCTGGGAGTATCTGTTCTAAAACTCATTTACCAAAATCATTTTCACACATCTTTGTAAATAAGTAATGATTTATCTTCCTCCTGCTGGGAGAAAGAACAGACCTTTATTCCCCATCCCCCCCACAAGCTAGTGAATCACCAGCCCTGCAGAACTGTTTACATGTTATGTATATGTCATTACTTAGTGGTAAATAACTAAAAATGCCTTTTATTTTTCTGGGTAAATCAACTAAGATTATTTTTGGATGAGTAACTTATATGTGATGATGTGCACCGGTTTCTCTGCCAGCATGATGTGACATAGGTGGTGTCCAAGGGTTTTGCCTCAGCCCACAGGGTGTAGGCAGTGTGAATGCATGACTTGCTGTAATAAGAACACAACATATATCTACTGAGCACAGGAATTGTTTTTCAAAGAAGAAAATATCTGTCTCTTCATCCCATGAAAGTCTGAAGCCTTAAAGCCAGCTAACACACAGATGGGGTTCAGTGTCAGGCCCTACAGAATGTAGTGACTCAAAGCTGTTTCCTAGCAGAATGGGTTACATAAAAAAAAAAACAAAACAAGAAAACCCAAACCCCCCCCCCCCCCCAAATATCCCCCCTAGCAAAAACCCCAAAACCCCAAACACTACTAAACCCAAATGTTTTTGGTAAGTCTTATTTTTGATAAAATTGATAAACTCAGAAGGAATTTTAGTCTCTGGTGTTATGTACGTTTATGAATATGACATTTGTATCATTGGTCATTCTTTGCAGATTTTTTTTTTCCATAGCAGCACTGAAGTACTCACTCATACAGTGCAGATAAAATTAAGGAGCCCTGACAAAGTATTTCCTACTGTGTTCCAACCCTGAGCGCAGAAAGCCTTGCCTGCCTGCTCAGTCTGGAGGATTTTGAAATGCTGTCTGCTTTAGAAAGATTTAGTAGAAGTCTTCTCAGTAGTGAATATCACAATTTCTGTTTTACTCATTTGGGATTTTTGTATCTAAGAGAACTAATCTTCATCGTCATGAAGTCAAGGGAAAAACAGCTCACCATTTCACTGGCAAGTTAAATGAAAATTGGGGAAATGTTGATCTTTTATATGGTGGAGTGTTTTCCTTGTTTATAAGGACATTTCTTATCCCTAAGCATTCCGATGGAAAAGTATCTGAAATTAAACATAGGGTTTTTTTTCCTTTATAGTCATTAATGGCCATACACCTTGTTTACGGTTGTTGCTGGAAGTCACAGACAACCCTGATGTGACAGACGCCAAAGGACAGTAAGTTTTCTTTGTGAGCTTTTTTTTTCCAGCTCTGTAATTCAAATAGCATCTCATATTTCTCACAAAAAAGTACTTATTTGAAATACTGTATTTCCAGCACTTCTCCTCGTAGAATTTGGCAGAGATTACAAAGTACACATTCAGTTGATGTAAGCCATGTGGAAAGGACTAATCATTAATCTTAGCCTCTGCTTCATACTTTAAACAGTCTTTTATAGATGTTGAGGGCCAGATTCAGTAAAAATGAACAGGCTTCTGAGCTGTTTCTATAAAGTCTTCTTCTTTCTAAAACGTTGCTCTTCTAGGTTTTATTTGGTACATTACACTGGTGCAGTAGGACACAGTGTTTATTTGAGGTGACACATGCATCTGAGATGTTCCTACAAAAACCTTACTTCTTAAATGGCAGTTATAGAGGAAGGATAAGATAAATTTTTAAAGTGAAAATGTAAATGGTTTAAGAAACTCATTTGGGATATCTGGAACCGATAATGTTGTACATATAATGTCTGCACATTTAATTTCAAATGGTATTAGTCTGCCTAAAAACAGATGGAGAATAGATCTCTTTCAGAAGCAAATGAAAGATATGTTAGTCTAAATTTTAGGTTGAATATTTTCCTCATGTCGCTTCATGCCCCTTAAGCAAATGTACAGCATTTGCAAAAGAAATACTTTGGGCCATTGTCATCTTGGTAACATGCATTCAAAAGACTGTGAATGCATGTAAAATTTATAAAACTTGTGTGTACTGTAAAACTCGTGTGTCACTGGAGGTAACAGTAATTGTAGGATATTGAGAGAACAGATTGTCTTGAATGGTGTTGCTCTGTAAACTGCTTACAAGTGGGTTTGTTACTATTTCAGTCGTGGCAGTCAGTTGTTAAACATCTTAATATTTTTATACAAAAGGTCTTCACTCAGGTGTCATATGCGACTATGGGGAAAGAACCGGATTTGTGGGTAGGAATGGCAAGAAATGCAGAGCTTCCTGATTTCTCTGTGTAAGTTAGCAGTATTAGTATGCCATTTTATAGCTATGACTGCTCTGGTTTTCTTTTTATTCCCTAGAACTCCGCTAATGCTTGCAGTGGCATATGGGCACATTGATGCTGTTTCTTTATTACTTGAAAAAGAAGCATCTGTAGATGCAGCTGATCTCCTGGGATGCACAGCTCTACATCGAGGGGTGACTTAAGTTTTATAATCCTTTATTATTTGTTTTGCTGTGGCTCCAACTCACTTATAAGTACAGGGATATTTAAATCTAGAGAACACTGTCTGGAAACATGACCAAGCATAAACAATGAGATACAAAGCGAGTCACATCTGCTCTTAGTAACGTCTTGCTTTTATTTCATATTTGCATTAATTAACTAGGCAAAATAATGATTAGACCACTTTTTTTTTCTCTAGACACTTTTTAACAGCAGTCATTATTCTTGTAACTGACCAGCTTAAGAATAATGAAAATAATTTCTTTGAAAGATCTGGCCAGTAGTTACTTTCATTTTTCTTGGAACGGTGCAAGTATGTCCTATAAGTTTTTTCTAGAAGCGATGAAACTTGAGGCACATCTAATCTTTTTCATTCCAGCTTGACTAAGCTAGGCCTTCCTAGCTAAGTCTAGCTTCTTAGCCAGTGTGGATGCAAGGGATCATATTTATACAGAACTTTATGATAACTGCAGTGAGCAGTTCAGCAGGTGAGCAAAGGGGCTCTCACCTCTGACTGCTGAATTCCATCCACACCATTTCATGTTCACAGGCATCAAATCACATTTCATATTTCCAGGGCAAGAATCTGTGTTACATCAAACTCTTCACTCATTTCTTTGTTACCAGATCATGACTGGGCATGAAGAATGTGTTCAGATGCTGTTAGAGAAAGAAGTCTCTATTTTGTGTAGAGATGCCAGAGGCAGGACACCTCTGCACTTTGCAGCAGCTCGGGGTCATGCCACGTGGCTGAGCGAGTTACTGCAGGTGGCACTTTCCGAGGAGGACTGCAGCCTGAAGGACAACCAGGGCTACACGCCCCTGCACTGGGCTTCTTACAATGGTAAGGCTCTCCTGGGGTACTGCCCTGCTCAAGGGTGGCCTCAGCTGTGGGGAAACCTGGTGGAGGAGCTTGAAATGAAGAGGCGAATTATCCCTGTGTGCTGTCTGTGGTTAGCATTCCCTATGTACACACTTCAGTTCAGAGGCCAGGGAAATTCCAGCAGTACCTCCCAGGGACTTTGCAGCTCATTTGCTCCAAGTCACAAGAAGCCAGGATGAAATTCTGGTTTTATTCATGTCCATGCTGAAATTAATTTCTGTGTGACCAGGAATGCTCCTTTGAGCTCTTGGTGCAAGAGGCCATCTGAATAGATGGATATTCTGAACTGACTATTCCAAACTGGATAATCTGAACTCGTTGCTTATATAACAACAAAGCTTCTCCATATTGACATTTAAGCTTTGGATGTAATGCAGCATACATGACATCACATTAAAAAAAAAAACTTATTTTCTTTCCTTTTTTCTCAATAAATGCTAATATTAGCCCAGATACCTCTTGCTGCTGCCATACAATTCTAAAAATCCTCTGATTTATCACATAAGAGCTTATATACACATTATGTTCAGTTTTGAACTTAAAAGTGTTAGATTCCAACCTGTATAAGCCAAGTATGAATTAAGTGAACTACCTGCTTTGTGCAACACAGTCAAATATCTGCTCTCTCACAGGTCATGAAAACTGCATAGAGGTACTATTGGAACAAAAACTTTTCCACAAGTTTGATGGTAATAGCTTCTCTCCATTGCACTGTGCTGTGTAAGTAGAAATCTCCAGTAACAATTGCATGTTGCTTTAGGATATGTCTGCAGAATAACACTAAAGCAAGCTTTTTTGGAAACTATTTGCATGAGCAATGATTCTAAAGCTTGTCACTTGAAATAAAATTCTTTGTGGCTGAAACATATTATTTTAAATCAGAATTTCTACTAATAGCTTTGAAACAAATTTCAGTATTCATATTATTTTAAATTAGTATACAATTCTCAAACCTATTAAAATGTGTGCAATTTAAACATGTGTGTACATTTAAAATGAAAATAGCTTTTAATCCAATGTGGAAGTGGATTATACTATGTGTACATTACTGTTACTAAATACTGTTCATTTTCATAAAGAAATGAGACAAATTAGCAAACCCCAGAAAAAGTATTAATTGAACACATCCATCAAATCAAAGTCCTAAATGTGTGAGTTGGAAGAGATGTGGGTTTCAGTACCTTAAACATTAGAATAAATCTCTCTTCATACAAGTGTCTATGACTGAGCTCTTTCCAGGCCCATGTGTGTTTGACATAGAGACTAAGGATTTTAAGATATTAAGGTTTTAATCTTAGCTTTGTTCTGGACTTTGAAATTACCTTTGTGGATAGTGAATTAAGGATCAGCTTTGCTTTAGAGACTGAAATTCATCGTAGCAGATGCAGTTTGGTTAAATGGAGAGATGATGGATATGCAGAAATGTGACTAAAAGCATTAAGACAAAGGCATATTAGGGTAACTTAGAAATAACCACTAAGAAATATGAATGGGAAGTCAAGTAAACCTATATTAGAAAGTGGAAGAATGTGTAGACATGCATTTTAAAAATGCATTTTCTTTGGCAGAATCAATGATCATGAAAACTGTGCATCCCTACTCATTGGAGCCATAGATGCCAGCATTGTCAATTGTGAAGATGACAAAGGAAGGTAATAGTTCCATGAACAAACTACATCTCACTACTCCATTTGGTATTTTTCATGATTTCTTCTGAACCTCTGGCACTAATCCTTATCTGTTATGGCTGAGTAAAGACTTGTCATGCTGACTCATTCAGACAGCAATTTACACTGCAGCACTGGTAAAAGGTGCCTCACTTGAAGCAAGAATATGAAGTATTCAATGTCAGAGTGCATATGAAAAAATATAAAAGTAATTGTATTTTGTTTGTTTGTTTAGAACAGCAATGGCTATAGACCATTTCCCTGGACCTGTTTTCTTTGTTAAATGTTTAAACACATTTATCTTAACTAAATGGAATGATACTATGTACATACAGAAAAGTGGTTAACATTTTCCATAATTATGTTGGTATTCTCCATTCTCCATATTATGTTGGTATTCTCAGAGCACACAGCTGAGAATATCAATGCAGCAAAAGAAAACTATTACAGCAAAAGATGGGCATTCAGACCAATCCTTCATTTGTCACACTGAGAATCTCCTCACCATATACGTATATATTTAATTAAAATTGCCAAAATTCTAAAAACTGAACATTTATTGTTTTCTTTAATTAAAACAAATTTAATACCCTCAGTAACAGTGATTACATTGTTCTGTGAGGGTAAGAGCACCTCACCTTTGCTGATAAGCAAAACAGAAGCAGCACTGAGCTGGGCTGTGTACCAACTATCTTTCATCTCTAGTAGTCACCCTTCTGACCCAAAATGCCAAAGAGCCACAGTGAATGAATTCCTATGTCTATGTAGAAACTGATAACCTTCAAAGTGGATTTAATTCCTTCAGCCTTTTACAGTACTGCTGTTACTTGTGGCTTGTTGCTGCAGTATCTTATTTTGACTACAATTCAAAATATTTTAATTTTATTAAATAATGGATCTGTTCTTTTCAAACCTCCCAACTGAGGCTTGCTAAAAAAAAAAAGGTAAAATCAGATAAATAAGGATGAGGGATTGTACTACCTTTCGTGTTACACAATATGCTTTATTAAAATAAATAGGCAGCTAATACAAGATTCTTCACAGTGTCTTATCTCCATACTATCATATCCACCTTTGGAGACTGAAAATATAATTTTACTTACTTCAGCTGCTGCTACTACAACCTTCTTGTGGCGATAACTTGAATTTGATAGGAAAAAGCCCTAAAATCTCTTGCCCTTGGATGTTTCTGGGGAGGTGGGGATAGTGCCCCCCTTCAGCAGAGCTGTGTGGGTGTTGCTCCCCCAGGACGCCCCTGCACGCCGCAGCCTTCGCCGACCACGTGGAGTGCCTGCAGCTGCTGCTGAGCCACAGCGCGCAGGTGAACGCGGCCGACCGCGCGGGCAGGACGCCGCTCATGATGGCAGCGCACGGCGGGCACCTGGGCGCCGTCGGTGAGTGCAGCCCTGCCCCTGCCCTCTGCTCCTGCTCTTCTGCCCCACGGGGTAATCCCGGCGTCCTGGAGAAACTGAGCAAGGAAAGTAGATTATGTGGATAAAGCCCTTTTGCAGGAAGAAAGCTTTTCATCCATTAGAAAATACTACTTCTCCGCAGTCTTGGTGAACGTTTGCAGTAACAAATTTGAGTCTTTTTTCCTCCAAAGAGCACACCGTAAAGAGCACGAGGGCAGTAGTAATTCTATTCTCCTGTTTACTTCCTTGATTTTGAGAAGCAGTAAAGCTGCATGAGTGAAAAAGATTATGTAAGCTTTTCCTGTCCTGTTTTATAGGAAGCCCCATTCTTGAAAAGGCAGCTCTCAGCAGCTGCTTTTCCAGGCTAGACTATGTGCCACAGGCACACAGACTGGGGACCTTATAGGCTTTGCAGAATTCCCTTTCTCTAGCTTCAACAGCACAGACTGCACCCATCTTCTTTATATCCCCTTAGTACTCTCAAAGCAGGACTTGCAGTCATCCTGAGGCAGAGGTAATTCAGGCAAAAATTCCTGATCTGCAAATAGGAAAGTTCATCAATAAATAAAGATCAATATATGTTTGACAGTTTGGAGCACCACAAACAAGCTGTTAGCTCTGCATTTGCTTGTTGATTAACTGCACAAGATTAGTCTGGTTTTGTTCACTAATTTCACTATTATAAGGCTTACATCATAGAAAGACTTAATTGATTAGACTCTATACACATGTATATTGAAACAGTAATTTTTTTTCCTCTCTTTTGACATGTTCATCTGCCCATTGGGTTTCTTCATTGATTTCTACTCTATACCTCAGACTTTTTGGTGAACATTGCCAAGGCTGACCTGACATTAAAAGACAAGGAGTTGAATACATCTTTGCACTTGGCTAGCAGTAAAGTAAGTCGAAGACCTCTCTGTGCTTTTATTCTTATCAGTCCATATGAATGTATGTGTGTGTTCATGCTCCCAAGTTTTGTTCTGCAGTGGAAATGTGGTGATCACAGTTGAGGAGGTGAGGAAGGGAAAGTTGTTCCAAGCTTTATCTCTTGTCTGTTTTAAATATTGTACATTGAGAAATAGGGATGGCTCTTATAACAGCTGAAACATAAGTGGCACTAAAAGAAGTAAAGGAAACCCTTTAAGGTCTTACCAGATAATCTCACTGTAAAACAGCTTAACAGGTTCAATAAAAAAGAAAAATAAAATTATTTTTATCTATCTTCAATTCCTGTGAAAGGAGACCAGAATTTTCCCTTAACAAAGCAGGAGTGAAACCAGAGGTATTGATTAGATGGGTGATGGTGTCTCTTCCTAAGTCTTCTTCCCATTAATTCCAGTTTCTACTGCTATTTCTGCAAGAAAAAATGCACAGAGGATTCCCTTTCCCTGGGCCTTTTCTTTTGCTTCTATCCACAGATTGGATTCCCGTGTGATCATATTACTCCAGTTTCTGCAGACACATGAGCCTTGCTGAATTCTCAAGGTCCTTCAGGCAGCTGTTCCCTGCCAGGACTGTAGGCTCAGCATCTGCAACTTGCAGCGCAGAAACAGGATCAGAAATAAAGCCCAGATCTGTATTATTCTCAAAGCTCCATTGTTAAGAGCTCTCTGACATTGAAAAGGTTTTCTAGCAGCTTATTAATAATACAGAAAGGCATTTAAAGACCCACAAAGTGTGGTATTCGTTTCTGAGATGAAAGCATTCTCTGTCACTGTGTGGTTCTGATAAATCATCCACTGAATGTTCACTCAAGAGAAAACACAGCATTCTCTGAAAGCTGAGGAAGTGAATTCATATTTAATGAACGCAGGGTTGAAAGACAGGTGAATGTCTGCATTTCTAAATGTGCTAAAACATCCCACCAGTGGTGGTTCACAAATGGTATTTTAAGACTCACTTAGTTCACCTTCTACATAGGCTTAATGAGCAGCATCTTTTGTATTTCAAGTTGAGTTATTAAATTTCTCTTTTATTACGTTACATTTCTTTTGCCTCAGTTTCAAACTCCTCATCAAATGAACATTTTTGGTTTTTTTCCCCTGACTACAGGGTCATGAAAAATGTGCCTTGTTAATACTTGACAAGATCCAAGAACAGAGCCTTATTAATGCAAAAAATAACGCATTGCAGACGTAAGTATAGTCTGATCCTCTCAAGTTCAGTTGACTTACCAGAATATTCCAATTTACCATTTCAAATTCATGTCTCAGATTACTGTATAGAACAGTAACGTTAATTTCTGGTTTTTTGGAATGCTTTCCCTTGAAAAAGACCCAAATTGTATTGCATTCTCACTTTTAATTTTGATTCTGTTGGTGCTATTTCTATGCATGATCTGGTGGAAAAATTATATGAGGTAATTTATTTGAAGACTATATCAAAATGTATATTAATCATGTGAATAGGTAAGTATACATCTAGCATTTTATAGCTTTTTGAGCTTCACCCTAGATTTAAATAATTTATTTAGACTTGGACTTAAGGTACATTTTGTTCTCAGAAGGTCTTTTAGGTGATATTTTATGTGAAACTTCTGTCCATAGCATATGTTATCAGCTGGAAGTGTTAGTTGGCATGGGGGAATCCCACCAAAGGAGATTCAACCATGAGTTCAGGTGGCAGATCACCTAGAGCTTGCAGAAGAATTTATTCCATCTTGGCCCTTTTTTCCCCTCCTCTTCCAACATGAAAATGTTTTTCCTGTCCCGCTAGCTGTCCCCAGACTGGAGCATTGGGTGTTGGGCCAGGAAAAGAGCAAACCAATGGCTATTTTTAATTTCCAGCTGCTCTGCAGTAACAGAGATTAGCAATTGAGTATTCAAGATAAAAAGGCAATACAATGATATTGAACAGCCTGTAGTAGCCAGAATTAAGGACAGGACACAGGCATCTCTTCAGTCTTGGATTCCTTTTCCTTTTAAACATCAATTGTGTGCTGCAAACAGTGCAAAAATGAGAACCTTTTAAATAAAGCCTTTAAGCTGGAAAGTATTAGGCAATCTTTATGTGCTTACACAAAAAAATTCTTGCTTTTTAGATGTGGAACATGACAATTATTTCAAAGACTGAAATAAAATCTAGTGTCTGTGATATAATTCTAATGATCCAAGGAAGGAAACCATTCTCTTTCAGATGCTGGGTATGCTTTAAGCATTGTCTTTGTTTAGGAAAAACTGTTGTAAACCAAAGTTGAATTTAGTTGTTATGTTTTTGTAGACCTCTTCATATTGCTGCACGAAATGGCTTAAAGATGGTGGTTGAAGAGTTGCTGGCCAAAGGGGCTTGTGTCCTGGCAGTAGATGAAAATGGTAAGTAAATGATACACTTTGACAGTCTTCAGTAGGACCCAACAGGTAATTTTAGAACAGACCAAAGCAATAGACTTAAAAGATGATGATAGACTTCATTGATGCTTTTATCCTTCCAAGAACAGACAATGAGTTGTGTGAGTACCTATTAAAAAAAAAAAATTAAAAATACACTTTCTTTAGTATAAGAATCTACTTTAAACATCACAGTGGTCCCTTTTACTGTTCATTTTGCATGTACTGTCAACAGCTAGTCTTTTTTAATGCCTGAGTGCAGTGGTAACTTGAATTTCCTAAACATGCAAGTGGCACCGGATAATTCTGACACCTTGCAGAAGAATTAAGGAATTTGCATTCAATCAGCGCATGTTTTAATGGGTAGGAAGAAAACCATCAACATATGTTTGAGTGTGTCCCAGCTCATTCTGAGATCAAACCTTCTGCTTTCCAATTATCTGACCAAGATGCAATTAATTACTGTTGTCTCAGAAAAATACATAATTGGTTACTGAATTAAATAATTTTATTTCAGACTTCAATTAAGTCCTTCCCTAAAAATAATAAGGAACCAGAGAGGGATGTGATTCTACAATTATAGATTAAAAAAATATCTTCCTGAAATAAGCTGGTCTTTCTACAATACTAACTTCATGGCATTAATGTAACAATTTGTTACCTCCATCTTTCCCTATCTGTAAAGTAACACTAAATAAAGTAACTACTCACCCATCACTGCAAGACATTTGAGATCTGTGGATGAGAAGAACTGAGTGGTATTTACTATAAGCCAAATGCTACTTAGCTATACTTGCATGAATGACTTCCACAGAAATCATCTGACCCTAACCTCACTTTAGAGATAGAGGACAGAAAAATGAACTAGACTATCTTTTAACTACAGAATTGATCCTTAAAATAATACATACAAATCCAACTAATTTGTATGAAACAAATGAAAATTAAGTTTAAATTTTACACACATTTAGTTTTTCTAGGAACAGCACGCACATTTTAAAAGAGACACGTTCAAGTAGAATCTTAGCATACTTACAAATCTAAAGAATATTAGCACTTGGAACACCCGGAACTGACATGGAAGAGGAAATGCACTGACTGAAATCAGTGCCTAAATGTGGGTATTTTGCAACAAAACTGTATTCACTTTTTGCCTACTAAGCTCATCTGTGCTGCAGATCTTGGCTTCCTCGAGGCGGTAGGTACCAGAAGTGGCCATTGCCTCATACTACTATTGCTGCAGTGCTGAAGATTTAAGCATCTGCAAAAGAGTTTTTCAGCTCTTAGCATAAGAGGAGGATTTGTTGGAAAGGGCTGGAGTTCTGCACAGCAGCATGTAAAATGTACAGACAGTGAGTGCAATGAGCACACTGACTTCCAGGGCTCATGTACATGAAGAGCTGCTTTAGGGCAGTGCTTGGACAGGACCCAAGTTAAACTGCAGTGAAGACAAGCTTCTGATAGCTCCCCCCCCAGTCCTTTGTTTGACTGACATTGGAGTCATATTAGCTCTGTATTTGAAATGTATGCCATGCTTGCTGAATATGGCTAATATTCTTCTAACACAATGTACATTGAGTAACTAAACATCCATGTAATCACACCTGCTATCCATGTACCCCCTGCACTGGTCTAATTCTTTTCTAATTTAATTCCTAAATAAACTACCTGCCAAGTTGAGTAGATACTCAACTGATCAATCTCTAAAATTGCTGCTTATTAAATCAAACATTTTTAAATGAATATGTTTCACGTTTAATGAAAGTTGTTCTCAGAATGAGACTCGTTCATACAGACAGAAGCCGATGCCAGTTTCTGTCCCTGTTGCTGTAGTCCCCATGTTCTGTATTGGCCGTGCTGTCTGTGCTGTAGAACTGTGTTTGGCGAGTGCTTTGGTTGACCTGGCGCAGTGTTTGCTGCCTGGTTTCACACAAGCAGTGCTTGTTGTGGTCCCAGTGACTGCGGTGCCCCCAGTGTCTCTCCCAGCATGTCCCGTGTGAGTGAGTAACACGCCTGGCATGTGTAACCCCATCCATGTCCCCACGGTGTCCCTAGAGATGTACCTGAGGAATGCTGGGTGCCCCAGGTGCCCTCAGTACTAACCATTGCCTTGTCTGCGTTTGTGCCCAGGTCATACGCCAGCCCTGGCTTGTGCTCCTAACAAAGACGTGGCTGACTGCCTGGCACTCATTTTGGCTACCATGATGCCTTTTTCTCCCTCCAGTTCAGTGACGGCTTTCAACTTCGCTTGTTTTAAAAAAGACAATTTGGGCAGGACGCACGTCTGCGATGGCTCCGCTATGGGTAGCATTAACTCTTACGATAAGCCCTTGAGTAATAACGTAGGAACAGAGGATGGGTACAATGAAAATGATTCGGATTCTGAAACATTTTGATTTATTGGTATTGGAAAACTTTTTTCGCTATTATTTAGTTTCAGCTTTAATTTTTGTCCTTTGAAACAGCTTAAATCCCACAGTTAGATCCTTAACTATAATTCTTGACAAGTAGGTATTAAAAGATTTGTAGTGTTGATGAGAATCAAGCCTTTAAATAACAAAATTAGAGGGACTTACTGGAACATAATTCCTATTAGCGTTCTGCAGCTTTTCAGTTTCCTAATGTTTTCTTTAGGCCCAAAGTGCCCCCATGGAAAGTCTCTACCTCTTATTTTAAGTAGAAAAAGGGAAAATGCCTTTTTTCTTTTTGACAGCACAAATAAACAGGGAAACGTTTGTAAAGAGTTCTTTCATGTTTTAGCTGCACCTTTTAGTGCACAATCCTATTTCCAGCATAGCCTTCACAGATTCGAGCATCACCCCATTCCTATGTTTGTCTGTTTCCTACTTCCAGGGGCTCTGTTAATTAGATAATTTTTTTTACGTGAACCAAAGGTAAAGTTGTAATCTTAAAAATGCCTGTATTACTTTTCTACAGGAAATGAAACCTTTTACATTCTGCCTGTTTTAAGCACTTAAACGTACAGAAGGCACTTTTTACAGTTCTTAGTTGCAGTACACAATTGGAAAAATTTAGTTGTTAACTCCTAAGGCCAAATTCTGCTCATCTCACCATATTTTCCCATGAACATCACTTCTGTAAAATGTTAACCACTTGGCCCTTATTTTTTTTCAATTCAGCACAAATGTTTATTTGCACTACAGAATTAGGGTCATTAGAAGTTTCTGTCACCTGAGCCATTAATCATGAATCCAGTACCAGAAAAGAAAGGGGAGAGGGAGAGAAATCAGGTGTAGGCAAATGTGTATGTAAAAGTTTATAATGATTTGCCAACTTAAATGGAGCTTTTTTCCTTTTCTATGGTTAAATAATTTATTTTTACTGTAAGCAGTATTGAATTTTAAAATACTTTTGCCAGTGTTTGGATTAACAAAGAAAAGGTAAAGCAATGAAAGCGTAACACCAAAAATTGAAATACCAAACACCAGAAACATAACAGTGTACTGTGTAGGGGACCAGAGACAGATGCTAAAAAGCCTTTTGTCACCAGCTTTTAAAGCAGTGTCAACTTTGTGAATATGTTTACTCCTTCTGCCAAAGTTTCTAGGTCAAATGGACCCCGACCCTCCTCCGCAACAGATGTACAAAAGGAAGAATGAGACTGTAAACAAAAACAAACAATACAAACAAAAAACTATCATGAACTAACCAGCTGTACCAAGAGGACCAAAATGCTTCAGTAATTCAATTGAAGACTTTGCTACTTTTATTTTTTTGTTCAAATGTGAGTGACATAATGAAGTAGGTTTTTTCTTCTACATGATAAAAATATAAACTTTTGAGGTAAAAGTAGTCTTGAGTGAATTTTACATTTTATGACATAGGTTTCAAGTTGACATTTTTAACTGATGATGTGTTGACCACAGGTGGGATTTTTTTTCCCAGACTTAAGAATATGTTAATATACTTTTAATGTAAATGTGTTTATATTTATTTGAAATGAAACAAATTCCCAGGAAAAATAACTATGGCTTGTTCTCCTAGTTAGCATTCATGCATACTGAAATGAAATGTGAATCTGGCAAGACTGAGGAGCAAAAGGAGTGGTGGAGGCACACTGGGAGGGTGCCCATCTTGTACAGAATGCAAAGGTCCACTGTCTGTGTTGGGGAAAAGCAGAAAGCAAAGCACCCTCCTTTGTTCAAGAGCTTAAGAAGGATCCAGCCCCTTGCCAGACAGGTGGGAAAACCCACACAGCTGTGACAGAGAAGAGAAGGTGACAGGGAGAGAAGGTGGCAGAGCATGGAGTCAGCTTGTCTCAGGCCTGTGTCTGTGCTGGGAGGGCGAGATGAGCTTCCTCGGTGCTCACTTTTGGCAGAGTAAAGGAAAAGTAAGGATTTGAATTTTAGTTGCAGGTTTTAGCCCTGTTCTGCTGGATTGTTGAAAATCTATTGGCATATTTCAGTTCTTTAATTAGGGGAAAAAAACTATATATTATTTTGCCTTACTAAAATAGAGCATATTTTCCTTGAACGCTAGCAATTTTCCAAAGTTCACAACAAAAAAAAACCCTCTTTTCTCTCAACTCTGTAGTTTCTACAATAGAACGACAAGAGAACCTGAAACCTTGGTTTTCTCCTTAGAAAGAGCAGCAAATAAATTTTAATTGACTTTTCTCAGCATTTTTGCTTTTAAAAGTTGTAGAATAGCAATAACCACCTTACTTAAAACACTGAAAATAAGAGGAAAGAGCAATTGTTAAAATTTTCAATGGTGCATGCTCCAAAATGAATAGTAATCCCAAATTTTGTTTTTTTTTTTTTAATGTAGAAGGATGGCATTGAAAACAAACATATGGGGAATAGCTGCCACCTGTCTAACAGCAGAATCAGCATTTTAATCAGCATTAAATGTAGGCAGGCTCCTTGGCAGGATTAGTTGTAAGTCTCACCCTGAAATACAAAAATTATGCTATCCTACATGACAGTGCTTCATTAAGAGAAAACCAGCCCTCTTTATAAAAAGTTATGTTATTTGAAGCAGCCATTTTAAAAGTTTCAGTATTTTTACCTCCTGCCATACAGTTACCAAAACATTTTCTAACTGCAATACCTCGTAACACTGGTAATTGTGTGATGCAACAGCTGCCTCTTAGTGCATCCCAAAAGCAGAGGTGATTTATTTCTGAGTCCCGCTGGTCCTTCCAGGAGCCAAATCCAACCTTTTGCCATGAAACCCTACAATGCTGCCAGGATGCAGCATTCCAAAAAGCACAGGAACACACACTGCGCTCGCACCTCGAGGGCGCTGGATTTGAGAGGAAAGCTGCCACGAGCGAGACACTTGGAAGTGCTCAATGTTGGCCTGTCCCACACCTCATGTGAACTACCAGAATCCCTTTTTTTTTTGTATGCTAACACATTAATCTGTAATTTATCACATGTAGAAATCAATGTGTAGTTTAGGGCAGGTATATAAGCATGCGAGTAATGTTACTCTTGTAAATAATCTCCTTGCCTTTCCGTGGACTTCTTACAAGAGTAATCATACAGAATCGTTGCACTTATCCCTGGATCCTGCAACTTACAGTAGGTGGACAACTTCTGTGTCTGCACCCAGCGGAGGGCATTTGGGGAGGGGCAGCTCCCTGCCCGGGTGGATTGGCAGGATCGTTTCATCCTGTATTTTAACCACAGCTGCAGGTGGAATCCAGAGCAGGATGGGCTCCCAAGTCTCTCTCATAAATACTGAGTAACAACCTCCGGACTGCCTGAAATAGCTGTGAAATAGCTCAGGGGATTTCTGTTCATCGCTACTAAAAGGGCACCATAATGTGTTTGGTACTTTTATGCAGTTGACAACTGCCAGGTTATTGAATTAGAACAAACACATGAAATGAATTGTTTATCCATTGTACTGTTGAGAAACTTGGTTATGTATTTGAGGATGATTTTAAAAAAATTGTGATTTTTATTCTTAGTCATGTAAGAAATATTAGAGTGCCTTTTTATATTTGTGTATAATGGAAATGTTTTGTGAAACTTGTCTTATTTTTTTTTTTTTCATTTGAGTGTTATAAAAGCAATATATTACCAGTAAATTTTCATTTCAGACCTTCTTTGAATGTATAAAGTGTTTCTTCTTTTCATATGTTCTACCTGCATTGAAATGAAAATTAATATGCTAAATTTCTATAGGAATAATGTATCATTTTCGCAGTGCTGAAAGTGCTTTCTTATTACACAAAAAGTAAACTTAGGTCAGTGTTATAGGAAAGGGCGTTTTAAACTAGTGACAATCTTGAGTGTGTGTATAAAATGTAATTTTATGCATTTCTTATGCAGTGATCTACATATTAAAGCCAATATCTTATGTTTTGTAGGTTTTGTCTTCTATTTTATGCTTTAGCATGTGCAATATATCTTTACAAACCATGGTGATACGCATCTGGTGCCAGTGTTATATTTTGCATAACATTTGTAATAAACTATATAAAACATTGTTTGATGGTTTTGGTGGGGTTTTGTCAGTATTGTTTGCTTTTGTAAACTGAAGTTTAGGGACTTGGGTAAATGTCACATATGAAATGAGGAAAAAACCCTTCACTAATTGAATGACTTGGAATTCAACCTGAATCTTCTCAAGCACAGTTTAGTAACTTTTTAAACTACTGAATGCTGTATTAATGTAATAAAGAACCCTAACTGTAAACTACTATTGCAATGCATTCAGATGGTTATTTTTACAAATAAAAATGGTACAAACACAGTGGAAAACTGAGTAAATTTTGTTTCTTTTGGGGGGAGGCTTAAGTATTTAGCAGTGAAGATGAAAATGCAACTATTTCGTCCTTCCCTCATATGTAAATACCCCTTGCCCTAGAAAGCTCATGTTGCTTTCTCTGTAGATTCGGGGAATTTGTTGGGGAACAAAATAAACGAGCGCAGTAATTTTTGTTTTGACTCAGTCATTACTGCTTTCCCTGGTGAGGACCACCCGCACTGCTGGGTGGGGCAGCAGTCCCACAGGGACTAAAATGCACCGGAGAGCTTAAAGACAGCGATGGTACGGTGTTTAAAGTACCCGAATTAAGCAAATAAACAGAAAAGAAAAAAAAAAAAAATCCCCATCAGCGCTTCTTAGGCGGGGATGCCTGCAGCTGCATGGGCGCGTTTCCCTGGCCGCTGCCGCGGGTTTGTTCCGCCGGGCCGGCCGCGCCCCTCACGGCGCCGGCGGCGCCCTCCCCATCATGGCGGACACGCCTGCCCCGCCAGCCGCGACATGGCGGGCGGGCCCCTCGGCCCGGCGGCCGCCCGACCTCCCCAACATGGCGGCCGCCCCTGGCGCCGGCGGCGGCCGGGCTGAGGCGCCGGCCCGGCCGCCCTCCCGCTCCGCCTCCCGGGCGGCGGCGCTCCCGCCCCGCCCCGCCGTGCCCGTGTGCGCGGGGAGCAGCGCTCCGCTCCGCGGGGCGCCATGGGGCGGGCGGGCCGCCGGCTGCCCGCGCTGGCAGCGCTCTTCTACGGGGCGCTGGCGGCCCTGGTGCTGCTGGGCGTGCGGGACGTGATGTTCCTCTACGAGGAGAACCGGTGCAGCATGACCTACATGTACGAGTACCCCGAGTACCTGGTGAGTGCGGCGGGGTGTAACAGGTGGCACCTGCGGCTCCCGGGGCGCTGCCGCCGGAGCCCGGAGCGTGGGGCGCGGCTCCCCCGGCAGGGAGCGCAGCCCCGGGCTGAGAGCTCGGGGCTCGGCGCCGCGCTGGGGCGCAGGGCGGTGACTGGGCACGGGCACCGGCGTGAGCGGCGCCGGGCGGGCAGGGCGCTGCTGTGCCCGCGTCGTGCGGCCGTGCCCCTCGGGGCGAGGGCGGCGGAGGAGCCGCCCACCTGTAACCGGCGGGGTCCGGGGCTGCCACCGGGCGAAACCCGCCCGCGGTCGGAGCTGCCGGAGCCTGGAGTTCGTGCGGCTCGGCGAAAGCCGGGAGCTACGCAGGTGCTGGCCGAGGAAGGGGCTGGGCCGGCTCCTGTGCCGGCACTGCCGGTGCCCAGGAGGCCGAGCCCTGCATTTCATGGCCCTTCTCATGACTTCGTGGTGTGCAGTAGCCAATGTCTCAAAACGCAGCACTGAGCTTTCATTATCAGTGTATTTCTCGACGTGGTGAGCAGTGGTGCAAAGTCTTCTCGGTGAGCACTTTGGAGGTGGCGTGTCCCGGAACATACATGGGAAAGCTTGTAAATCCCTCTGAGGTGCCTCTTGTTTTGCTTACAGCCTTTTAGAAGTCTCTCTGAAAACCTGGGATCAGTTTGAGACAGGGGACTGCTCCTGGAACTGATGTTTTCCACACACTATTCTGGCTTAGTAGTGGAAGGATGTAAATGTGTGTTTTTAAGTTCACTGGTAATGCTGCAGCACGCAGTTGTTAGAAAACTCTCTCTTTTTGATAGTAGTAAATACAATAGTATTTTCTCTTTTATTAAAAGCACAACTGGTTAAGTTCTGAACATTTAATTTTTCATTATCTGAGATGTAATTCATGTTGGAAAAAAATAATAATTATTCTCAATAACACAGTTCAGAGGTGGGTTGCAAGCTGGCTTGCACAGTAAAGAAGATGAAAAGCAAAACTTCAGTGTTTAAATTCGTAATGAAGCAGAAAGTTAATTTTTGGATCTATTAACCTTTATTTGCTAACCTTGATACAGCCATCTCAGCCTACAAAAGAGGAACTTGGTATGGCTACAGGGATTGTTTTGTCAGTGCCGTAGAACAAATTCATTTAAGCAGTTTTAAGTATTTAAATACTATGCAGCAAGTTTTCAGATCTCCTGGCAGCCAGAACCTACTTCAGCTTCAGTCTGAAGCCAGCGTGCAGAAAGTTACTGGCAAAATCCATGTGATGTTACTGGCGGGTGCCTGAAATGTTGTCTGCCACCACATCTTTTGTATTTACTCATTATGACTTAAACTCCAGGCATCTTTAGGCAGGATGCAAGGCTTAAAGCTGCACAGGAGATGCAGGGGATACAGTCACAGCGGACTGCTTTGCCCTGTGGAATTTCTATTTCCTGTGTAATCACTTTCACTGTGCAGGAAACAGTACTTTGGGCTGGTGGGCAAATTGTGAATTCGTTTGGGTTTGCTAAGGTATTGTACTTTACAAGCAGCTCTTCATTGTTGGAGGTGTCTGTTGTGTGTGTAGCGCTGCCTTCCGTAGGGAATCCCAGGGTGGGAGTTTCGGGTGGGATGTACCTGTCCTTACTTACGGATTGGTATCACGTTACAGAACAACTGCTTGAGCAGTTAAACAAGAAGTTTAATTTCTTTTATGCCTTTCAGTGTGGGTTAGCTCATAGTCAGCCTAGTAATTGATCATCTTTTTTTTGCACGAGTTTTAGAATTGCAGTGCTTGAATTTAACCTTGTCCTGTTCAGCTGTACTTGGCAAGAGTCAGAAGTTGGTAATGAGGACTTGTTCACATCAACCTAATTTCTTACCGAACCAGGGTGAAAAACAAAGCCTGCATTGACATTTTAAAAAGTTGCTGTAGCTTGCTACAACTGATTACATAAGCAGTGTCTTGGGAATTCACAGTTTAAACTCACTGTCATGGAACATGAGTGTCTCTTTTCCTTTGAATTATACATTGCCATTTTATTATAATATTTAAATACTGATTTACCCAAAATGAGCACCCCAACCCCCCAGTATTTTCACAGTACAATTCTCATGGGTTGTGTGGGTTTTTGTATTTGACATTGCCCCAAGGAAGAGCAGCATGTTTATTTTATGTTCTATAAAAGTTTTTGAGAAGACAAGGAACCAGGAAGTTTCTGTGGATGAACAGTTGATTTGATCTGCCATATAAGCACATTTGATGGCACTCTTAGTTTAGTAATTGGAACTGCTGAAGGTTTTTACACATTACTTTGAAAGCCTTTGCAAGAGAAGCAGCAGAGAGGAATGAGACTGGGACACTGAGGTCAGTGAAGCTGGAAAGGCAAGATGATGAAGAAAGGGAAAAAAACAAAGGATGAAGATATAAGCCTTGAATGAAGCTTAAATTTTCTTGTTCTCGGTGCAAGAATTTAACTCACACTCTCACACTGTGTTAGTGAATCAAGATAATTAAAATACTGTAGATAATACACACACATAGATACATCTCCTAGAATAGAGGTTTTATATATATATATATTTTTACAAAAAAAAATCATTAGAATAGTTTGCAAATAACCAGTATACCAAAAAATTTGGAGGCCAAGGGGGAAAAAAAATAGTCATTAGTTGAGGAGAGATAGACAAGAACAGGGGAAGGGAAGGAGTGTGGGGGCACAGAATTAAAGCTAAATCACCTTTATGGTAGATGCAAATGAGACAAAACAATAAATTATTTGAATTAAAGATGCTTCTATTTCAGGGAAGCAATTAAGAGAGACTTTACAGGAGATTTGTGGTGCAAAACAGATTAGTCTTGACCTTGTTCTGTAAAATTGTTTCCTTAAAATATAAATTAAACCTTAACACATGTATCTTTGTATTATCTTATTTTTCTCTCAATTGTTATATAATTCTAACAATTAATCAAATACTGGAATGAGTGTATTGGCATTCATAAAAAATCTAAAAATCTGTATCTTAGAAACTCAGAATTATAAACCGACCAACCTATATGCAGGTGTTAAACCAAGATAGTAATAAACAAGAACACATTTAATTAAGACAGTGCCTTATGACTCTTAAGAGATTGACTTACTGGTGTAAGATTAATCCTCACCTAGCCCTTGGGATCAGAGATTTTGTTCTTTTAGGGATCCTAATCCTGTGACTCAGATGTGTGCTAGGTTAGGGCTTTACTTGTTGTCAGGTGACAGCTGACATGTACATTAGACCTGGAGCTGTTCAGCACCAGGTGCTTTGTCAGACCACAAGCCCAGCTCTGAAAAGGAAACAGAAAAAGCCTCAGAGAAGCACGGGTTTGTTTTTTCTGCTGAGCTGTATTGAGGTGGTAGCTGCTGTTTTTTGAGCTCCCACTGCAGGTGACATCTCTGTAAAATTCAGCAAAGAGAATTCCCACGAGATCTGTAGTTTCCCCGAGGCAGCAGGTGTTACCTGACAGTCTCCCACACCCACTGCTCTCTAGGTTTAGCTCTTGTATCCTTGTGCTGAGATCCATGGCATTGGGAAGGGTTCCAGAACCATTCCAGTGCATCAGGAATTGTTAGCATCACTCTTGTGCCCCAGTTTCTGGTCTCAGCTTCTCCTCTCCTGGGAGAATTGGTGGGGTTTTGACATGCCTTTTTTTCCTTTTCCCTGCCCTATAAGGCTGGATTTACTTTGCAAAGATGTGCAGCTTTGATAGATAAATAACTGCATTCATTTGCAGCTTGTTTCAAAGCTACTTGAAGGTAATCACTGTTTAGAGTAAGTAACTGCAGCCATTCATTATGCCCAGTAATACTTACTTAAACAGTTTGTTTGATACACTGTTTTTAATTAGTCCCTTTTTAAAGCCAAACCGAGTTTTTCATTCTGTATTCTTTAGACTGTAATTTACAGCCACATATGCCAGATCATTTAAATGGCTAGATAGCCACTGTATTTTCCTCTTTGTAACTCCATAAACAAGGGTTTTGTTTTCTTTTTAATTTTTGCAATAGAAAATAAAATTACCTAAGAAAACAGCCAGACGATACCCAGCATATGAGCTGTATCTCTATGGGGAAGGGAACTATGCTGAAGAAAACAAAAATCTCCTATTGACAGGAATTCCAGTTCTCTTTCTGCCCGGGAATGCTGGCAGTTACAAACAAGGTGAGTATTTAGCTGAGTTATAGCTTTGTTACAAAAAAACTCTCAGATTTGTGCATTTGGTAGCTTTCTGTTTGAAATAATACCAGACAGAGTCACAATGCTTGATCATGTTAGTCTGTTTAATTCCAAACAGTCAGGATGCATGATTTTTGTTTGAAATTGGTTGAATGGTTAAGCTGTAATATCTTTTGAAAGCAAGGAACAGTACAGTTTATGCTGTCCTCTAGCAGCACTCCACCCTTGCTGTACATTTGATTGCAAACATCTAGTTGGTTTTGATTTGAACAGTGTTTAGTGCAGTGAATGCCAAAGAAAACACGACCTGAATTTGATTAGGAGAAACTGAACCATCTGTTATCTGTGATGTAAAGGAATTACATGCTATAGAAATCAGCATCATCTAAGATTGCCCTCTAGTTTTAAAGCATTTTAATGCTTTAAATGCTTAATGCTTAAAATGCTTTTAATGTTTTAAAGCATCTTCATTTTTTTGAATACCAGAGCTAATGGTACATCAAGTTTTGTGCTTCAATATTTACTTTGGTACCTGCTATTCCTTCCCATCTGAGTTTGTCAGACTGTTATTTTTGTTCCCTAAAATGTGCTTTGAAACAGTAAATAACCCACTCATGATGTTAGAAAATGGATCTGTGTGGGGAAAACCAGCATAGTCTGAGCCCTGATTTCTTACTGTGATAATTTTTCCTTATATTAACACTAAACTTGATTATTAAATTACTTGATTTCAGAGAACCTTTAGAGAGCTGGGGTTTTTTGAGAATGTACTTGCTTAGCTTATAACAGTGTATTTTACCAATTAGTATTTTCAGAAAACCCATACAGACTTCCAGGCACAATAGCATCCAAAGAAGATTATAAACATAATGATTATGAGAGGTACCATATGGACTTTTGTGATTGTGCATGAAATACTGCAAATCTGTGAATTAATGCTGTCTCTAAACACATGGCAGTACATCACTGTGCAGGAAATAGAATATACTCTCAGGGCATTTTAGAAATCAAAAGGAAATATATGAAGAGAAAGCTAGGTGAGTAGAAGTACTGCATGCTATAGGAACAATAAATATTTTAGTCATGTTCCTTTTGGAGTGGATTTAGGAAGACTGCCAATACATCATCTGTGCATTTTGCAAAACGCCTGTTAAAATGAATTCATATTGATTCTTACTTTGTTCAGAATTTATTGTGAGGTAACACAGTTTTATTCTGATGCCTAGATGAGCAGAGAAGGTGTTGCTATTATAATTTTTATAGTTGTTTAAAATATATTCATATTTGATAAGCAATGAAGACAGGTGCTGCTGCTGCCTTTGTTATCTTCATAGAACCGTTTAGGTTGGAAAGGAGCTTTGACATCATGGAATGCAAGCATTAACCCAGCACTGCCAAGCTCACCACTAAGCCATGTCCCTGAGTGCCACATGTACACAGGTTTTTAATGCCTCCAGGGATGGCAACTCCACCACTACCTTGGGCAGCAAGTTCCAATGTCTGACCACCCTTTTGAGGAAGAAACATTTCCTAAGATCCAATATAAATGTCCCCTGGTGCAACTTAAGGCCATTTCCTCTTGTCCTCTGAGTTGAAAGAAGAGGCTCACTCACAGCCCACCTTCAGGAGTTTTTGATGTGTTACAGGCACTTTTGAAATATTAATTCATCATCTTTCATGAGCACTAAAATGAAATTTGTAAAATGTACGAAATTCAGACTTTGCATAAACTATGATCTGAGAAGGAGGGTTCTGCTGTTCTCTTAACCTGTACCCTAAGAGAATCTTAAAAGAATCTTGCTCCTGTGTGGATTTGGGCAGACCTTTATGACCATCATTTGTTATTTTATATATTGTTGTATTTTTGGGATTTTCTCTTTTTATTTTCTACTTCTGCTACCATGCCTTTTTATTTGCAGCTGTTATTATTCCCATCCTGCATTGTCTCCATGGAAACTTGGGGACAATTCTGCACACAAAAGGCTGTATTGAGTAGTAGCCAGGGTCAGACAGGGAAGACAGGTCAGAAGCAAGACCTTGTAAAGTGAACATTTTCTCACTTGAGGTTTTAGATGGACAAGTGTCCTTTAGGGTTTGGTTTTGCAATCTCCCATACCTATCTTAGTGGTATGTGGGAATGTTGTCATAGAGTTGCTGGCCTTCAAAGGAGTTTCAAGAAAGCCTAGCAGTAAGGCTGCCTCTACAGTTGGAATCAAGAATGCCTTCTCATTTGTACCAAGCAGTTGCAAATGAGATGAGAAAAGCAGCCTTAAGGTGGAGGAACATGATCCTTGTATAGATTTGTTCCTGACATAAAATATCTCTGTTGTCAGCACTAAGCTGAAAAAAAAATGGTTTGGTTTAGAATGTCTTTTATAAATTACTTGAGGTGAACAATGGATTTAATGTATTTCTTTCTTAATTGATTACGTATTAATGTGTTTTTCTGCTAAAGTGATGCTGAGCAGTGACTGTTGGACTGTTCCAATTGATGTGGTTTCTTTTTCTAGTACGTTCTCTTGGCTCCATTGCACTTAGAAAAGCAGAAGATGTTGACTTCAAGTATCATTTTAATTTCTTCAGTGTCAACTTTAATGAGGAGTTGGTTGCATTGTATGGTGGTAGTCTGCAACAACAGACCAAGTTTGTCCATGAGTGCATAAAAGTAATTCTTAAGTTGTACAAGGTAAGTAGTGACACATGCTGAGTAATTCACTTCCATTTGGGAATGGAATTCTGGGCTGCCTTCCCTGCTGCAAAACTGAAGAGTGATGAGTAGGGGAGGGCGACTTTATAATGTGTCTAGATATTGGAAGGTGATAATAATGCAGTAGAGAAGTACTTTTCTTTAACGGATTTTTAGTACTTACATCAATCCCAGAGCTTTAAGGAGGTTCTGTGTTGTGTTTCTAAATAAATACTTCTATGCACAATTGATGTCTTTTTCTAGTAGAGATGTAAACACCTGTAGCTTACTAAAATATTCATATATATTCATTGCCTTACATCAAGTTTTCTCTGGGAAAGTTCTTTGATGTCCTCTGTTCCTAAAAGTTTCAGAAATTAAAATCAGCTTAAGTTTACTAAGCTTACAAAGGCTACACAGTATTTCCTTTTGAGCTGGATACTTCATATAAGTACATTTTCATGAGATAGCAACTAAATTTTAATTCAGTTTGTAAGCTTGTTAAGTTGATACTAATTCATGTTGTCCTTGAAAGACCATAAGTTAATTTGGGGGAGCTAGGGGGAGGAAATCTACAGGTGATAAGAATAGTTCAATGTCAAATCTGTTTCTGATGTGTCTGGTTGCTCTTTGCTGAAGGATCGAGAATTTGCACCGAGCAGTGTAGCAATAGTTGGGCATTCCATGGGTGGTCTTGTTGCAAGAGCATTGCTCACTCTGAAGAATTTTAAGCCTGAACTTATAAACCTGCTCATTACACAAGCCACACCTCACGTTGCACCTGTAATGCCTTTAGACAAATACCTTACTGGTGAGTATTGCATTTGTCTAATCACATGGTATTTCTTTATTGATCTTCTCAAGCTTTAGTGGGGAAGATTCTTGCAAATCAACAGCAAAATGTGCTGCTTTATTTACTGTAATCAATCTGTTCTTTGTTACTCAAGTAGTTGAAGGTCCCAGGATACTCAGAGAAACTCAAGTGTCATATAGAATGGATTATGTGGACTTGAGTTTCTGTGTGAGGCCTGGAGCTCTCAATAATTTGTAATTTAATAAGTTGCAGGGCATGTTACTAAATTTGTAAGCTTTCCAGTGAATGACATATTTTCTTTCTTTTCTTTCTCCTCTTTTGAAACTTGACCTCTGTAATGACTTTTCTCTTTATCGAATGAGATAGTATTAGTTCTGTAAAAGGTGCTAAATTTAATGTTTTTCATACTTAGAGGTTGTAGAGGGGAGTGTGTAAATATAGATTATGTATTTATGTAATTACGTATTTTAAATATGTACAAAAAAGATCGTATTTTCCCCTCACCTAAATAAGTGTGGCATAAAAATAAAGTATATCCTTACACATGTACTATACACTTCCTGAAAAGCTAGATTTGATTAAACTATACTGATTAAATATGTGATAATTGTGCTTTTACATGTAGATACTGAGGGAATTGGTGAAGGGAAGGGAACAGACATTAATTTTCATTGTTCTCTGTGACACCCAAGAGGAATGGATTATCTTTAGCTACTGAATTTGATTATTTGTGCTTGTATTAATTCTCCATCCTACAATTGATTTCAGTGCAATGCTTCTTCCTTACTGACTGGTTCTGGTCTTCAAGTAAATCTGTGTTTGTCTTTCAAATAAACCTATGGATTGCTACTCTAACAATGTATGTGCTCAGCTGATACAGAAAATGTATCTGTCTTTCCTAACTGCTACCTCTTTGGGTTAAAACAATAATTTTTCTCTCTTACATGAATCAAAAGTGATAATCAGAACTCAAATGTCTCTCATGGGTCTTACAGAAACTTTTAGTTAATGTTTATATAGCTTTTTTTTGGTATATCAAATAGGGTTATGAGAAAATGGTGATTGATTTTAATATATTTTATAGATTTTTATACAGCTGTAAACAATCATTGGATTCTAAAGGCCCAAGATTTAAGAAATTTAACCACCCTTTCTGTGGCGGGAGGATTCAGAGATTACCAAGTTCGTTCAGGACTGGCTTTTCTACCAAGATTGAGTCAACATGACAGTGCCTTATCTGTTGTGGTAAAAAAGCAAACTGTTTTTCTGGTTTTGCATGGAACTGTGTTAGATAGTTACTAATGTAATGCATGTATTAGTGTCTATATGGGCAGCATAGTGTAAATCAGTATGAAAATACTGCATGTTCAAATACTAGATGGATACTGTATGGTTATAAAATCAAAAATAGTTGATGTAATGAGCCTCCATTGGAGGAGTATGTGTGGCACTGACTGGAATCATCTATTGCTTGGTACTGTTTCTTCTTACCACCTGCTTGCACTTCTTCAGTTCCAGAACTCAGGTTTTATTTCCCCATATTTTTGCAAGAGGTGTGTATATGCAGAAAGGTGAATTTGTAGTATAGAAGTAGAGTGTTCTATTATAAAAGAGAGCTCTGGCATAGCACCTTCTTTTTGTATTTGTTGTTTTCCGTAGAATTTAGGAATAGAAAGGATGTAGAGGATCATTAAGAACAATTTTCTGCTTTTTGGGGCATCTATCCTTTCAAAATTAATCAAGGGTCATCAGAAAGCATTTAGGTTTGTTGTTCCATCCCTTCTCCATCAATTTGTTTCCTACATGGACAATGGAGAAGCTGGAAAACACTCAGAAGGAGGTGGCAAATTTGTAATTTCCAACTTCCATTTACTGAGGAAGCCAGTTTTTTAATGCCTTTTTTCTGACATCTGCTTAAAATGTTGTATGAAATATCTGTCATTCCCTTGGTGTTTACCTCCCTGTGTGTTGTACAGAAAGCTGTCTATAAATAGGCTCAGCTCAGATCCTGCTAGGCTAAGAGGATTAACTCTGCATTCCCTTTGTCCTAGTAACCCTTCTCTGCATCTGCTCTACTTTCATTTCTCTTGAGTGTTGGTGACCAGAATTTTGCATGAGCTTTCATGGGTAGTGGTACCAGTTCTTTCTGGTTTTTGTTTGGTTTGTTTTGCAGGTTGTTTTGTGGTTGTTATTGTTCAATTTGTTTTTTTCTTCCCAATGATGCATTAATAGTTCATAGTTTATTTTATTCATGTTGAGCAATAGGTTGATGAGCTCCATTTGTGGGAGATTTTTTTGATAGTGTTAAGCCCTAAAATGTAGTACATGAAATCCATTTAAAGCAAGTAATGGCTTCAGACTGACCAGGTCTTTCTTTGTGGTGTTCTGATGGTTCTTTATGTTGAGGATGCCCTTGGTTTCTCAACAGCAGCTTTCATTGGCATGCTGCTATTCTCATGTCCTAGGATCAGTTATTAAAATAGCAAGATTAGTCATAGAAGCAGTCTTTGAAAAAATTTTTGGTAAGTTTTCCTCCTCTCCATTTTCTGCCCTTTCACTGTTAGTGTCTGTTATTTAGCATAGATAGTTTGGTAATTTTGTTTTGTAATTTCCATCTTGCACGTGCTTCAGCGCTTACAAGATGGGTGACTGAAGAAGTCATTCTGTTGTACCTTAAGCCCTGAAACTCTTAAGATAAAGGTTGTTCTTTAATAATTATGCAAATATGTTTAAATAAGGAGGGGAAGGTTTTCCATATAGTTTTAGAATGTTGAGTACTAACAAAAACTTAACCATTTTCTTCACCTGAACAGAGCTCAGCTGTGCCTAGAGCTTGGGCCTCAACTGACCACCTCTCCATAGTGTGGTAAGACAATGGAACATTGTCTGTGCATAGCTCTCTTCTCCACTGTTAGCACTTTATACCATAATTTAACTTCACTTTAATATTATGGTGAAGTCTGTTCTGATCACTTTTATCAACCTGGATCTTTCCTTCCTAGATTTAATTTTACTTATTCTGTCTTCTAGGTGCAAAGAATTGATCCTGGCTACCATTAGAGCTCTTTTTGATCTCATAGATGAAAATACAAGGCAGGTCTGTATAAAGTGGTCTCTGTATATTTACCCATCAACCTTTTTTCTTCCATCCCAGAATGTTTAATCAGGAGAGATATTTTACAGAAAGCTCTTTCTTAATTATTCTAAATCACACTGAGAAAGTAGTTTTCATTTTGTTCCAGTCACTGAAAAATCCCTTTGTGTTGTTTGGCCAAAGAGTCAAAAATAAGAAGGTGTTAGCTCAGTTTTCATTATTGACTGCTTGATGCTTTATAGCTGAGCTGTGGGCTGAACACTTCTTCCACAAAGCAGCAGGTTCAGCTGACCTTGCACCAGATAAACAAATTTTGTTAGATTTGTAGCTGTGAATTTGACCTCTCAATAAGAGCAGAGCCCACGACACAGAAGAGGAAGGATTTCAGGTGTTCCTTCTGAGGCTGTTTGGGACAGACACCTCATTTTTCATGTGTACTTACTTTAATGTGTGCTTTAGAGAGATAAAAAGAGCAGTACAGTTGTTCTACAGCACTGACTGTGCTAGAGGGTAAAACTTCTCAGAAATCAGTTGTAGTGGCCACAGTTTTGGAAAGTGGAATAGATAAAAATTATTCCTGGAAGGCCTATTTGGAAAAAGCAAAACCAAACTGATCAAGCAAACAAAAATCCCAACCCCAAACAAAAGTGAATCCCAGTGTAGCTATACAGCTGGATATGAGAACTCGGATTAGCCTAAATGTGAGAATTTTTCTTAAGCTGTGCCCTGTCATTTCAGGAAGAATGCATGTGTGTTAATGGAATGGTTTCCGGGTGTTATGAGTACCTGAGGATGTAAAACTCCTGAAAGTTTTGGCCATGCTTTATAATGTGTAGATTTTCTGTATTGCAGTGATTGACTATTGATGGCATTTCAGAACATTGAATTCAGAACAGAAAGGGCTCAATGTCTTCTAACAATCTCTCCTGCCTTCCCTCCACAAAACTGTATTGCTAGCTGTGATAATGAGATGATCTTAAATCACACACTTTGGTAAAAAATTGATAATGTGCTCTTGTTTTAGATAACTGAAGACCCAAAGAAGAGAATGTCTGTACTGAATCACCACTTTGTGAGACACCCTGCAAAGATGTTTGAGGAAAATCCTGAAGCTTTTACACACCTCACAGGTGTGCAGCACTTGTCTTTTGAATAGGATTCAGTGATACTGCTTTGTTAATTGTTAATCTTGTCACTAACAAAGTTTCAGAATACACTTTGTCCTCCTTCAGACAAACTAAAATACAGGTTATAGACCTAACCAATCTGCTTTTATTTGGTTTTGGTATTAAATTGGTTAACAAGGGTAGGTGCAAAATCTGTCACTTCTATATAGCTTGGATTCTGAGGATTCATATTTACACCAGGTTGTCCAGTAGAAAACCTCAGAAAATGGGAATTGCTGGATGTCAGAAGGGCAGCCTTACCTTCAGTGGTTGCAAGAGGGATTGGATGGGTATTGCAGAGCCATTGTGGTACTTTATGATCTGAATACTCAGATCTGCTCCATCAATCACTTCCTTTTTCCCCATGACATGGCAGGGTGAAATTAACTGTTCACTAAGGGTTTCCTTGTAAAGTTCCTTCCTAAGGATGCAGAGTTAAAAGTGAGAGATTTTGACTGCCTAGAGTCTTAAGGACTAAACACAACTTTTGTAGGGCAAAGCTTTATTTTGCTGAACTGGGCTGAACTGTTTTATACAAACCATTTTATTTCAGGAATGTTCTCAGTGTGTAAGACATTGTAGTGTAGTTTGTACTTTGGTGTCCAGTTTTGGGCAGCCTCTTTACGTGAACGTATTTATGCATTGGCATATCCTGAAATTAGTGTGGAGCAAAAGACCACCAAAATAGGCAGTTCCTGGGGCATAGGAAATGGGGGAAAGAGGCTGAGAGAACTGAGGATTTTCACCCTGAAGAAAATGCTGAGGGGGATCATGTTTCACCACCTAATGAAGAATTGGAGAGAAGATGAAGTTAGATTTTTATCAGAGGTTTACAATAGCACAATTGGCAGTAGAAATCGTTGTTATAACAAAAGACATTCTAATTAGGTATTAGGAAGAAATATTTCACCAGGTAGGTGGTCAAACACTAGAACAGGTGCCCAGAGAGGTTGTGAAATTGATTTTTTGGGAGGGTTACCTTTTTTTGGGTCAGTTTTTAGCAATAAGAAAAATTGGTTTAAATTGGGTTTCATGCTTTTGTCTTCCTATTCATGGTGACCTCTTGACATTTAGCTGAATTTTTATAATTAACTTGTTACTCTCCTTAAATGGAAGAAAGATACAACCTCTTTGCATGACAGTTGGGATTATTTGTACTCTAATCTCTTCACTATTGTCTTACTCTTTTTCCTTAGCCATATCTTTAAACTGCTCCTGGTTTTTTGTGTTTTATTCACTTTGCTGATGTTCTTCTGCACAAGTTTCTGTATTAGCTTTCTAAAATGCTGACAGGAACAAAGATTTGGGCTGTTCCTAATGTTGCCTCATCATTAATCACTCACCCTATAAGTACACAAATATAAGTATGTTTATTTGTTTTTGTTACCTTTATTTTGTTTCAAGATCCATGGGGTTTTTATTTTATCATTAGTATTTGGTAACAGAATCCTAGGCCTTTATTGTTTCCTGTGTAACTGATGATAACTGTTGCATGTAATTGTAAGCAGTACCAATCCTCAGTGTTGATTAAAGCACATAAGGTTTGCATCCATATATGGATAGGAGATAAGACCTGGTGATCAGTAAAATACAAGACTTTGGATTGTAAGGATAATTGTTCCTGCAGTGCAGCATACTGAAATACTTATTTTTAGGAGCTTTCAAGTGGATTACAGTCAAAGGCTCAAAATGGACTTACTCAGTTTACAATGTAAGTAATCTATTTCTCCCCAGTGTGTGTTTTATGTTTTTGTTTTGGTTTTGGGTTTTTTTACTAATCAGTTGGTTTTGGGTTTTTGTTTTTTTTTTTAGGATTCTGATGGAAAATATTTCTCATTTCCTCTTGCAAGCCACAGAATATCATACAGTCATGTTTACTGTGAAAATAGTATGTTGGTGAGAAAATACTTCCTTAATGTCTGGAGTTCTCTTATAAAGATGTGTCTTTTTAATTTCCATTTGCTGCACTTTTAAGATAATTAATGAGCAGCTGTTGAAATTGCTGCCATCCATTTACAATTACAGCCTAATGCATGTCAGAGGTACTACCTGTTTTAGCATGTCTCACTTGGTATTCAAGATCTGAAACCTTCAATGCCACCTGAACCTCAGATGTTTCCTTTCCAACTCTTCTGGTTAGCTCTATATTACTGTGTCCTTTAATTTAGCGCAGTTCTGTATTGATGGTTTGGAAGAAAGAAGTTGTTTTTAGTGTGCTCTGCTTATGCCATACTTCTAATTTGGGAAAGCTGTTTATAGGTTTGCTTTTCCATAATAAAATTTAAGTGAATCTGAAAGGCTGCAGAGATCTTTCACTAAGCAGAGAAAGTGAATGGAAGACAGATGAAGAGGAAACACCATAATGTGCAGCATTTCTTATATTTTTTAGCTTGAGACACATACATTCAGCCAAATTTTTTTTTCAGTGTTTTATACAAGAATGAATTTAATCTCTTGGCAAACTGAAGATTGATAAATACACTTTTCAGAATCACGTCTTTTACATTAGTGGCAAGAAAATTGAGATGCTTTCCTGTTTCATCCTGCCTGTCCCTGATGCCACTCCTCCCCTTGGCAAAGATGCCATTCATACAACCATTGTGAACAGCAGTTGTCTGTGCTTGGTGCTTTTGTAATTGTCTTTCTCAGTGGCACCTTCAGTGTTTATATGTATGTTGTGATCTTAGCTGTGCTTTGATAGGATAACTTTGGCCCTTGTTATAGTGTCTGAAACATGGGCCTAGTACAGCTTGAGAGGAGGAGCGGGGTACAGAATAAATATCTTAGAGCTACATCATGGTGCTATTGCTTCAGAACACTTAAGTTCTCAAGGAACGGAGCAGTAGAACATTAAATATCTAAAACATTCCTCTTCTGCCTAACACAGTACCTTGAGATGTTTCTTTTAGCTAGAAGAGCTTAAACATGATACATAAGATGGATATTTTTGAAAGAGAAATTAGGAAAGCTTGTTTGCTTAACCTTGTATTTATCCATACAAAGTGTGACAAACTGACATTATTTAAAATGGTTTCTAGAAACTCCCACCATCCACTCTAAAGCTCCACCTTTCTGTCTTTGCAATTATAATTGCAAGATTATGGTATCAGTCCTTTAATTATCATCAGTTTTTACCCTTGCATTGTTTGAAGTAATCAGTATTTTTAATATATTTATAAATGCAATCACACATAGGTAATGTAGTATTTTATGGTATTGACTTTACAGGACACAAGTAGTTGGATTTATGGCTGCATGAACACTAATTCATCAATGTGGTGAGCATGAACAGTTCCTGTTCTTTATTCAAATGGGTTTTGTGAGACTGTGTTTGAATTTAAAGCCTCTAAATTATCCTTGGTAGGAAGGGTTGGAAGTAAAATTGTTACTGTAAATAATTCATGCTTTCTATATCACCAGGAAAACAGGAAAGAATAGCTTTTCTTAAAATAGGTGATATTCTTCTTCAGGGAGCTGTATTTTGGACCTTCATAGCAAGAGCTGGAGAGGAACCTTTCACAAGGGCATGAGGTGGCACAACAAGGGATAGTGGCTTCAAAATGACAGGGCAGGTTTAGGCTGGATGTTAGGGAGAAGTTCACTGTGAGGGTGGTGAGGCATCAGAGCAGCTCCCCCACAGAGGCTGTGGATGATCCATCCCTGGAAGTGTTCCAGGCCAGGGTAGATGGGCTCCTGAGTAACCTGGTCTAGTAGAGGGTCCCTGCCCTGTCCACAGCAGAGCTGTTGGAACCTAGGTGGTTTTTAGTGTTTTTTTCAACCCAAACCACTCTGTCATTCTGTTTCTTTAAAATCCTGTGACAAAAGACATTAAATGTCACACAGAGCCTTCAAAAGAGTGGATTAAAGAATCTCTATCTTCAACTTTGCTGCTGTCATATGAAAAGTATTTAGACGGACGCTTGGTTTAGTGCTTATTTGTTATGACAGTCATTACACAATAGATTTAAAACATTGTCTTAGTTTAAATTTGTAAAATAAACTCTAAGTAAATTTAATCAACCCTTCAAATTAGGGAAAACTTCCAGGCAAAATTGAACTAGCAGAGTTTTTATCGTTCTGGGTTCACTGAGGTGTACAGCCAGAGTCTTGACTCCAGCCAAATGTCACAATTACTTTTTCCTGATCCAAGAAGTCAGCTGTTACTCCTTTGTAGGACCTTTGATTAGCATGAAGTGCACGTTACTAGTGCAGGACTGCTACTTAAACCTCATCTAACAATAGTGTGTTGGCTGTGGACTGTCCTGAGGTCATGAATACTATTTAGAGAAACAGCAGTATTCTGGTAGTCAAAAAAATCAAAACCTGAAGTGACCAAATGGATGTGTTGCAGTTCAGTGTGTGAATGCATTTTAGAACCGCTGCAAACTCTTTAACAGCTAATAATTGTATTTATTTATATGAACCCTTTTAGATATTTTCATAGGAAAAGTTGTGGTTTTGATATTTAACTGATGCCAATAAAACTACATGATAATTCAATGCTAGTGCAGTTTTAGCTCATGAAAAGTTTCTATTTTGTGTCTGAGCTGCCCGGCTAATATGTGCTGCAGGTTTTCTGTATGAGAGAGCTGGAGCTTTGCTTAGCTTGGTTTTGCATAAATAAGATTTGCACTATCTGAATTTACTGCAGTTTGATAAATTACTGTGGTAGCAGTGCACCCAAATCTCTTCTCAATTTAAAATGTTAATTCAGAGAGAGAAAGAGAAGCTGGTATATTAATCCTAATAATCCACCGCCATAACGATGGGCCTGCATAATGAGCTTGTTCATCCTTTAATGTGCATGAATTTTTACAGCCTGGAAGCTGCTGATTTATCCTGGAGAGCTGAGTTACTTCCAACCACCAAGGTAAGTGTGTACCTAACTTGTAGGAGGGAGAGGTGCTTCAGGGGGTGGTTGCAAGTCATAGAGGAAGGAATTCTGTTTGGAGAATTGAACAGATTGTATTTCACAGGAAGAGGGTACAAGAGGTAGACAACTAGGAACTGGCAAGGGGCAAGCTAAGGGGTATGTTCACTAATGACTTTGCTACTTCTTTCTTTTTCTTTTTAAGGTTGTAATGCTGAAACTTCTGGACTATCCTTCTTTGTCCCACGTTGTCATTCAGGTACCACCTGCAGTTGGCAATAAGGTAAAAAAATACGACATTCAGAAATTACTTACTTAGTGTATTCATAACTTTCAGGTTATGTGACAAGAGGAAAAGGAAGTATATTAAATATGTGCTAAGTTACTCTGAGAAACCATAGACCCACAGTATACGTGGTTTGAAAGTAGCTTCTGTAAGCTCAGAAACACTTTTATAAAATACCAAACAATAAGGCATGAACAGCACTTGAAATATGTACAAAGCCACAGTTCTCAAATCGGTTCTGAGAGTTCTTGTTGGAGATTCTAATGGTAATCTTCCTTGTTCTTCTTAATACTCTGATTGATTTCCTGAATGTTCATACCTTTGAACAGTCATTTCTTTTACCAAGGTCAGCAGAGAATACAGATAATTGAAGGCACCACACCTGGATTCTGGGAGGCATAGGTCAGATATCTCTGCAAGCTCTTAAACCACAAATGATGTAGGAGACTGAGTTGTGCAGAGTTTAACAGTTTGAATCTCACAAATGAGATTGATATCTTCGCATCAAGGGTTCTCAGGATCCCAGTAAGAGGGATATTTGAAGGCTTAGTGTGCTACCCATCTGGATCAGGCAGGCCTTTCCAGTTAGTCCTGGAAATGGCAGAATACTGGATTGGAATTTCCAATCTAATCAGATCTGACATTGCTTTCTGTGACACAGCTACAGTCTCTGTGGTATATTAATCTATGATCCAAGAAGCTATTCACAGCACAAGTTAGTGTGGTGTTCTTCTCTGAGTGCATCTTCAGATAGTTGTGACAGAGGCATCTTGAAGTGAAATTAATAATGCACAATTTTCAGGGTAAGCAAAGATAGAGGAGAGATCACTTGAGAACTGTAATTTGGCAAGTCAAAGGCTTTCTAGTCTTGTGCTTGGGTTTAGATCTGTTTTTAATATCCTCAATTGCAGTATACTTTGGGCTGTGAATTCTTCAAAGAGGATTCCAGAGCAGTCCAGCTTCCTGTAACACATCTTTTTTCATTTGGTAAGTATAACATATTGCTTTTGGAAAAATGGAAAACTAATATAACTAACCTTTGGATAATAAATTTGCCTAAAAATGTCAGGTTAGGATGTTTTGAGGGATTGTTTTTCACTGAAGCTAACACTGCTTTTGTTAGTAATCAAGAAATAAGAAACATGGGGGTTTAGACTAGCAGATATGAAAGTATGTAATTCTCCTGGAAAATAAATAATCTGAAAATATAGTGCATTCTCACATAATTTTATATAATAAGTGAAAATACTACATCCTTTACAGGGTTTTCTTCAAGCAAAATTCTATTAAATTCAAGTGGATTACTTTACAATGTACAGCTCCAGCACTTCAACCAAGTAAGAATGCTACTTAAGTTTTTAAGGTAATGTAACCTTAAAAGAAAGAGGGAGAAAAGTTGAGTGAATTCTATTATTTTTGTGTTCTAGATATATCAAGCTTTCAAAATTTATATAGACAGTCACTGCCAGTCACTCAAAGGTAAATAGAAGTCTTCTAAAATAGAAATTTATAAAACAAATTGTTGAAAATGTGTAGAAACTAAAATCTTCTCATGCAATGGAGTTTAGGCAATGCTGTTATAATCTGTTCAAATATGTCTGCTAATATCTCTCACTTCACACTTTAAGAAGGACGGATCAACAAAAATGAGGAATTAGTCCTTTAATGTTTGCTTTTCTTATTTCCCAGCAAAGGGAAGTTGAATTTCCATCAGGATTCTGCCTTATATTGAAAGTGTTTCTTGAGAAAAGCACATTTGGCTAGGATATTTATTTGCTGATAAAGGGACTCAAATTTGAATGTTGAGCTACATAAGCTTAAACAGGATGGGTTGCTAAAGGACCCTATTTCAAACAAAAAGAAAGTGATTAATTCTATTAGACTGAGGTTTTGTTTCATACTGAAAAGCAGAACTCTTCTCATAACTGTTCTTCCTTTAAACATTTATGTCTCATTGTCTTGTCCTGTAACAACCTGAGTTTAAACATTTTTCTGCTAACTGCTCTGATCTGCATTGCAAGCCCAGAGATTCTCTGTAATGATCTGTGTGGCACCTTTGTTTTACTGGCCATGTAATTTTTAGAGACAGTTGCCACATCTGGTTCTTAGTTAAGTTTTATTTTTTAATGCTGTTCCATTTCAGAAAGAAAACCAAGTGTTTACAGACTTCATATCCCCTGGTCATATGAAGACTCAATAACTGTAGCGAAGTAAGGACTTTAACAATTAATAACTTTTTGATACGTTTTTTTAAGAATATTTGCATCCTGTTGTGGTAAATATTTCTGATGTGAGACAGTTTCTCCAGTCTTAAATGTTTGGCCTCTGCATCTTTTACTCATTTAGCTTTCTGCCCTTGTTGACAAAGTTGTTTTGCCTTTTTCTAGAATAAGAATACCTACTTATGGTTTGCTTAATGATTCTCACTAGTTTTCCTGTAAAAGAAGTCAGATATGCTGCTCTGAAATTCTCAAGATAGTCATTGACCTTCCCATAAGTGGATAGCTGTGGCTGCTCTGGATGCTGGCTTTGTCCTGGAAGCCAGGGTTTGGATTATACAGCAGCCCTATGTTTGCTTCAGCAGCATAGTCCTGACAGAATCAAATGATACAGATTGAAATATATTTGTCACTTATGAAGTTGAACAACCTGACTGTATTTCAGATGGTTGGAAAACTGTATTTCTAGTTTATTTTAGAAGTCTCAAGGATACCTCACAATTTCCAGCCCCCTGTGTTTTCCAGCAGCATAAGACTTGCAGGAAACAGAATTGTATTCTGGAGGATATGTTCTTTCCAGCCCAGGCACTCAGCATATTTGTATGCTCTATGAGGCAGTGTGTTCACTGAACTTGTCTGCTTTTTATAGTGCCATATCCCAGGATAGTTCAGAGGAGAGGGAATTGAGGATGTTATGTAGTTCTTTGTGACAGGATAAACAAGTTCCTTACACCATTTTGTCACAGCTTGAGGAGAAACTTGGTGTGGTAGATCTGCTTTATGTGCATTTGTGAAGACTGAGACACGTTTGGTTTTTCTGCTTGGTTATAAGGACAGCAGTGACCATGTAAGTTGCTGTTTCAGAGTTCCATCTCTTGTTGAGATTTCTGCCAAACTGCACATTGCTCAGCCTCACAGTGACAGCAGCCTTGCAGAGTTAAACATTTACTCTTCCCCAGACTGTCAGTATGAAGTGAGTAAAACAGTTTTATTTTATGGCTAGTTTGCATTGCTGGATAATTTTTGCATAATTCAGTCTTTTAAACCATAGCTAATTAATGTAAATAAATACTAAGCAGATCTAAAGGTGGGCTGTTTGGCCTTTGTGTGTTAAAAGTGTTTTGCAACACGTGGGTTAGTACTGAAAGTTGGACTCTAAAACTTTAAAGCATTTGCTTTTAATTGTCAATAGCAAGGTGTTATACATTTTAGTTGTGAGATTGCTGTATTCTAGAACTTAAGTTTGCTTCTTAAAAATTAAAGTATTTTTTACTTATGCTTATCATTGTATGAAACAATATTTTTTTTTCCAAGGTAATTCTGAAGACATCACTTCTACAAGTTCTTGGGCAAGTAAGAAAACCTAATACTAAACTGTTTTTTATCTCAGTAGCATCTATAGAAATTTTTACGTCCTCCCTTCCTTACTGTGGTACATCAGGTTCCTTCTTAATGCCAAAAGGAGCACTATTCAATGATTATTTTGCAACTTTTTCCCTTGCCAAAGATCTCTCCTGGATGGATGTCAGGCCCCAGTGCTCAGAGGAGCAGAAAAGCTCTCTAGCTCTAAAGAGCTGCTGTAAATGTGGAGTATGTGGCTTTGTGGTGAGCTCAATATCTGTAGGTCACTTTAACTTTCTTGCCTGATGAGTCAGTGGTGTTAAAACTTTAAAATACATTTGGCATCAATTAAGTTGAGGGGAAAAGTCTAAGTAGGTCCATATGCTCCTTTTCAAGAAATCTTCTTTGGTTATCAATGAAGAATACATTTCGACATGGGGATCAGTAAAAATAGACTGGCCATCTGCAGTTCTCTGGATCTAAAGAGTAATTAATTTGCAAGCACCTAAGTGTAGTGCTGGAGTAAAACTGGCAAGATTCTCTATGTGAATGTATACATTTAGAGCAAGGATTTTTCATTTTGTTGTTATTTTACGAGAATTTATAGTCTCTTGGTATATTAATCATGATTTGGGAGAGTGGAAGGCAATTAATACATGCATGTAATTGCTTCCAAAAGTTCTTTGCCTAAAAGCATATATAACTATATTCAGATTTTGCTTGGAAAGTGGCTTTTAAATTGTTATAAACTTACTTTACTGAAATGTGATAGTTGATTTTTTTCATACTTCTCTTGACTGGAAAAAACCCCATTTGTTTCTAATTTGATAATTTATCCAAACCTGTTTCATTAGCTGCTTATGAGATATTCTAGTCTTTTCCATCTATAATATTCTAGTCTTTTCCATCTATAACATTAATCGCTATTGGAGGTTATTAAATATGCATTAAAATGAGAAACTGGATGATTCAAGAAAGATTTTCTAATCTCATTATCATTCTGGCTTCATGATAATATTTGTGTATGTGTTTGGAAATTACATTTTTTATAGATAGAAGTGAAGTTATCCCTTTATCCTTGTCTTTCAGATAGTAAGGTTCCATGCTGGTGCTTTTCCAGTCTATATTGTTTCTAGTATTCTTCTTACTTATGGAGGACAACTGAGCACATTAAGATCAACAGGTAGCTTTTTAAAAATCTGTATATTTTTCTCTGTCACAAGTGTTTTTAGAGAAATTGCTTCTTAAGTTTACTGATGAAAGACTAGCTAGATGTGAATTTTTCAAGCTAAATATCATTCAACTTATGGAAATACTTGGATCTGTATTCTTCTTTTTTATTTTTTCTTAGCTGGTAGTTCTTCAAGGTTGTGTTGTAGGAAAATCTTTAATATTTTAAATTGCAGTCCCTTCTCTGTGAAATATCAGCGTTGCACAGTAGTTTAGAATTACCAGAAATCTACTTAAAAGTGCATGTAAAAGTTTAAAATACATTGTTAACATGCAGAAAATGTGCAGGAAGATGAGATTTGCATTGCAGCTTTGTTAGGCTGTCATGTCTGCAGATAAAATGCATTGTTGTTAAAATTCAGGGGGTGTTTGTAACAAACTCCACAATGTCTCTAGGAGCTTATGTGCCATATTGCCTTAATGTGAGTGACCCAGTGGAGAAGGGCCTTGGTGGTAAAGTATGCAGCCTTGCAGGACTTAGACAGGACATGGTTATCTTGTTTTCAAGTCAGCTCATCGTTATCTGAATTTATATTTTGTTGTGGATGATGTTTGTTGAAGTTCATTACAGTAACTACAGATACTCTCTGTTCTTGATCCTAGGCCAGTGTTCAGACTTCTCCCTTGAACTAGTTAGGGCAGCAAAGCCCTACAAAGTAGAACCTCTTATAAGCATTGTTGTGTTTCTGCAGGGGTGAGTTTGCATCATTTATTTGTCTAAAGCAGCTTCCAAAGCAGAAGTTACAGTAAAACTGTTGCTGGGGAGGAATATTATTTTATTTGTAGTCACTATAAACACCTGTGTGTTATTTTGCTTGGAAGACTGTAATAGAAGGAATAGATGATAGATATCTAACTGTAAGAGCAATTGGAAATGATAAATAATACTGCTTTCATGTTTTTGGCAGGTTTAACTGGTTTAGAGAGATATGGGAATCACTGTCACTACCAGAGGTGGATGCTGCTGTACTGAGTAGTCAGGATGCATGGTTCCCCCTTGTGTCCCTGATTCTATTTCTTTTTGGGACAGGCATTGCCTACTGGAGTGGAGTATTTTTCTCTACATCTCTGAGACTCTTCTCTTCATTATGGTTAACTCTGATTAGGTAAAACAACATGATTCTGTATAATTATGCTCTTCTAGATGACTCTGACCCAGACAATTTGGGTTTTTTTGGTTGTTTGCTTCTGTGTGAATGCTTGGGCAAGATTGAATTCTTGGCAGATTGAATTTACAATTGATTTTAGACATCTGTGTTTGAAAGCAAGCAGAAATTGATGTCTGGGAAGAAGTACAACAGGAGTTTTGTTTCTGTTTTTTTTTTTTTTTTTTTTTTTTTTTTTTTTTTTTTTTTTTTGTAGGCCTACTGAACTTCAGAAAGATAAGTTGATTACACCCAGCAGACTCTGTGGGATGGTATCTCTTGCTTTGGTTAGCTGGACCACTTGTGGTGCATTTGCTGTACTCATTATTTATCTTCAATACTTGTTCAAGGTACTGAAAGGCTAAACATTTTGTATTTGTAACTGAATTGAAAATTTTAGGTGCTTTGAATTAACCCCAAGTTAAAAGTAAAAATCCAAATCACCCTTTTTCATACATAAAAGAAAGTTATTATTCTCATGCTTGAAATGGATATTTCTAATTTATCAGTGTCATAATCTTGTAGAATTTTTCTTCTTCTTTTGTTAATACTTCTCACAAAGAAATGTGTGGTCTCCCACATGCCCACTACAACAATGCAGATAATTGAAAATTATAACTAGGCAATATTATAAAAACAAAGACTGATCATTCCCGTGAAGAGTAAGGACTCCTCAATTTCTTCTACTGTACTACAGCTTTTGTATGAAGAATCCTTACTTAAACAAACAACTGCTTGTCTTACAGGTTATAAAACTGCATGTAACTCTAAGAGCAGAGCAAAACATGCACAACAGGGTGAGTCCGTTTCCTGCTTCTGTTCCAAACTGTGGCCAAAAATTGTCTGGCAAACTTCTGCCTTGATACTCCTAGGTTGTGTTGCAGTGACTGGGTAGCTGTAGTTCACTTGCTGCCTGTGTGGTGTGAAAGAGCAGCCAGGCCATGAGCAGCCTGCTCCATCACACATGGCTGCTGTTCAGAGTTTCTGTAATGTGAACTTGTCATCTAAGAAGGGAACTCTTAGACAAATGCTGTTAATCTGTGTGTACTCAATTTTGGTATTATGCATGGCTTATCTTAAAAAAGAAATCTAGGTAATAATCTATACTGCAGGTAAAATTGCCTTTTCTAGAGAGGCAGCATGTGCAGTTCAAGGGTTTTTTAGTCCAGAGATGACAAATAGAATGTATTAGATGAATATGGACTGAGACTGCAGCAGTGTGAACTTTATTTTCTGGGTTACTTGAAAGAATAGAATAAAATATGTAAGCAGGTGTGGATAACAGCATATGATAACTACCTGCTTTTTTTTTTATAAGCATAGAACAAAGTCTGACACAAAAAGTTGATGAAAGTTTTCTTTGGGTTTCTTTGAGTGGATATTTTGTGTGTTTAGTTGAAATCCTCTCCTTTCATCATTGTATAATATTTTGTTTCATTTGTGGGGTTTTTTTCTGTAACTGGAAGTTAGTATCTGCCAACTCATTCATTAATCTTTCCTATTTATTCCTATAGGTAATATTTTACTCCCAGTTGCATTACTTCCTATATCTTTCCTGTGAATGGTCATCTGTGATTTTTCACTCCCATGCTTTATTACTCCTTTTATTTTGTTCTTCCCCCTTCCAGGAACTCCTTTTCATTTCACTGGTGTCAGGGCACCTACAGTCTCCATTCTTTTCTTCCATAGATATAAAAACTATTAGTGTATGAGAAATTTCTGGTTAAATTTAGATACTTTAAAATTGGACTTTGCTTTGGTGGCTTTTTGAGGCATAAATTGCAGATTTTCTTCCTAAATCACAGCTGGCATGATACTGTTAGGATATTTATCCCCTCCTCTTTCCCCAGCATGGGTTCTTACAAGCCTGTGCACGTTTTTGTGACTTCTGTCTTTCATTTCCAGGATTCAGGCCACTCAAAAGAAACTTCACAGAACTCCAGTACACACACATTCAAAGCCCAGTGTTCAGTGGACAGCATTCCAGAAGCAACACAGTCTCCTTCCAACAGCAAAACACTTGCTGAAGCTGTTAACAGTCTTAAGATGCACATTACAGTCCTTAATTTATTCACATGGATTGTGCTGCTCAACTTGCCATCTTTAATTTATTGGTTAAAAAATCTCAGGTAAATTCTTAAGTTGACACTAAGGTGGAAGAAAGTTACGGGAACCTTTGACTATAATAAAAGTTATAAATGTTTGATTCTTTACATTATTAGTTACCTTACAGTTTTAAAGTTACTTATTATTGTTTTCTCTATCCTGTCTGGTTTTTATTGTGGTGTAAATAGATGTTAAGTGAATTGGTGATATGTTGAAGAAAGTAATGTTTCAGAAGGGGTTTAAAATCAGGCAAGGATGCCATATAGATTTCATGTATATTTTTTGTCATCAGCACATGGATATTATTTGGCAGCCTAGTTTAGAAGTGATGTGCTTTTTAAACCATTTCTTTGCAGGTACAGTGTTAGACTTGATCCTGATCCCTGTAGATCCACAGCTATTATCCTCGTGTGCATCTTAGAAATTCTAATGAATTCAAGTACTTGTGAAGTGAAATCAAGGTACTGTAGCCCAATCTCTAGTTTTGCTTTCCTGCTTCTTTGTGAATTACCATTTTTGTGATAAAACTTAATTTATGCTGCAATTGTTCAGCCTCTATAGGGATTCATATGGTTAAGTCTAAAAGATGAGCTAAAATGTGTGCAAAGTTCCTCTATTTCAGTTCAGAGGAAAAAATCCCCTGTATTTGCCACATGGAAATAAATTAGGTATATGCTGTCTAAGCAATTGGCTGCATAACAATTTATTGAAATTTATTGAATCCTTTCAAGCACAGAATTCAAATACATTGAGCAATTATTGTCAGACAAGTACAAGGAAAAGGGAATTCTACAGGATTATAGTTATGTTCTTGTAGCTTCCTTTATGGGAGTAGAAATATAATGTGTTTTCTACTGGATTAAGAAGTTCTGAGAACTTGGTTTTGCTGACAGAATATTTCTTGTTGAGATATGAAACTAGTCAGTGCCTCATGAATGACAACAATAATGAATGTCATTTATCCTCTTGATCAGTACCTGTTATCTCAAGGGATCTAAGCCATTCAGTCTTCCTATGTTACAGAGAACAAATTTCTAAATTAATATTTGTAATGACATTAACATTTTCGAATAATTTTTCTTCCTTATGCATCAATTTTTATGGCATATTAGACCTAGTTGTTCAGTTTTAAAGATTAACAAAGCCTTGAAATATAGATTACTTCGCAAAGGAAAACAAAATATGGCATTTGCATGCTTTCTGCATATGTGGCCACAAAATGATAATTTTTCTTCTTTCTATTCTTACAGTAAACTCTTGAAGATTGCAGTCAAAATTCCACTCCCTTTGTCTGTTGCAATGCTGGCCTTTGGACGAATGCATCTATACAGAGTCCCACACTTTGTAACCTTTTCTCTTCTTCTACATGTGCTGTGCTGTTTTGTGTAATGTTCATTCTATATAGGACAATGCACCCTAGAAACTTAACACTGGAGATGGGAAAAATTGCAACACAGAAATGCCTAAATTAATATGATCAGTAGTTTACATTATGTGGGAAAGAGGACAGAACTGTGAATACTTTACAGAAAATTCATGGTTTTATTCATGTTGCTTAGAAAACTTTTCCTGGTGTTTATTTCATGTCTCTGAAAATGGAGTGATTTGGAGTGATTTAACTGTGTATAAGCACATGACTCATACCGGTGCAACATCTCAATACTCTGCCTTGTAGACACTTTGGTATTTCACTATACTGCTTTGTGAAAACAGACATTTTTTACTCACTGTGCCATGCAGTGTCTGTGTTCTGAACTTGCATCTCTTGCAGGTCTGAAGTATGCTGGTTAAAACTCAATGCATTTCAAGCACACTGTGACTATCACAAAAACCACACAGCCAAGTATACTTTGAATTATTTTATGTTAAATTCAAAAGCTGCCACATTTGTGTCCAGACAAACTAGAATGTACTGCTTATATAGAACTGTTATTTCTATCAAATCATTTGTTCAATCAGTGTGAGTTGAACATTTGTGAGATTAGTCTTACACATTTTACTTTTTGTGAGAGTGAGAAGACAACAGTATTCTATGTAGCTTTCTATTCAGGAAGGATACCAGCAGATTCATAAACAATTTGCTGTAATGTTGTTTTAAAACATTGTCAGTTTTATCTGGAATTTTGAAATTAATCCTTGGACTTTGTCCATATGTAGAAGCTACCAAACTTTGAGATATGGTGTGAGTTAACAGTGCAGCTGCTGCACTCTTTCTAAGTAGACAAGGCAGGCTTTTTTCCTATTGTAAACAGAGACTCAACCATCTCCTAATAAATGCCAATACATAAATGAATATGGAATAGTTACAACCCTGCAAACTCCTGTCCTGCCATACAGTGCTACCTTCTGCATGTGGGCAAACTCAATAATAGTGGGAATTACTGACCGTAATTATTAGCTCTGTATAAATTTTATCTTAGTGCCTAGATGCTACAGTGACTGCCATTTATAATAAAGCCTACAATAGCTATGTGTAAGGAATTCTGTCCCCTGGGCATGTGTTTTGCCAACAGAAGAAATCTCAGCAGTCCTTAGGTTGAAATGATGTATTGATTCTGTGTAGAGATGAGCTTACTACTTGCTTCTGTGTTAGCTGTCTCTGCTATGTCTGAGATACCTGTTACCTTCATCTGGAAGTACTAGACCAGCTCAATCATCTTATAGGAATACCAAGAGGAAATCTGCTGCTCACAGTCAATCAAGTATACTCTTGTTACAGTAGTACAGCCAGCCTGACCCATTAATTCCATCATATCTTAATAATCTTGCCTAAAGTGCCTCAGTTATTTCTAATGTGTTGTTAGGGTCAATTCCTTTGAGCTGGCTGGAAAGACTTAATTCACACAGTGACTTTCCAAAATGAAGGACAAACATGAAGAAAGCCACGTGTGTTTTGTTTGCTTATATCCATGCCAGCAGTTCAACTTATTAGTAAGTCATTAAAAGTGCTGTAACTGAGTAAAGCTATTGTAGTTAGCCAAACCACTGTCACTGTTATCAGTAATCTATGTGCTGGTATTCTAGTCTTAACCTTTTCAAAATAGAAAGTTAGATTATATATAGTGTTTGTAAATCAGAAAAGTTATTTGAATAGATTATATCTTGATATTTTCTAATCAAATGTATGCTACAGTATATGTATATAAGATAATTTGTGTGACTTAATGTACTTGTAGCTAAATGCACCAGTTGGTTAAATGAGAAATTGCTGCTCAGACATAGAAGAATAGAGTTGTTGCACTTGCAAGTGGCTGTGAATGAAAGATGGTGGCAGAACTGCTTTAGGGCTGGCAAAGGGCTGTGAAATACGCAGAATCTGATTTCTGTGGAAGATAGTTTTCCTTGACTTTCGTGGTCCATTTGGCTTATTACTCTGTTTTACTTCGGATGTTGTTTCCCCACCTTAACAGGCTCTTTCTGCATAAATCCATTTGTTGGATCTGTTGGAAATGAAACAGACTCGATATTTGTATATTTGATAGCTTTCAAAATATTCCATAAAGTGAAACCTACTGAATTACAGCAGCATAGGATAATACCAATTTTTTTTTTTTTTTTTTTTTTTTTTTTTTTTTTTTTTTTTTTTTTTTTTTTTTTTTTTTTTTTTTTTTTTTTTTTTTTTTTTTTGGCTGGAGTTCTATTGATGATTGTTAGCACTCTTCATAAATTGGGTTCCAGTATCTTGTGTATTTTCCTGCCTGATTTTCAAGTTGGAAGTAGGAATAGGTATAATCCTGAGTCTGAGATCCCAGATGACAAGAGTTTTTCACATCTCCCTCAACACTCCCTTTTCTCAGAGATTGTTTAGCTTTACTGAGGAAAGGAGGGGAAGTCTAACTCCTATTTGGAATTGAAATGCCTTGTGTGCCATTTAATGGATTTAAACTGTTGTCAGGATGTGTGTCTGGATCACGCAGTGATCCTGGACTGGACAACTTCAGCTGTTTGGCAGATTAGGAGTCTAATCCCAATTAGATTTGACATACAATAAATGGATGGTAATAGGATTGGAACAAGTCTTAGAATTCATCCCATTCTAAGAGAGGATGAATTATCCTCCTTGTCATTCTGAAAAGAACTAGATTTTGTAACAGTCTGAGATGGTTTTTCAGGTAAAATACAACGCTTGTTTGTTGTTACTTTTGGACAAGAAGCTTCTCTTAGGTGAATGTGTAGTTCTGCCACTGTTATCATTTCAGCAGAAACACAGGATAACCCAATATATATATATACTGTTAATTGCATATACAATGAGATGTAAATATTACTGAAATATCCTTTATTATGAGTGGGCTGCATTTATAAAACAGCTTTTGGCAAATACATTATAATGTCTCTTACTACTTTTAATTACGTTACAATTCCACTTTAGTCTTCAAATTTTAGATTATCTAGACTATGTGGGAGGAGATCAGGGTACAAATTGTAAGGATTTAGACCTCAGGATGCATTCAAAATAAGAACTATTTATGTGGATCTAATATCATTTTTTAAATAAGCTATCAGAAACAATGAGGAAACAGGGTAAGAACTTAAAATACTAAATGCCACTAACTTTTGGAACAGCAGAAACTTTCTTTGACAGGGAGAGATTTAATGAGAAGCTTTTGGTGATAGCTTTACACCCTGAAATTACTCTGGAAGTCTATAATCTTTTCTGCTTGATGTTATCAAACGTGTTCCTCACAGTCTCATCATGCTGCAATGACATATGTAGCTAACACTTCATAGAAAGTCTCTATGTGTCTGATAAGGAAAAATTCACATCTTCATTGGAATTACCAAGTGTACCTTGAAACTGAGTAAATTAGTGTTGTCCAAAGCTAATCTTCTTAGTTGTGATTTAAAAGTTGCAGTGGGTCACATTTCAGCAACCTGTTGAACAATGATTGGTTTGGGGGTTTTGATGGGGGGTTTCTTCGTATGTTTGATTTCCAAGAAACCTGCAGTAACTGGAATTTAAGTTAATATTATTTCTGACATTTAGAGTTCTGCCCTGATTTTGGTTTTGAGTAAGCTAATTTATGTAGCAAATCATTCCTTAATATTAATTTGCTATGTTTCAAAACAAATAGATGAATAATGACAAAACTGTAAGCGGTGCAGTACTAATGCATTGTAAAAGGCATAGAGACTGCTGGTATGTCTAAGTGAATTTTTCATCTATAACCTAATTGGACTAACTTTAAAGTCAGTGATTAATAAAAGAAACTGTATTGACATTTAACCTCAAAAGCATTCCATATGTCAGTGTTTGATACATCCTATTTTCCATGTGTGTGCCAGTAACAAGTGATGAACTCGCTTGGTGTTCTTCTGAAATCTGATAAGTCTGATCCATCTGACAGCACAGAACAAAGTCTGTTATGTAGCCATTAATAAATGTAAACATTTGAGAAACTTTAATTTGAATCAAGTTATTCCAATATAGGGCTGAGTGTGTTTAGACTTTTGTTATATTTATACTGAGACAAAACCAGCCATATACTGACCTTTAATAGTCTGAGCTATGAAAATGTTTTTGGAAGTGGTTGTAGAGTCTGTACAAAATTGTGCTGTTGTTCTAAGTCACTAAGGTATTAGAAAATTGTTAGTTGTAAAGTAGACTGAATTCTTAGTGCTTATTATCCATTTAATGTTTTCATGGTAAATGTTTCTCAATTTACAGCTTTGACTTTCTGCATCTCTTTGTTTTCTAGGAGATAATCAGTATAGCTTTTGTAAGCATTTAGCACTGTAAAATATAAAATTTTCATCACTGTTCCTTTAGGGGAGACATACTTTTGTCACCAAAGCTGCAAATTGCTGTTGTATAGCCTCTAGGAAATGTGTGACAATGAAGGACAATTCAAAACTAGCCAATTTTTTATTAAAGTACAATTACTACCTTTTTTTTAGAGCCAGAACTTCAAACTGGAATATTAGAATCCATAAAGTCTTAAAAAATTTGAAAACCTTTTGTAAAGACTATACTTTCTGATGTATATTTTTATTTATGGGAGAATGTGTCCAAAGCTTTTAATCAGCTCATCTATCCTCAAAATCAAGTAAAAAGTATGCACTTTGTCTTATTAATAGACACTGCTGCTTTAAGAATGAATTTTAAGCATTTAGAGAGAAAATTCCATAGCTCGTACTTAAGCAAATCTGCCCAGCCCTCAATTTTTCAGGTGTCTAAGCACATAACTGCCTCAAATATGTGCTTAGTGCCTTGTAGGATGAAAATGTGAGCTGTGATATTTTGACTTTATTTTCTTAAGATTTAAAGTTGCTTTCTGCATTCTTAAATGTAGATAGATTTTGCTATTCATGGTGTTGTAAACAAACCTTGTAAGCATTGCCTCTCTACAGTTATTGGCAGCTTGTGCTCTGGATTCTGTAGGACTGTGTGGTGTCAGAGCTGACTGTCTCTAAAAACAAGGAGTGGTGAACATCATCATATTTGTTACTTGTGGCACATCATTGCAGGTCCTCCTTGCAATGCAGCTCTGTCTGCTTTGCAGGGTCCCTGCCCTGTAGTGCCAAGCAGAATGTTCCCACAGCAGTGGGAACTGGGACTGACCTGGAAGTGCAGCAGCTGTGTCCTGTAGACTCATTCTGTTTGTTGAAATACCAGCCAAGACTATTTTTTCCCCCCAACTTAAATAATTTCAGGGTATATCTAAGTATTGAATGTGCAAATGTGTTGATGTTTATTTTTACAAAAGGCTAAGTGCACTATTTTAGGATCAATTCAGGTTTCAGTATTTTCCACCTACTCCACTCTGATTTTGGAAACAGGATTTGAGACTGCAGCACCTGACAGCTGGAATACTTCACAGAAGTCTACAGGTAGTAGACAGGACACATAAAATTAGAGTGCCAGACCAAAACTGAAATTCCTCACTGTGACTTTAACTTGTAGCTTTCTAGAGGAAAAAAAAAAGTGTATATATATACTGTGCCTTAAACCAGTAAATGAAATACACTCTAACTGTAGCCTGTGGACTTCAATAGCCTTATATTTGATTTTTGAAGTTGACCAAAAATATTTGTGTGGATTATACTGAAACTTGATTTTGGGGTAAATGCTTTAAAGTGTTTTGAGCCCATTTTACAATTAGAGAAATGAAGATTTAGGACAAGTACCACATATTTTTTGTTTGGAATCACACCAACCAAAGTCAGAAAGCTATAGCTGACCTGAATTTTTCAAGCCTTTCTGTTGTGACCAAAAGAAAAATAAGGAAAACTAGTTGCAGATATCTGTCTCAGCTTTGAAGTCTGTGTGTCTAATTATTTTCAAACATTTTGCTCTTTAGTCCTCAAAAAAAAAAAAAAAATCCTCTTAATTTTAGTTTATTTTAGTTTAAGCAAAATACTGTATTTAAGCCATTAAATAGCAAAATCTTCACCAGTGTGAGAAGAAAACTAGACAGAGGCAGGTTGGTTGATTGTGTTAAGGCTCTAGAAATTTTGAATACTAAATTTTACTTTTTAGGATAAACATTCACATGTAAATCCTTGAAAATTCACATGTAGATTCCCCTTTTTGGAGAAAAAGAATTACACTTTTTTTTTTT